ACCTCCGCCTGCTTGGGGACGCCGCCCGGCGGCGCCGCAGCAGCCTTCTGAGACGACGGCGGCCCCACCGAGCGCGGCATGCGCAGCAGCGGCCCCGCCAGCGCAATCACCGTATCCACACCCCGCAGCGCCAGTGGCGCCCACACGCGCCGTACACGCACCTCCAACCCGGCCGCCGTACGCAGCTGCCGTACGGCACTGCCCAGCGCCCAGGCGACGGCGGCGACGGCGGCGCCCCCGGCGGCTGCCCAGGCCATCGCGATCAGCAGCCCCAGCGCCGCCGCCAGGTTGGCGGCGCAGCGGAGCAGCCAGCTCCACATGCCTCGCGTGACTGCCGCCACCTCGGCAGCGGCTGTGAGCTGCAGGCGACCCACCATCCATACGTGCCACACCAGCAGCCGGGCCTGTGAAAGGAGGGTGGGGGGGGGGGTAAACGACCATACCAGAGGAAGGGGGTAAAGATAGGAAACGTCCTGTATGACGAGGCTCCAACATGGGTTGCTAATTAGACTAGGTGGAGTGCAAGCAGAAGGCAGGGTAGCAGGGGCGAGCATGGCTATACGCGCGCATGCATGCGTGCGTGCGGCTGTTGTTGCCATTGGGACAAGATCACAGCGCGCTTGGACGCACCCGGCCCCTTACAAAGCCCGCTTCCCTTCATGCATCCGTGCAACCCGTTCAGGTACCGGTACGCCCGGGCCGCTCCCCTACCCGGTCCACACGGTTACTTCCGGTTGTTTCCTCACCCAACTTCACCCACCTGATCCACCAGCCGGTCCCTCAGGATGTCCACTTGCTTCAGCGCCTGCACACCTCCGCCGCCGCCGCCAGCAGCGTCCACACCCGCACCACCCGCCTCGGCCGCACCCTTGAGCTGGTCCTGCTCCGGCCCAGGCTGCTGCTGCTGCTGCTGCTTCCGGTCTTGCAGCGGCTGCTGCTGCTGCCGCTCGTCCAGGGGCACATCGGGGCGGTCGAAGGCGGCATGCAGCGCCGCGTTCACCTGCTCCACCAGGTCGGGACCGCCGCGGCGGGCGCCAGCAGCAGCCTCGGGGCCGCCACCCTGCAGGCATGCATAAAGGTTGGAGGTGGGGATGGGGATGGGGATGGGGAGCGGGATGGTAGGCGCTAATGGGGTGTCGGAGCTGACTTTACGTAATGGGATCCGTGCATCATGACGCCGTAAAACGGCGAGGTACCGTACCACACCAACCTCATGCGGGGCTGGCTATACCCCCAAGCTATCGCCGCGCCTAACAAGTAGGTACCAGGTACCTTGCACGCAGTACAGCGCCCACTTGGCACCACTCACCGCAATCAGCGGCTCCTGCTTGGATGCCGCAGCCGCCGCTGTCAGGCCGCTGAAGATGCTGCCAACCTGCGGTTGGTGGGGTGTCCGGTGCCCCCGGGACATAACAAGAAGCTATAGCTGAGCTAGCTGATTGGTGGGAGCTAGCTGATTGGTGGGAGCTAGCTGATTGGCGGGAGCTTTGGAACATTAGCAGCTCTCAGCTCGCAGCGTCAATCTCGTTGCCAGCCCCAGCGTCCGAATTGTAAGCCAGGCCCCAACTTGCCAGGCGACCCCAACACTGCCACAGCATCAATCCCCCCCAGCCCCACCACCACCACCACCACCACCCCGCCCCACCTGCGCGGGCGACTTGTTGGAGAGGCTGTCCACCAGGTTGGGGCCCTGCGGCGACGCCACCACCGCGGCACGCGCCAGCTGCCCCTTCACCAGCGGCGGGGTGGCGGAGATGGCGGCGTCCATGCCGCGGTTGATGCGCAACATGCCGCCCAGCAGCCACCTGCGGGGGTAAAGGAGCGTACAACCCAGACACACGATGACATGGACATGGACACGCGGGCACAAGCGCGGGGTCCAAGGAAGGTGTTGCCCTTGCATACAGACACGACGTACAATCAGCCCCCGCATGGCCGACCTTAGCGGACACGCTCTACTGCACGACGATTTACGTACGACAATCAGTTAAAGCCCCCCTGTCCGCTCGCAGCCTCCCCTTCCCCGCTCGTCCCCTTTTCTCCCCCCCCCCGCTGTCGCGCACCTGTACGCCAGCTCGCCCGCCCACGTGGCACTGTCCAGGAAGGCGACTGCGCCCCGGCCCGCGACGGACGCCGCCGCGCTGCCTGCGACCCAGCTGGCGTGCAGCCCGCCGGCAGCAACCCTGGGGGGCCGGGCAGGGTAGGTGTATAACTGTATATGGATGGGAGGGCACGCGGGTGAGGCTGCGCATGCAATGAATGGGCCAATGAACGCGTGCCGTGGCGCTTCGACGCCGCAGGAACCCCCGCACACAGCTCGAATTGCTGCTACCGGCGACCGCGCCGGCGCACGTTAACCAGCCTGCCCACTGCTCTCATCATAATTCATAAACATCTTGACCCCTTTCCCACCATCCGTGTGCTCCAACCTCCTACGTCCTGCCCACTACCCCGCCCCGCCCCATCCCCTCCAACACCCACCTCAGCGGCAGCTGCACCACCAGCAGATACCACCAGTGCAGCAACATCTGCACCGCCTGAGCCGCGCCGCCCGCACCCCGCCGCGCCACACCCGCACCCGCGCCCACAGCCGAGGCGCCCGTGCGCGCGGCGCCCTGCGCGCCCCGCAACGCCATGCGCGAACCGGACGCAGCCGTACCCGCAGCCCAACGAGAGGCGTCCGCAGCGCCCTTGACACCGCTGGCAGCCGCCTGCTTGGCTACCCCCGCGGCCTGCCCTGCTGCCTGGGATCCCAGCCTCGCCGCCGCCTCAGTGCCCCGGACCGCCACCCCAGCGCCCGCCTTGCCGCCAGCAGCGACGCCGGAGGCAGCGCGCTCCGCGGCGGCGCCGGCGGTCCTGGCGCCAGCCTGGGTTGCCTCAGTGGCGCCTTTCGCGGCGGCGCCGGCGGTCCTGGCGCCAGCCTTACCAACGTCGGCGGCGCCTTTCGCAGCGCCGCCGGCAGCCTTGACGCCGACCTGGGTCGCCCCAGCGGCGGTCTCCGTTGCACCCTTGGCGGCGGCGCCGGCGGCCTTGGCGCCACCGCGTGCGGCCTCGGCGGCCGTCTCTGTGGCGCCCTTGGCGGCGGATCCAGCCGCTTTGGCGCCCATCTGGGCCGCCTGGTTGGCACCCTCCGCAGCGCCGCCCGCCGCCTTGGCGCCAGCACGCGTGGTCGTCTCAGCCGCGCCCTTGGCAGCGGCGCCGGCAGCGTTAGCGGCGGGCTGAGCAGCAGCCGCAGCCGCCTTGGGTGCGCCTGCCGCCGCATCCTTGGCCACCCTCGCACCCGTCTTGCCGGCCGCTTGGGCGCCCTCGCCTGCAGCCCCCGCGGCCTCGCGTCCCGCCTCAGCAGCAGCGCCCGCGCCCCTGCTCGCCCCCTTAGCGGCTTCCCCTGCTACCTGACCCGCAGCACCCGCCCCTGCTTCTGCCATCCTTCCGGCGGTCGCGGCGCCCTCGGCCGCGGCTCCTCCTGCCGTCCTGCCCGCCGCCTCAGCTCCCTTAGCCGCCGTACCCGCAGCCGCCCTACCGGCCTCGCTTGCAGGCTGCTGCTGCTGCTGCTGCTGGCCCGGCTGCGGCAATCCTGGCCCGGTAGCGGACTCACTGACCTCGCCGCAAACATCCCTTGCACCCCCCGCAGCGGCAGCTCCCTCCGGCATGGCACCCCTGGCCGGCGCGGAAACATCGGGTTGTCCGGTGGGTCCGCCGGTGCTTGGCAGCTGCTGCTGGCCTCCTCCGCCCGTCGTACCAGTTGTCGTACCGGGCTGCATGCCGGCACTGGGGCTCTGGGGTGGAGGCGGAGCGGGGCGTTGCGGCCTCCGCATGTCGGCCGGGGGCTGGGGCCCAACAGCTGCTGGTGCCTTGTAAGGGCCGGCGGGAGCAATCTCCGCAGGGGCCTCCCGGGGGCCCTTGCCGGCCTCTGAAGTAGGAGCAGGGGCCTTCCCGATAAAGGTGGTTGCAGGGTCAGCTTGAACTGCATGTGCGCAGGAAGGAAGGGTGCGGTAAGATAGGGGCGTCAGCATGAGGCATGTTGACAATGAGCAATAGGAAGGCATGAAGGACGCAAAGCGTTGACTTAAACAATGCGCTTGCCGTACTGCTCGTGGGCTACTGACAGGGAAGCGCGTCATGGGTGCCGGAGCCATGAAACAGGGTGCCGGAGGCGCTCTGAAAACGTGCTCAACCGCTCCATTCTCCTCCATCAACCTCGCTTCCCCACCCTCACCCACACGTGACTAATGCCAGCCAGAAGAATCCAGCGTAATGCTGCTAGTGCGCTAGGCGTTCACAAGGATACACGCATTCCTGTCCTTTAACGTATGCGATGGGTGAGGCATGCCTAATAAACAATTAGCATGTTGATGCTAAACCTTCCCATAAAATATACGCAACTGTTTGCTATCCGCGCGGAGGGTGTTGCGCGCTCGCTTGCGACAACATGCTCTGCAAACAGCCTCGCATTCAGACAGCCATCCAATGTGCATTGTAGCATCATGTTGCATTCAAAGTGGAAAAAGACGGCTTTATAGCACCGGCCCTTTGCGCTCACCTTCCAAGCCGACCCGTGGGTCATAATCGAGACCGTAAGTTTGCACATCGCGGCCTTGCTGCGTATCAATCGTGTGCTGCACCACCCGTTGCGCCATTGTCTTGGCAGCGTTGGACAGCTCAAACGGCCCTCGCTGGGCCGGCGGGGTGGCCTCAAGCGGCGGCGCACTCATCCTGAAGTCGGGTGCAGGCATTCCCACCATTATAAGCCACTTGCAAAGCAAAAGTCAATAAATTTACACTTCTCTTCTATTACATGTTATGATGAGTTGTAAGCTTGCATTACCGGTGATTCTGAGCCAAACTAGGGGCACCGAGGAAGCAACAGTCACCTTTTACGCGGCTCCTCGCCGCCCCTTCAAAACGCGACGTGGCGCGTAGCAGTCCTAGCAGGTTTTGCGAACTATTGAGTAATACAATGTGATGTGATCTTCAATAACTGTAACGTGGAAAGCCTTGGTCTTTACAAGATTGGCCTTTGCTGCCGGTCTTTATGGACGCCCCATTGGGCCGTATGACGTCGAGCCCGATGTGTGCCGTTACACGCTTGCACGCCTGCGCACCCTTCGTCCTCTGCGCTTGCAGCGCCCTCCGCACAACACCAGTGCATCATCCTTAACACTCCACACTTCCTCCCAAAGCCGATCACTCATCATCGCCCTCATCGTCCTCGTCGTCCTCATCGTCTCCGTCATCGTCCTCCCCCGCTCGCTCCATGATTGTCGCAAACTGCGGACAAAAGAAAGCAACATCATTAACATGCTGCTAACAAAGAAGAGAAGAGGAGGGGCCGGTATTGTCCATGCACACCACGCTAAAAAGCTTTGCTCTTTGGCAACTGCAAAGAACGTTCCGAGGCAAGAGCGCACGCCCGCCTCAGGACACACCCAAACAGCAAGCACCCACCGCCCTTACATCCCCCGTCGCGCTGCCCCTTTGTCAAACCCCCACCCCACCCGCTACTCCCTCCGCCATGCAAGCGCATCACCCCAACCCCCACCACCCACCCACCTGGATGTATCGCCCGCTCATGAGCAGGTAGCTGAGCACCGCCGCCCCCGCGCCCACCAGCCAGTAGGTGCTGTGGCGCCGGAACTGCAGCTCGGCGGGGCTGGGCTCCACCTTGGGCGTGGAGGGCTTCTTCTGGCCCTGGTGGTGGTGGTGGAGATGGACATGCCCGGGCGGGGGGGCGGGGGGGGCAAGAAGGTGGGCGAGATGCGCTAAGGCAAAGGATTTAGACCCCACGTTCGTGTTTGGACCCGGGCAACGGCCATGAAAATAAGCTCTGTGCCAGGGGTGGGCCCGTGGGGTGCTACCTGTGCACGGAGCGAGGCCCGATGCCTTGCATGAACAAGCATGTGACTACCGGTACCGTCATACCGGTACCTTGTCCCTTCCGCATCCCCACCCCACCCGACCCCTCCCCCGCACCTTGGCCGCATCCGACCAGCTGGGCGCCCCCGCCCCCCCGTCCAGCGCCGCCCGAGGCACCGCCGGCATTGCAAAGTAGCGCCCCGTCAGGCGGTCCAGGTAGTCGCACAGAGCCGGCTGGGACTGGACCTGCAGCGGACAGCGCAGGGCAGCGGACAGCGCAGGGACGGGAGGGGGTAACACATGCAGGGAGATGCAGTCAGTCAGTCATGTCCCTCGCGTAAGTGGCGGTCGTGGACTGGTGGCGGCGGCGAGGATGGGACCTGGGCATGCTGCATGCGCGCTGGTATGCTGCTGCGGTTGGTCGCTGGCGGCTAGGCTAGGATAGGACGGAGGTGTAATCCAATGCTTTCCCCCGGGCATGGCCCTTCTTGACTCAACAGCCTCAACCGCTACAGCCGACGAGCCGCTTCAGAGCCCCAAGCGTACGCATCCGCACCTCGCCATTCTCCTCTCACCGCTGTACCATGGCCACATCGACACAACCCACACCCTACCCTCACATTCCACCCCATCCTGCAGACTTCGAACGTGTTACGATATCTATGCACTGGTCTGCTCTGGCCCCTTCCCCTCCCCCTCCCACTCCCACGAGGCCTACCCGCTATCAGCCGCCCCGCCCCCCCCCCACCTTCTCCTGCAGCACGGGCGCCACCGCGGGCGAGCTGCGGTAGTAGAGCAGGTGGCCCGCCAGCAGCGCGTCCAGGCTGGTGGGCTGCTCGCCGAAGAAGAAGGTGCTGCTGCAGGAGCGCAGCCGGTCCGACAGCGCGTCCAGGACCTCCACGGCGGCAGAGTAGACCTGGGAGGAGGAGGAGGGTAGGGAGGGTAGGGAGGGAGGCGGCAGGGGGAGATGAGAGGGGATGGGATGGGTTGTGTCCGGCACCGAGCTGAAGCCGGGAGCGCGCGGAGGCGGGGAGCGGCGGAAAGGGAGATAGGGTGTTCCCGGTGTGTGGTGTAAAAGAGTAAGAAACCATACAGCTGCAACATGCAGCAGGGATCTCCCTTGCTGGGCATCCATGCTGCAGCGTACAAGCCAGCAACATGCAAACAAGATCCCTGGTTCCGCTCCACGTCCCGCCACCTGCCTGCTCCATGTCCGCATGCTGCTCCAGCCGCTTGCGAACCTCCCGCTGCTTGCTCCAGGGTATGAGCTGGCTCAGCGGGAAGGGCAGCTTGCCGCCGTACGCAGCCTGCAGCACAGGCACCACAAGGCGCGTCTCGCGTTGCATGGAGAAACACATTTCAGCCAGACTGCCGAGCGGGCTGCCCCGCCTGCACTTGCACGCTCGCCTTCCCCCACGTGGCCCCGTCACATGCAAAGGGCATGCCGCGGGTACCCACCTTCTTGATCTCCGCAAAGCCGCGCGCCTCACACCAGGTGGTCAGCGTGGTGGCGACGTTGAGCCTGTGTGGGCGAGCGGTGGCATGGACAGCGGGAACAGGAGTGGGTGGCCGGCACGATTAACGGCGCCATGCAACCACGAACATGGGCAAAGAGCGCACACGCTGTGTGCATGAGGACAGCGCTCTAAGGAGGGGCCATGAGGGAAAGGACACCACATGAATTGCGGTGACTCCTCTGTACCGGGGTAACAGGGAGGCCTATTCCGGGTGCCGCCATGGAACCCCGCCAGGGCCCCCCCTGCTTTGCCCGGTACCCTGGGTAAAATGAAGGCTGGAAGAGCCGGTTCCCCGCAGGCCCCATAAACCCACATCTGGATTCGCGTCCGACCACGCGTTCTTCGTCTCGCGCTAGACATTCCCACCTTGCTCGCCCCCTGCCATGCTCTCGACTCACCCCTACCCAAACACATGCGCGAACGCACCTGCTCTCAACCAAGGTGGTGAAGGCAAGTAGGTCGGCGCGCTGCCCCAAAGACAGATGTGAGTCAAGGTCCCGAACATGCTTTTTGGCATACGCAATCACAGACGCCGCCGACGCGAACTCGTCGGACTCCGCAGGTGAGATGTATGCTTCGCGCTCCAGCGCGGGCAGTTGCCCTGTGATTTTGCCCCGATCGCAGCTAAGTATGAATGTACGTACGCCGATTTGATAGCGGCTACGTAAACCATGAATCGTACCTGTCGGCGAGGAGCTGCTTGTGCTGCATACCTCCACGGTGAAATTTGCTCCACTGAGGCGCAAGTAAGCCTATACAGGTGACCAGCGCGTTATCCTCGACGACAGTGTATGTTGCACTTCCGGCGTAGCTGCCGAAATGGAAAAAGCCCCAAGGGCCAATTCGCCTTACCTCTGCCTGAATGCAAGCAGGAGATAAAGAAGGCAACCCCCAGCATTCAGGCCATTTGTAAAGGGTGCATACGCCTTGTCCGCTCATAGCTCGAATCAAACTAGAGCATAAGTGCACTAGGCAACAAACTAGGAAGAGGGCAGCCCTGTGAACTTAAAAAAGCAAAATATGCAAAATCAGGAACTTGTAAACTTGTCATGTGTTCCTTCTGGCCGATGCCGTGCAAGCAGGGGCGTGTGCGGCAGTATGAACGATGCCCCATCTCTTTCGGCGACAACGTTAATTACAAATTAGATATGTAGAGAACCATTGAACAATTGACAGTGTATCTATTGACTTCTGACTGTTACCCTCTTGCCAAGTCCCTCCACCTCCCCTGTTTGTTGCTAGTGGCCTTGACCGTGCTTCACCACCAGAACAGACCGTACATGTACTTATTGGGATACAGAGCGATCTAGTGACAATAAAAACAATTCCTGCTCCTTTCCTAGTGAATGGGCGCGCCGGTTCGACTTTTACTTTGACCGACGATATGGCCAACAGACAGTGTGAACACAGGCCACGTACAGCATAGCTAAGCTCTACAGGGCTGATCGTATTCGAATATGTCTGACCTGACTGGCTCGGCTGCGGTGGATGAGCACAGCGACGGGAGCTCACCGACGGTGAGGCATGGATAAGCCACCTAAGCAACCTTGCGTTGCTAATTATACCTGCGACACAGCCTAGGATTCTACCTGGTATGGTCGCTGATTCTAGCTGTTGACCTTCCACCATGGTGGTATACACCACACGACCAACGTGCAGCTACGAGACTTCGCTGCGGCGTCTAGCGAGGTCCACAGGTTAGCAGCCCTCACAGCAGCTATGATGGACGCCCGACACGCGAGTGCGGCATACGAGCGGCGGGTAAGCTTGCGCCAACTTCGTTAAAGGACAGTCAACTTTGGGGAAGAAGTACACGGCAAGAACTCTCTCCCCTGGAACAGGTTGAGTCAAGTCGCCGAAGCAGGCATACTGCCAATCCTGCCAGCGTTGCTGAAAGCTCGCCGCAACGTAGCGTTGGCGAGGGTTCGAGGGTCCTGTCTCGGCACCGACGGTCCAGTTCCCGCACACGGGTCCGCTCTACCAGCGTGACACGGACCAGCGCCACCGGGACCAGCGCAACATCAGGGGCCATGTTGGAGGAGATAAGCACGGCCACATCGCCCGCCAACCACCCCCGCAGCCGGGGACTCAGGTGCGCAGCTCGTCTGCTATAGTGTTACACCTGACATGGGTCGTTATCAGCATACAGCACCTGCCGTCGCTGTTACTGGGTTTCCCTCTTCACTGAACCCCGCGTCGTGCATATGCAGCAGTAACTCCCACCAAGGCATCAACGTGCGTTCAAGCCAGCGCTTGGTGTCAGCTGAAGCCCTTGTTCGGGGTGCAGTGCCAACCAGCATGACGGCACTGCGGCGGCATGTGGACGAGCTTTCAGCTCAGCTTAAGCTGGCGCGCGCCAAGCAGGAAACCGACGCAATTATGATTCGGGACCTGCAGCAAGACAACGCCAACCTTAAGCACCTGGTTGAAAGCGCCAACGAGGTAGGCTCATGGGGAAGCATCAGCGGACATACTAGTATATCGCCCCTCTGTTGCCGCGCTTCTAGCCTGTCGTGTTGCACACGTGAGGGGCCGCCCTTTCTCCTTGATGCAGGTTTCAGACGCCGCCTCAGCGTCGCTGCGTGAGCTGACACGCACGCGCAGGAATTACGATGAGCTCCGGCAGGAGGCTGAGGTCTTGCAGCGGCGGGCACAAGAAGCAGAGCGGCGGTGCGAGCACTTGCAGCAGGTCCTCCACGGCACGGAGCTGCGGATGACAGAACTAGAGGAGCGTGCAGACCGCGCGGAGCAGGAGCTTATGCAGAGCAGCGAGCGCGCCCTTCATCGCTCGGATCTCACACTCGAGACCATCACCGAGCGCATCCAGAGTGCCGAGCGGCGTGCGACTCGCGCGGAGCATGCGGCTGCGCAGGAACAGGCACGCGCTGTGGACGCTGCCCAGCGTGCCACGCGCGCTGAGGCCTCCACTGAAAAAGAGCACGAGCGGGCCCTGGATGCGGAACGGCGGGCGGCCAGGGCTGAGCTCTTGCTTCAGGAGCTGCAGGCGCAGGTTCTCGACTTGGAGCGGCAGCTTTCCCAGGCCAAGCAGCTAGCAGAGGCGGACGTGGCCCGTGTAGTTGACGCCGAGCGGCGTGCAGTTTGTGCCGAGCATGCTGCTGCCCAGGACAGGGAGCGTATTACTGACGCCGAACGGCTTGCAAGCCAAGCCGAAGACGAAGCACAGGAGGCCCGTGCCCTTGCTGCGGAAGCAGAAAGGCGGGCCACCACCGCTGAGAGTGCCCTTGAGGACGAACGGGCGCGAACAGACGCAGCTGAACGCCGAGCTGCACGAGCAGACAAGGAAACAGATGAGGCGAGGCAGCTTGCAATAGATGCAGAACGCCGGGCCGTGCGGGCCACCCAGTTACTAGACGAGGCAGAACGTCGCGCCGAGCGTGCCGAGCAGGCCCAGCGCGAGGCAGAGACACGCTTGCTGGAGGCTGAGCGGCAGGCAGCACGGGCCGCAGAAGCCGAGCGGCGGGCGGTGCAGGCGTTGGAGGACGCAGAAGCGCGCACCTCAGAACTTGAGCGCCGCGCAACCCGGGCTGAACAGGCCCGTGGTGAGGCCCTTGCATGCGCCTCAGACACAGAGCGGCGCTTGGCCGTTGTAGAGCAAGCCGCTGAGGATGCCATGGCGCGTGCCGCCGACGCTGAGGCCCGGGCTGCACGCGCCGAGCTGGCCGCTCAGCAAGACCGGCAGGCTGCTGCGGAGGCTGACTCCCACACATCATGTGCTCAGCAGGCGCTCGAGCAGTTGCAAACCGACCTGCTGGCAGCTGAACGGCGCGCTATTCGCGCTGAACAGGTCCTTGAAGAGGACCGTGCTCAGGCAGACGAAGCTAATGCCCAGCTGGCGGATGCCGAGGCGCGGGCCGCTCGTGCGGAGCAGCTGGTTGCGAAGGAGAGCGAGCGAGCTCAGGAGGAGGCTCGGCATGCAGCCCGCATGGAGGCGGCAGCCTTGCAGGATCAGGAGCGTGCGCGTGAGGCTGAAGACCGCACTGCTGCAGCTGTGGCGCGTGCACAGCAAGCCGAGAAGCGTCTGGCAGTTGCGGAGGGCCATGTGGCGGCGCTGGAGGAGCGCCTGCAGCAGGCCCGCTCTGTGGCCGACGCCGCGGACACCCGTGCTTCTGATGCCGAGCGCAGACGGGACAAGCTTGCGGCGGAGTGCAGGGAGCTGCGGCAGCAGCTGCACATGGTTATGATCCAGCTGGCAGGCATTCCAAACTCTGCTGAGCGATCGCAGCTGCGGTCGCGCAGCCGGAACCAGCAGTCAGACCTGACCCGCAGCCCCCGTTGCGTTACGTCATCAGCCATAAGCGGAGTGCCTGATGCTGGGGAGCTGGAGCAGGACACAGCTTCTTCTGTGCGCTGGGCGCGGCCTGGAGAGGCCCATGTGTCCTTCTCTCCTGCCTCGACGCCTCGCAATACCGTGCCTGGAAGCACAGGCGCGCGCATCCAGTTGTGGGCGGACGGAAACGCACCGCCTGCGTTTGAGCATGGGCCTGGCAGCCAGCGTCCTGCAGAGAGTGAGTCTGCCACTCATCGCAGCGGTGTCGCTGGCAAGGCTACGGATGACGCCGAGGGCGACGTGTCGGGCCCGGCAGCTGCGGATCTTGCAGCGAGGGAGAGGGAGTTCGCAGTTTCCGGTTCGCCCTTGCGGCTGGGCCAGGCGCTTGCCTCAGGCGCCGGCCTGACGCCACGCAGCCGCGCGTCCATAACGCTGGATCAGTACCTTGACGGCAGCAATGCGCTGGCTGAGGAGCTCAGGTAAGAGTTGTAGCCCCCTGCTGGATGCTGTAGCCCCGTGCTCGTGTGCGGGTGTCATGGAATAACGGGGGTAACGCCTTTTTAGGCACGGGCTGGGAGTTCCTGTTATGCCCTGCATGCAGCACCAAAATCTGTTGTCATTCCGTGCTGATGCCTTCAGGAATGTCCGCGGCGAGTTGCGAAGCGCCCGCCAGGAGCTGAGTGACCTCAAGTCCCAGCACCGTGCGGCATGCAGCCGTGTGCAGCAGCTGGAAGAGCAGGCCGCGGGCTGCGAGCAGCTTAAAGCCAAGCTCAGCCGGATGTCAGCACAGGTAAGATCGTGTCCAAAAGACGCCGTTAAGGTGCACAGGTGCATGTCTTGTAACTGCTGTAACCCATTTTACATCCCTCTGTTTGGCGCGATATGGCATCTCTTGCCCCTGTATGTATCAAAGACGTTTTTATCCGTGGTGTGTGCCTCAGATCCGCAATTCAGAGCGGCTGGCGGCGGAGGCGCGCAGCTACCGCGCCCAGCTGGCCGAGCTTGAGGGCCTGCAGCTGGAGCTGCGCAAGGCGCAGGCTGAGCTGGCCGAGGCACACGGCGTGCGTACGGCATTGGAGGACGCGCGCTCGCAGCTTGTTGACATGGAAAGGTATGGCCGTAAATGTGGAAAAGGGACCCAAGAGTTCGTCCTCAAGGCAATGTGTTGTCGTTCGTAAACACAGAAGTGTTAATACTGGATGCACTTGAGCACTCCTCTTCGGCATTGTCATTGCCACCCTGACTGCCACGGGCCCACAGGGTCCGCTCGGAGTCCAGGCGCGTGAACGCATCGCTGCAAACAGTAACGCGTGAACGTGACGCTGCCCGGAGTGAGCTCGCCGAGGCCTCTGCGCAGCTTGTGGACCTCGCGGCACTGAAGGCGCAGCTGCAGCGTGCGGAGGTGGAGGCGGCTGAGGCCGAGCAGGGCCGGGAGGAGGCACGCGCTGCAGCGGCTACAGCTGCAGCCCAGATCGACAAGCTACGGGCGCAGCTGGTACGAATGCAGGGCCCTGTGGACTATATGGGATTGCATCGTTACGGATATGTGCCATCCGGATGTCAATGTGTGGATATATGGATACGGGAAAATGCCGGGTCTCTTAGCCTCTAAGCGATTGTTGGTTGTAGCATCTCCCAACTTACTTGCACTGCTTTACCCTTACTTCGCCGCCTTGCTCCCTTTGCCTTATACTTTGACGCGCGTCACCAGGCCACCGCGGAGGAGGAGTTGGCGGAGGCTTTGCGGCGGTGCACCCGGCTGCAAGGAGCGGCGGACGAGGCGGCGCACCAGCGGGACCGCGCGCAGGCAGCGCTGGGTGGCGCCGAGGGCGCTCTCCGGGCCGCCGAGGAGGAACGAGCCGTGCTGGTCTCGGAGCAGGAGCGCCTGAAAGGGAAGGTGCAGGAGCTGGCAGACGCGCAGGACGAAATCCGCTCGTAAGGCACTGGGAGGGCCTCTAATACGCCAGTTAAGGCATTGGGTGTAAGAGTAGTGGCATTTGGACGTTTGGACCCCGCCTTGGACCATCATCAGTACATCACCATTGCTTGCTCTGGGGTGTGCTAGTTGCCGGCTTTATGTTGCTAAGCCTGCAACATGGTGGCTGCAGGCTCAGGTCCCAGCTCCAAGAGGCAGTCGCAACGCAGCGGCGGACGGCCCAAGCTGAGAAGGAGGCCCAGGCCCGGTTCGAGGAGGCGCAGCAGCAAATTGCGGTGCTCAAGGTGCGACCTACTGCTTGCTGACGCGTGACATGCATGCTGACGTGAACACATGACGCGTGGCCCCTTAGGAGGCAGTCACCACAGAGATTGTCGTCTTCACCGCCCCCTTGCAGGGCCAGCTGGCGCAGGCCGCTGCGGAGCAGGTCGACGCGGAGGCTCTGCAGCAGCAGCTACAGGCCGCACTGGGCCAGGTGCAGTCCATGAAGGGCGAGCTGACGGTCGCGGCGGACAAGCTGGATGACTTTGCCAAGTTGCAGGTATGGTTGCGTGTTGTCTGGCCTCCGAAGAGGGGTTGATGGGCGCATGGCCGCCCGTTGGGGAGTTTTATTAGCGTGGGCGCTACCCGCGTGGGTAGCGCGGGCACACGTACCGTATGTCAACCTAGCTTACACCGGTAATGCGCAGCCCTCTGTAACGTTATTGTCTGCATCTGAACTGAACTCACAGGCTGAGCTCGCGGCAACAGCGGAGCGTGCTGACAAAGCAGAGTCGCAGCTGCGTGTCGCTAACGAGGACATTGCACGCATGTCGGCCGAGGCTCAGCGGCTTAACCAGGAGGTGGATGACGCCCGGCGGGACCTGACAAAGAGCCAGGAAGAGGAGGCCGCCGCCACGTCATTGGCAACCAGCAGGGGAAGCAGGATAGGTACGATGGACCTGGAGGGGCGGGCGGCACGTAAGGGCAAGGCGTAGTCACTTGCTTGCGTTTACCGCTGAGCTATTGGTATTCGGTCTACCATCAAGCTTACGTGCTGCCCCCTGCAGGCGAGCTTGAGCGCGATATGGCGAGGATGCGTGAAGCCTCCTACCAGCTGGAGGTGGAGGTGGCGCGTATGACCACCGAGCTGCACCGCCTCAGGAACGACCTTGCAAGCGCGTCCGACATGATTGAAGGTGCGGTTGTTAGGGGTAAATGCCACGTTTCAGTCCGATCGTGTGCATTACTTGTGGGCTAAACTGGTTCAAAGGCTAATGTGCTGGTTGTTCATCCCCGGCTGCTCTGCAATATTGCAGAAGCCACAACCGCACGCAACCAGCTGTCGAAGCAGCTAGAGGAGGCCAACAGGCAGCTTGCGCGCAACTCGTCGGGGGCGGCTGCAGCAGAGGAGCATTTCAAGGCGGACATGCAGCAAATGGAGGTGAGACGCGGCCCATTCCTGTACTTTCCACTGCTCCTGCCTTGCACGTGTATATCAGCGCATCAACGGCGTCGGGTTGCTCACAGGTTCGCCTCGCTGCTTCCGAAGCGGAGTGTCGTTCGCTGCAGCATACAAACGGATCTCTACACGACAAGATCGAGCGCCTACAGGCAGACGCACGGACGCTGCAGGCCCAGCTGCAAGAAGAGTCCAGGAAGAAGTAAGTCCCCGTCACAGGTCGCTAGCCGGTTACTGTAGGACAGCGGTTGCGCAAACCCTCCTCCTTTGCTTGCATGGAGTGCAACTAGGTCTCACCCCTTTCCGTTCCCTCGTTAGGGACGAGCAAGCTGCCGAGTGCCGCCGGCTCCAGAAAGAGTTAGAGCTGGCATCCGACGGCCTCACCCAGTCACAGCGGTCCCAACGCAGCGCAGCCGCTGCCGCCGCAGACCTTGAGGCGGAGGTGGAGCAGCTGCAAGGCGCACGCTCCGCGCTGGAAACCGAGCTGCATGCCGCCAGCGTTCGTGTGCAGAAGCTGCAGGTGCGTTCCATCTCTGTCACCGGGAAAGCGGAAGGATTCTTTGCACATTGGAGCTGACACTCAAAACGGACTGGTTTTTCCTCCACTCTGTGTGCAACAGGAGGAATTGCAGGAGGTGACAGCGCGCAACTCGGAGCTTGCCAGTCAGCTGCATGGCCTGTCGTCCACCGTACGGCAGCTGGAAGCCGAGAACGCCCGACTGGCTGATGGGCATGCGACGCTGACGGTGGAGTTGGAGGCTCGTGCGGCAGAGGGACGGGCGGCTCGTGGCGAGGCGACGGAGCTGGCGGCTGACCGAGCCCGGCTGATGGCCGAGCTGCAGGCCATGCGGGAGGAGTTGGAGCAGGTGCAGGTGAGTGTAAGACGGAACTTGGATACCGCAGGGTTTCCTCACCGCCTATTACCTTTGCTTCCGCCAATCGCATACAATTTTGCGTTGGTTTGGCTTACCGGTATCTTATTCCACCGGCAGGCTGAGCGGCCGGACGTGTCCTCTTCGTCTGAGTTCACCTCGAGGCGCAACCCCCGCATCACGATCACCGGCGGTGGCATTCCGCCCGTCTCGGCTATCGGCAGCTCCCTGGGCTCTGATTTCGCCAAGCACCTTCTCATGCACGGTGCCGATCGCATGTCGGTCTCCGGAGCGGTTCCATCCCCTCCAGCACGGTCCATTGCGGGTGCTCCAGACGACATGCATGCGCTGCTGGTGGCGCCCATTGACACAGGTAGGGCGCTTGGTGGTGCTCAGTGTAGGTACATGCATTTTCCACCTCCACCTGTCAACAGCGTCCACTTGCCGCTGCTTTGAAGCATTCTACAATCCTTACCCGCTTACATGTGGGACACCCGTTCGCCTGCTTTGTGCCGTCTGCCGCTTCAGGTGCACTGCTAGCGGGCGATATGTCCCAGTACGACGCCCTCCTGGCTGCGCTGGACGAGGAGGCGCAGCAGCTTGACGAGGAGCTGGCCGGCAAGGAGGCCAGCAACACCGTCCTGCTGCAGCGCATGCGTGCAACCAAGGAGGCCGTCACGGCGCGCATGGACGCCCTGCAGGCGCAGCTGCAAGCAGCGCAGGAGGCTGAGACCGAGATGCGCCGCCAGGCGGCTGACAAGGACATCGCCATCCTGCAGCTGCAGCAGCAGCTAACGCAGCTAATTGGTATGGCGAAGGTACCGGGTGGTGATGCCGAGGCGACAGCGGAGTCGGGGGCGGGCGGGTCAGCGCCGCAGCTAGGGTTCGGCACTGACCTGTTGCAAGGCAACGTAGTTATCGCGGCGCTGCGGCAGGACCTGGATGCGGCGCATGAGCGGCTGCGCGACGCGGGGCGGCAGCTGAGGGAGGCGCAGCAGCGGGCGGAGTCGGCGGAGGCTGAGGTGCGGTCGCAGGTGGCGGAGGAGGGGCTAGCCGGGGAGCGGAGGGCTTGAGCAACGCGGCCTGTGTCCTGTGCGGTTGGCTAGGCGTGAATGAGAGTGTATACTGTACGTTGCTGGGTCTCATGGGTGTGTCAGGTTGGGGTTCGTTGCCGGAGTTGGTCATCTTACGAGCCGCAGGTTGTGGCTTATCCGCTGCTACGGCCTTGGGTGTTGGTTCTTCGATAAGCATGCTGTAGCCAAAGGGAAACAGTGAGGCACTAGTGGCATGGGGGCCACACATAGCAGGCAAGGCTTAAACTTTCATGTTGATTGACAATATTACGTAGGTCTTGTAACGGTTCTTGCAAGATCTTAACGATACGCCTACACCACTCGGCACGCCGTTTTCGGCAAAGCATTAAAACCCAGAAGGAAGAAGCTGCCAACACCATGCTGCCCACTCCCTCTCAGCCAGCGTTAAAGGGTTACCTACACGAACGAAACACAGCGGCTAGCGCGATACGTCCGGCTGCTCCCCAGCGCACACGTTTACTGACAACGTTCTAACCAGATTCTACTCGGCGCCCATGAACGATGCCGCAGGTCAGCCGTCTGCGGGATGAGCTCTCCAAGCGCCGTTCGGAGCTGGTCAAGTTGCAAGGGGAGCTAGCAGCTAACGACCGTGTCCTGGCGGATGCAGAAACGGCGCTGTCTGCGCTGGCTGCCAAGAAGGCAGGCCTGGAGCAGCAGCTTCGAGAAGCGCGTGAGGCGGAGCGGCAAGCGGTGGAAGCCGCGGAGGAGCTGAAGACGCAAGTGACATCCATGCATGCGCAGCTGGAAGCTACGCTGGATGCGGCTGCTTTTGCCGCGCCGCCTGACACGGAGACGTCCAACAGCCTGGCAGGCACCGTACATGACGTGAGTACGCCACGGTATGATTGCGCTTGGTTTGCGCATGGGGGCATGTTTAAAGAAGTTCCATTGGTTCATGTCATAGGAGTAATCCAACATTTTCACCTATGCACCTGAGCCATCGCCCTCAATCCACTTTGTCCTAACCCGCCGAGCTCTACCGCTCTACCCTCTGCCTCCCGCAGCGAATGGTCAACTACCTCCAAAGCCTGGGCACAGCAGACCCTGCCGGCCAGACACATGACGCTGGCGCCGGCGACGCTGCCGGCGGCCAGCCAGCCCATGTGTCTGAAGGTCAAGGCGCTTGCACCGCATCCACACCCACTGGGACCGCATCTCAGGCTGCCATGGCACGAGCTTCTGCCTCTCCAGCCGCCGCCAGACGCTATCCGTTGTGCCTCCGCACAAGCGAGACGGGTTCCTGGTCGACCATCTCCGTCTCGAACCCAGGCGGTCCGGCTGACCCGTGGGACGGCCTGAGCACCTCCGGCTGGGACAACGGCATCGTCGGCAGCGCGGGAGGCAGCATGCCGGGCGTGATGATATCTCCCAGGGGGATGTTTGCCATGGTCAGGCCTGGATCTAACCTGTCTCCGAGGTCTCGGCGCAGTGATGTTGCCGGCGCTCGGCTAGGCGACACTTCTGGTGCACCGGCAGGAGTGAAGTCCTCACAAGAAGGCCTGTCCACCGAGTCGTCCAGGTGCGTGAGGCGAGATGGGCAGGGCGTTGTCCCTTGTCCGTTTTGGGGTACACGCCTTGGGGAATGGCTTTGTGTGGCCCCCACGTGGCGGCCCTTAGGCTTGCATTGACGAGCTATCTAGGAGCAGCCGTAGTGTGGTACCCAGGCCAGTTTACATGCTATCGGTACTCAAGCTCCTTCCAACTCCACTCTTCCCACAGGAACGACCAGTCCGAGCACAGCGGCAACAGCGCGCCCGCCCTGGACGCCAGCGGCGGCTGCACGGATGCAGAGGGGCCCTCCACCAGCGGGACTCGAGTGCCCAGCTCCGCGGCGTCAGACTCCCTGCCGGCAGCCTCAGGCAGCAGCGCCGCCGGGCTTGTCATGAAGGCTCGAGCCAGCCTGGCGGCGGCCGCCACGGCAGCCGCTGCCGTTGCGGGCAACACCGGTGCCACCCCCAGCGGTGGTGTCACTCTGGCTGTGCTCAGGTCACCCGGGTCATCCCGCAGCGGTACCAGGTATGGTGCTGCCTCGGAACAGGGCGGGAGCAGCTCGCGACAGAGCCTGGAACGCATGATTGGTCAGGTGGGCAGTGCGGTGCCTGGCCCGCCACCTGGCCGGGCCTCCGCGACAGCAGTGCTCCAGCCGAGCGCCATGGAGGGCGCAGCGGCAGGGATGGCGGAGGCGCGCAGCATGGCGGGCTCGCTACAAGCGGCGCAGAGCGTGCCTGGGTCTCTTTCCTCCCGCCTGTTTATGAGCCCGCAGCCGTTCTCGGCCGCGGCGCCCCTCAGCCTCAGGTCGCCCAGCTTCCCCAGCACTCCCACAGCAGCGTCCACAGCGGTGGCGGCCAGCGAGGATGCTGCAGGCTCCTTTGTGCCTGCTACAACTCCAGTGCCTTCATTAAAATTCCGAGACCCTAAGCTGCCGGGGCGTCATGAAGCCGTGGTGGATGCCGGCAATGCACTCCAGAGCTCCTCCTTCCGCCTGGCATCTCCTGCAGGCCTGGCAACGCCGCCGCACCGGAGCACTGCCCTAGGCACTGGCAGCGGCGCCGCCGCTGAGGCTGCCAGTGGAGGCGTCCCGGCCGGCGGCGGCAACAGCAGCACTCCCATGATCAGCCCCGCCAGCACCATTGAGGGCAGGGCGCTCAGCCGCGCTGTTCACCAGGTGGCCAAAACGCTTTCGAGCCCCTTGCGCCCTTCTACCGCAGCAGCTCCTGGACCCAGCGGGCCAGCTGAACCGGCGGCTGCAGCCGCGACGGCTGCGCCATCCCAGAGCCCGGAGGCGAAGGCTGTGCCGACCTCCAAGAGCCTGCCCATCCTGCAAGCCTTGGCGCAGAGCCTGTCGGTACCGAACCGGCGACAGCCGCAGTCCTCGCTTGCAGCTCTGAGCAAGTCGACAGCGGGCAATCGCCACAGCAAGGCCGATACCGGAGCTTCTGCTGCGGCCGGCTCCCCAGGCGCACCTGCAGGGGATGCAGCGACAGCCGCTGTGTCGCCTTCACCCACTGCTTCCGAGGCAACCTTCAGCCAGTCCGCACGGCAGACCGTGGATGACCTACACGCCAGTGCCAGCAGCGCCAGAGCTTCATCCACGTACATGGGCGACGCGCTTCGGTCCTCGCCGTCCTTCCCCCTGACGGCGCAGCAATCTCCCACGTCCGGCAACACCAGGACGAGCACAGCGGATGACGCCGCCTCCACTCCACGGCGCCGGGAGGGTGGCTTGACTGCCCGGTCTCCTGGACGGCAGACTGGAGCTCGGCTGCTTACCTTTGGCTTGAGCACTGGGCACGCGGAGGGAGGCGATGACGGCGACTCTGCGCTGACCCAGCGGCTTGCTGCCATGGATGAAGCGCTTCGAGCCATTGGGGCCGTTTGAGTGATGTGCGAAGGGGGGCACTCACCCGGTAGCTTGCGGTTTCCTTAGCAAGGCTGGTCTTAGCGGGACAGTGACGGTATTAAGGCATCGCATTGTGCATGTTGATCTTCATTCGGCTAGGGGCACATGTCTTGGCATGCTGCTCCAAAGGTGTGTTGTGTATAGCGGCAAAGGCATGCCGGCATGCGGACATGTCTCGTGTGCGCGCATGTGGTGACGCGTCACAGCTTTTCCTCGATGTTTTGACTTAGCTACAGGGATTCCCTTATTCATGGGTAGGGAGACGGGATGCCCAGGCGCCAGGCTTGTCAGGATTCCAGGGTTGGGTTGTGCAACCATGTATTGCGGTTGGGACACGGTCCCTGGGATTTGGCTGTAGGGTTGTATGCCCGCCTTGGTCTGCTAGCGAAAACCAGGACTACGGCCAAACAATTGATTCATCCTTCCTGCAATCAGGACAACCACCATCGCACCATGTGTTTGGGTGCTTTCGCTACCATCCGTGTGCACACAAAGCACGGCTCGGCCGCAATGTGGATGCTAAACTGCTATAAATTTTGAACTGCGTTATACGGCTTGTACCTTTATATGTGCAGCGAAGGGAAGGAATTTATGTAGCAACGGCCAGCTGCCCAAGTGGGGCGGTTCTTCACGGTAGTTTGGGCAGCTTGATATTGGCAGTATCGGTTTGTGCATGAGGGACAGTGTTTGGACCCTCATGCCCTCTTATGTCCGTTCATGCCAAACACAGTTCACACCACGTTGGTTGCCATGTCTGCCCAAAGGACAGGCGCACTGCGTACGGCTCATTTCGTCTAGTTATGCAGGCACTTTGGTGTTCAACCCGCACATGCCGACGATGGCCGCATGTAAATCATGTAGATAAGAGCTAAAGGGCTGCTTGATGAGGTATGCCGGAAGGCGTGAGCTGGGTTCGAGCGACCCTTGGGGCGGCAGCTGGACAGACCACTGCATGGGCGCCTGACTGATCACCAACTACGTACCGGTATCGGTATTAAATGGCTTAGTAGAATCCAGCGTATCGCTTGCAGGAGACCATAAGCTGCCGGCAACCATGGCCCGTGAGTAATGACCTTTCGGGACGGACAATCGCAGCCAATTGCAGTTTGGATACACTATTATCGGTCTCAGCGTCAAGGCGTGTAGCTTGCTGGAGGTTGCCCGCATCTTCACAGCACAAATCGCCGTATAGCCCGAGCGTGTTCATTGGAAACGCCTTCATGCCAAAAATCAAGCATCCCATATAGTAACAACCGTAAATCCCTTCAAGTCCTGTAACGTTACTGTGTTGCAGTGCGCTCTTAAGCTGCCCGAGCTCGTAGCTTTGACCTTTTAAATCTCCTTAGTCCCGACTTCTACAACGCTTGCACGTCAATAGATTGTTTGAACAGGTATGATATGATGGTCCTTAGGCTCTGGGATGCAACTTCTTGTGCAACGCTGCAATCCATCTGCTCTGGAACCGGGCACGCACAGCAGCCCATGCATGGTTGGAAGTTTATGTGCTGCTTATTACTACCTTCGCGCTTTGCAGCTGATGCCAGCGTCGAAAAGGAGAAATGCAAGATGTTGCCCAACATTCCGTGAGCGTTGGGCTTGAAGAGCAGCAGAACATGCAGGTACGGGTCGCGGGACATGCTGAGTAACTTCCAAAGGGGGATCCGGAGCCTTGCAATGCGCATCCGTTCCTTATGGTGTGTTGGGGCTGCTTGAAAGGTTACGGCGTGGTACTGTGAAGCGCCCAGGCAAAGGGGGGCATTGTCGGTATGACACACTTGGCCCCGGACGTGGCACTTGATACCCTATATACCCCCATAACTCTTGTGAGCTCTGAAAGGGGCTAAGATAACCGGAACGGCTCTGACGCGTCCCCTCGTGTCCCTTTTGCAGCCAGCAACCGTTGCAAGCATGGAGCTCGGACCTACTGCTGAAATCGCCAGTGTGACGGAGAGGCCGACTGAGACTGCGGAAAGCCGTCCGGAAGCAGCAGAGAATGCGGTTGCAGGGGGTGATGAGGGCAAAGCAGGTAAGGACATGCAACATGTGTTTGGCCATGCGTGTGCTAATTTAGGCGGTGCGGTGTCCGTTCTACACCGGCCCCGGCGTTGTAAAACGCATGTTCGCGTTTACTCCCTGCATTGGCAATGAGGTCAGCCTCCCCTTCCCGCCATTTCGTCTTCCAGGACCGTCAGGAGCCGAGCTGGGAAAGGAGGTGCTACACGAGAGTTCCACCAAACCCGGACAGAGTGCGGATGACATGAGTGTAGCTGTGCAACGACTCAAGGCGGACCTGGTCCACACTACAAGCTTACTAGAGGGTGGGTGGTGCGCCTTTGCGAAGGTGCTTACTGGGGCTTTAAGCGGCCTTCGGGATTTCATAAGTTGGACCTTAACACGTGCACCTCACAAGGGTCGCCGTGTGCCTACTATGCGTGCTGCAGTGTTGCCTCATGGCTTCCGCATGCTCCTTCACCATCTAATGACTTGTACTCCAACAGGGGCCACAACCGCACGCAGTCAGCTGTCGAAGCAGCTGGAGGAGGCCAACAAGCAGCTTGCGCGCGGCACTGCGTCGGCGGCCGCAGCAGAGGAGCGCCTCAAGGCTGAGCTGCAGCAGATGCAGGTGGGGCACTGCGCTGTGCGTGACTGCTACGGTAGCTGCGGAGGGCATTATCGCAGCTTATCGTCAGGCGTGTGTCGTATAGACCTCTGGGCCTGCATTACACGGCGCTGCCGTACGCTCCATGCGCCATAGTGAAACCCAAGTGTCCTCACTGCTTATAGGTTCGGCTGGCGGCGTCTGAGGCCAAGTGCCGGTCTTTGCAGCAAGCAAACGCCACGCTGCAGGAGGACGTGCTGCGCGCTCAAAAGGAGGCAGCAGCACTACAGGGGCACGTGCTGGAGGAGCGCCGCCTCAAGTAGGTGGCAAGGCTGGCGAGGGCTGACCGGATCCACTGTCCTGTGGTGTTGCATGCGAGCGTGCTTGGGATTTACAGCATTGTCCAATGCTCCTCGAGTGTACGACCGAGTGCGCCAGGGGAGCATTTGGATGCAAAAGCCGCATTCCTAATGCACTTCAACCGCCTGCCGTAATGCCTGGCAGGGAGGATCAAGCCAATGAGTGTCGTCGGCTACAGCGCGACTTGGACGCGGCTACTGAAGGCCTCGTGCATGCGCAGCGGGCGCAACGCAGCTCGGCCGCCAATGCGGCTGAGATGGAGGTTGAATTGGAGGGGCTCCGGGCGGCGCGGAGTGCACTGGAGTCCGAGCTGCAGGCCGCCAGCGCGCGTGTCTTGAAATCACAGGTGGGGCGTTGTGCAGGAGCGGTGCAAGTGACGCGATGGGTTACACGGTAGACGTCAAGCTGCTGCAATGCCCGGCCCTGGTTGCACCTCTTTTTCCCGATACCGCATGTCCTGCGTAACGTGCTGACCGTTCGCTGGCAGGAAGAAACCCGGGATCTGGCAGAGCGGAATGCGGAGCTTGCTAGACAGCTGCGCGAAACGTCGGCAACTGTACGGCAGCTGGAGGCTGAAAATACACGCCTGGTGGCTGGGAACGCGGAGCTTACTGCAGCAGTGGAGGCTCGGGCTGCTGAGGCCAGGACGGCGCGTGAGGAGGTGGCGGAACTGGCGGCGCAGCGGACCCGACTGGTGGCTGAGATGAGGGCCCTGCGGGGGGAGCTCGAGCAGGTGGAGGTGAGCTGGAAGCAGCAGGAGGGGAGCAACATGGCATGAGGCTTGACCGCTTGAGGCATATGCTGTGCTGTCCTTGTGATATTAGTATCTCGAATGCAGAGCTGCCCGGGCTGCTAACACATCACAACGCGGGCATTTGCCCTGCTGCTGTTGCCGTATCCACAGGCCAGTAGGGTGCGTGAGGCGTTGTCGGAGACCCGGAGGGAGGTCTCGCGGCTCCAGGCAGAGCTGGCAGCGAACGACCGGGTCCTAGCGGACGCCGAGGCGGCGCTGCTGTCACTGGTTGCCGACCGCGACAGCCTCGAGCAGCAGGTCAACGCCGCACGGCAGGCGGAGCGCCGGGCCGCGGATGCCGCGGAAGCTTTGCGGACACAAGTGGCCACGCTGCAAACGCAGCTTGGGGCCGTCCTGGAGGGCCCTTTGCTTGCAAAGCACAAAGCGTCGGGCGCCACAACTGGCGCTGTCGTTCGTGATGTGAGTACAGTATGAGGGGGGTGTCGGGTGCGCTATCCATCTGGTGTGTCACGTTTGCATCATGCTTGTGAAAGACCATTCCCCTTTCAACGCAATGTGTGCTCCTCTTTTGCCTTCTCCCTCGCTTTCAATCCTCTTGTTACAGCGCGTGGCTGTACAGCGGATGGCCGACTACCTGCAAGTCCTAAGCGTTGAGTCTTCAAAGCCACGTCCATCCGGCGGTTCCAGCAGCAGCATTTCCCGGGCGGCATCACTATCCAGGCCCACAGGTACCGCCCTGCCGCCGCCAACGGGGCCCGAACCGTCCAGCAGCGACCCCACTGCGGCGGCCATAGTCTCGGTGCCTTCAGCTAAGCACTACCCTGCCGCTGCGGTCCCTCCTGATGCTGGCGTGGGGCTCATCCTTTCTACCTCGAGCCAAGGACCGGTGGAGGTTGAGGCAGCGAAGGAGGACAGTGCTTTGCGACCGTACAAGTCCATGGTTGAGGGGGCTGCTGCTGCTGCTGCAGCTGCATCGCCCCGGGTATGCAAGCCCCTTGGAGGCGTGATGTCGCTCCCGGCGGCGACCAGGGCACACAGCGACACCACGGAGCCGCGAGGCGCCCTGACGCACACGACGCCTGGCGGCACGGCTGCCGCATCACCCAGTCCGGCCGCTGCGCTTGTCGTGGGGAAGCTGGAAAGCCCTCCGCATGCCTCCTCCCTGTGAGTGCCTGGGGTTTCTCCTGTGCGTTCAACGCATGGTCCCTCGCAACATGTTTGTTGTGGACGAGTCGTCCTATAAACTTGATAACAGTGGTCTGATGACAAAGCCGGCGTTTCCCGTTGTCATGCGTTTTCGATCTTGCGCTGTCAGCCTCCTGAGCAAGGCTCTATTCCCTGTCCCTGCCATGCAGAAGCCATCAGCCAGAACCGGCAGGTAACGTTGCGCCGGTCGCAGGCGACGCTGTCTCCAACACCACTGCCCCAGGGCCGTCTAAAGGGGAGCAAACAGCTGCCACGTCGAGCTTACCTTTAGAAGGGGAGCCCTCGGTTGCATCAAACAACGCCTCTCCAGGCCAAGTAGGGAAGCCCCTTGTTCCCTTGCCAGCCGTTCCCGCAGCTGCTGCTGCTGCTGCCGCCGTACAGGTCAGCGACGGCATTCCGCAGAGTGGCTCTCCCTCCACCTCACCACCCAGCGCAGTGACCCGGCGGAGGGCGGCTACAGAGCGAGCGGGCAGCAACACGCGACAGAGTCTGGAACGCTTAATCGAAGAAATGAACGCCCAACCCTCAGCATCGAGCGTGGCAGCGCAGGAGGCCGCTACAAAGGAAGAAGCTGACGTGTCGTCAGTACCCCCCGTTACCGCGGCTGATACTACTTCGCCATCCGCTACCACCGAGGGACCCCTGCCGGACCCAGTGGCACAGTACCCGCCGGATTCCACCTACGCTGGCTCGTCTCATGGCTGCGAGAGTCCGGAAGCGATGTCCAGTAGCCAGCAGATGCTGTCCGCCGAGTCCAGTGCTGGCACCGGTGCCGAAGCTGCCGAGCCCAGCACGCCGATACCAGCGGTGCAGCAGCCCTTCACAACAGCCACCCCCGTCCCACCGGTGCCGGCATATGTTGCTGAAACGACTGGTTTGCTTCATAGCTCCGCGTCCCTGGCCCCTCTGGTGACACCGCGGTCGCTGCTGTCAGCATCCCGGCTTACCGCTTCGTTGAGCCTTGGAGCGGCCAGCGACGGCGTCAGGTCATCCGGCCTGGTGGCTGGTGGCAGCGGCACGGTGATGATCAGCCCTCGCAACATGCTGGAGGGCCGTATGCTGACTCGGGCGGTGCGCCAGGTGGCAGACGCCCTGGCGCGGCCGTCGAGTGTTGGCGGGGTGCTTGAGGCGGGTTCCGGAGCCCTTTGGTCGCTGCCCCTCGGCTTCTCAATAGGCGAGGAGCAGCTGGCGTCTGGTTCCGGGGCGTTGACCAGCTTCCAGGGATCTACCAGTCTGCTGTCGCCACTGCCCTCCTGGCGCCAAGCGGCTGCCCAGCAGCTGTCTTCTCTGACCAACAGCCCAGTCCCTGCCGGTGTCAGCGACTTGCAGCCAGTGGACAGGAGCGGCTGCTCGTCCGCTGCCCCGCCCAGTCCTACAGCACCCGCGAGCGTTGCGAGCACTGACCTGATCGCCACAATGGACGCCCAAGCACCCCTGCCCGTGCCCTTTGCTGCGGCTCCAAACCTTGCGCAGATGGCTCAGCGCATCAGCACTGAGCTGAATTCTGTTGCGAGCTCTGGTTTGGGGGCTTTGGGTGGAGTGGTAGGGAGTTTGGGCAACGGCGGCAGCATCCGCGCAAACATCTCCCTTCCTATGGCCTCTAGCCAAACCCTGGCCGCTAGCCAGACTCCGGTCTCCCGAGGGAGCTCCCTACACGGTTCACCGTTTCCGGAGGTCGTCCAGGAATACAGCGGCTACGCTTACTCGTACATCCATCCCGCACAGCGGCGCTCCCCGCTGCAGCCGGCCAGCCCAATACGTGGTTCGCCCTGGGACCGCATGGCGATGGGCATGAACGCACCCTCGGCTGTGCCCCCTGCTGCGCCCGAGGATGACACCGGGTCCTTGCTTGCGCAGCGGCTGGCGGCCATGGACGAAGCGCTGCGAGCTATTGGGGCAATCTAACGGGGTAACGCTAGTGGTATGGTGCCCAAAGCCCAATTTCTATACATAAATGACCATGGGGGTGTACTCCGTGTGTGTTTTGTTGTTGCGACACGTTGAATGCAGCAGCAATGTAGTTGAGTGATCCTGTTTCCCCGGATGCTGAGTTAACGGGTTTGCATGTGCCAGGAACCCTGAGAAGCATGTCGTGGTGTTGGCATCGCATTGTGACGTTGTATACTGACAATTATCCAGCGATCGGTGGCCTCAAGCGTGCTCTACCTTCACGGCGTGCGCATTCGCGCGCGGGAATTGTCTGTGAGCGCACCCATTCTTGTAGTGATACCCATTCCCTCTGTTCCTGGGGTTTCGCGGCTTGTGGCGCCTTGACAACCGGCACCCAGTACCAGCAGTACGTTTTGGGTCTACATGCGTCATGGTAGCTGCAGGGCCTGATATCCTAGGCTAACTGTGGATGTCCAGACCAATATGGATGCCAAGTCAAACTGTCCAGCTGTTCTGTGGAGTGTGGTAGAGGCGTTGCTGGTCTTGTTGGTATGGAGGCTTTGCATGGCCGGTTGAAGTTGCATGCACAGGCGTGATCTTTTTCCTGCACGCCCAATGTTCAACGACCCAAACTCCTCGACGACACGGTTTGCGTGCCTGTAAAAGCAACGCTTTTCATTCAGGTAGAGTAAAGTTGGCCATGGTGCTGGATTAACAGGTTCGCCGTTAGCATCCCGCTGGAGTTCGGCATCTTCGCGGTTAGGGATACCGGTGCAACGGACTGTTCCCAGGATATGCGGCATTGATTAGATTGCTGTTTCCTGACTGTCCCAGCTTCACAACACTACAGGTCCTTCATGATGTGCTTTGCTAAACTTTACCTTCCCATGTCACATCCATCCATGTGGTTGACTAAAGCAAGTAACCTAAAAGAACTTGCATGTCACCTTCACGCACGCGAATGTTGGGTGCGTCTGGCGTGTAGCATGCCGAAAACAAGCGATACGCAAAGTGTTCGCTACAAGCCGTACGCACATTTACGTTTGCCATACTTTGCGGCTTACCACCGTTCAGGTTGTCGGGTCCATTCAATATCTTACTTGAAAAGCTTACCGCAGTGCGCGGAGCGCCCAAGTGAAGGAACTTAACTGGAGGTGTCTTCTAGAGGGTTGTACTGTTCAGTTACATTTTTGGGGGTGACGACGAAGGCATGAGCAGTTTTAATGATATGCAACCTAGCACATCAGCGCCGACGGGGCCGCCAGGCTCACTAAGGCTTCCGCAATGTTGTGGCTCGGCCCGTGTAGATTTCAATATCAATGACCCTTGCTATGTGTTTCATACATTAACAAATACAACCGGCGATCTAGTTGCCGCTTCGGTGTCGAATAACACTATTAAGTTGTACCAGCCGAGCGGGCCGCAGCTGTCGCTTGTGGGCGAGTTGCGAGGGCATTCCAGCACCATCACAGACCTGGCGTTCGGGGGGAGCAGCCAGCCTGGCATCGTGATGTCATCTTCAGCAGACGGGACTGTTGTCTCCTGGGACGTACGGACGGGGCAACCAACAGAGACGTGAGTTAGGGCCCTGCCGACGCACTGGGGGGCGGTGGAGTTACTTTCCCGATGACGGGAGTTGTATGCCAAAAGGCACATTCGCTAGGCAGCCTAGGCACGCAAACCTTGCATGCGGACGCAAGCCACGGACGTGGGGACTGGGCCGCTTACTTAGCACTTGCTCGCGGAGATGCCGGTATCCCAGGGAAACGAGCACCGTAATAAGTTGCAAGTACTGCTTAAGTTTGCATCAGCTTCTTGGAGACGCGCCTTTCCCGGAAACCACCTGGGACGCCTTACTTGCTCAGTCCTTCACGCTGGGCCGCCCGGGCGCGGCTCCAAGCGGTTACCGGTGCTTCAGGTTTCCCAACCCACGCATTGCAGTCGTCAATCATTCCACTGTACGGTGGAGACGACGGCCATTTAGGATGTTCCATTCTAACCGCCCACGGTATCTTAACACAGCCCACTGGTCCCCGCCCTGCCCTCCACACCCCGCAGGTACAAGGTGCAGGGTCAGGAGGTCTTCTCCTTCTCCAGCCTGGGGCACGTGCTAGCAGCGGGGACCGCGGGGGAGGTGCGGTTCTGGGACCGGCGAACACGCCAGCAGCTGGCCACGCTGGATGACACGCATGCGGAGGACGTGACCCAGGTGCGGTGCTGGGGAGTGAGAACGCGGTAAGAACGCGGTAGCAATTGCAAAGGCATGACAGAGTTCCGATTGAGCATGGGGCAGTGACGCGTTTGTCTTGATGCTGAGCGGCCATTGTCACTGTTAGCTTTGCGCCCACGGGAGGCGTCGCAAGCGTACGTATGGCGGTGTTTGACCGCTTGGCCCTTCCCTACCTCCCCGCCCCCCAGGTGCGCTTCCACGAAAGCGGCCGGATACTGAGCGGCTCCACGGACGGCTTGATAGCGGTGCACGACGTGTCAAAGTCCTTCATTGACGATGACGTTTTCCAGGTATGCCACAGGGCCTTTTGGTTATGCCGGCTGCATGGGAGGAAAGTAGGTCATATCCTTCACAAGGTCTTTGCTTGCTGGCAGGGCAATCCGCACCGGACCACAATAAGTGTGAAGCTATGGCAGTGGCTGTTGGTCCTTCCCTGCACCATAAGATCCCCTATAGCGCATACCGTACTGTGCATGCGCTCGGTCCCGTAGTGCAGCCATGTGACATGCCTGGCCGCGACGTTTGACTCGCGGTGCACCTCTGTGCGTTCCCGTGCAGGCCGCAATCAACGTCAACAACTCCGTGGAGGAGTTTGGGCTGTACGGCACGGACGGCGGCAAGCTGTGGATCCGCACTGGCACGGAAAGTGTGCTGCTGTGGGAGTGGCTGCGGGGCACCGACGAGGAGGTCCCGGGAGGTGACATGCAGTTTGCGGAGTTCAGCGACGCCAGAGGCACGTGTGCGCAGGCGTGTGCGGCGTCTGCAGCCGCCAGCTTGCTACCTGAGGTGCGCTGGGCTCGTCAGGCTCGACTGGGAACTGTGTTTGCGTTTGTCCCTCTGGTCGCTAGCGGTTCCTCGCTACCTGTTCCTTCCTCTCTGACCACTCTCCCTGTGTTACTGCCTGACCCCTTCTCTTAACCACAGGTTGACTACTTGGTCGGGTGCCACTACGACCGCCCCACCAACCAGCTGTTCATGCTGGCGGGCCACAACGACGGCCCGGTGGCCTTCCTGCCTGTGCTGGAACAGCAGGGACCGCACGGAGCCATGACGGCGGCGGCGCTGGCCACCCCCGTTGTGGCGCTCGCGGGGGGGCACTCGTCCATTGTGCGGTCGGTTCACTGCATGGGCGATGGGAACAGCGGCCCTTTCGGCGTGACGGGCGGAGAGGACGGCCTCGTGTGCATGTGGACGTTGGATCCCAGCCTGCTTGCGGCGGCGTCAGCGAGCAACCCAACGGCGGCACCCCCGGGCAGCGCCACCGCGGTTCAGGCGGCTGGTGGCCAGGGGACCTCGCAAACGCAGCCTTCGGGGGGGCCTGAACGGCAGCATAAGTACGCAAAGAAGCGAGGGAAAAACAGGCGGCCTTCTCCGTACTAGCTTGCGAGCAACGGAATACTTGACACAGCAGCTTAGGGATGGTCCTGGTGTTGCTCGGTCGCTTCTGGGGTTGCTTGGAGTGCGCTGGTTGAATTGAGTTGCCAGTCGCCCAAGGGAGCTGAAAATGAGTACAGGAGTCGTTGGAAGACCTCGTGCACCACACAAGCAGGGATGTAAAATTGTTGCCCCAACTTGCGTCCAACTTGGAGCAACGCCCAGGGGACAGCTTGTGGCTTCGAATTGCGTCATTTCACTGCTTGCTTTGGCTTTCCTGGGACACGCCTAGGCAGCAGCCAGAGGAGCATGGTGTCTCCCCCCTAGTCGTTTGGCCTGGCGCTATAACAAGATATGCCGCAACAGGAAACCAGAGAGACCTTGCCGAACGTAGGTACAGCAACAGCTAAGAAGGAAACTCGTAAAAGGTGTTGGCTGGGCGAGATGAGCATGGTCCATGCTCTATGTTTGGTTCTAAGCGTGGATTTGCCCTATTGCAAACAGGGATGGTATAATTTAATTATAGAGTAGCAACCTTCTCAGCCATACACATTCCACGCCGTCTACGGGATAGAATACGGTGTTTACAAGGGATAGAATGCGAAAGTTACAAGGGACAGACGTACTCTCCAGAACCGGATCCACGGCAGGATCCATTAGGAATGCTTTCACCTTACACTGGAAGCCCTAGCTGATTCAATCACCGTGAAGTATAGACTTCTTTTTTTCTTTACTGGATGCGACCTTTCTTCAATTTTTACAGTGACAACTTGTAAATGTGGAACCAGCCATTACTGAGACAACGCAGCCAGGCAAAAGGATAAACCATGTCTATAATGAGGTAGTCCTTGGATAGCCATTAGGCGATAATATGGAAGTCAACGCTCAGGGCTCGCGGCGTCGCCTTGGTGCTGCACAGCCTGCAGCTGCTGCGCCTCCAGCGGTGGCCCCTACCCCACCAGCGTACTCTCCCGCTGGAGCGGGCCCAGCTCCGGCAGGACCTTGGCAGCAGCAAAGACCTGTGGATGGTGCGTCGAGCAGTCCTCAGGGCTCAGGACGTGGCCGCTCTTAACGCCCTATCGCCCTGGGCTCGTTCCCTCAGGCGTCCAGCAGTGGGAATCTCCAGGGGCTCCGCCAGCTGGGCTTATCCCAGGCGCTGTGGGGAGTCCTGGGAGTCCTTCGCCGCAGCCGTAAGCTGGTGTCCTGCCTTCTGGTTTGGTCGGGTTACTTGGCTAGGCGCCCCACGCATGTCGACGCTTCTAGTACAAAAGGCAGGTCACGGATGGGCAAACCATGCTTGCTGTGCCCTTGCAGGGGCTCAGGTGTTCACAGGCGACACATAAAGCGAACCATCCCTCTTCAAGGTAACGGATGGCGAGAGCACAGCGCATCACATAAGCGCTCACATACCAAGAGTACATCCTGGGGAGGTACCAGTAACGCTGCATGGGCCCTTGCAAAGCAGGCGAGGTCCCGGACGACGCATACTGGAGCAGTAACCGCTGGGGCCCACCTGGCCGCGCGGTTGTGTCGCAGCCGCCCAACACCCTTGAAGCCAAGAAGTAGGTGTGCCCTTGCTGGCTCATGCAACGAGTGCAGACGTGCCTCGGTGCAGAGGTGCATAGCGGGTTCCAGGGAGATGCGGTAGCAATTATCAGCTGTGCGTGGTTGTGCAGGGCGAAGAAGCACTACCAGCAGCCCACCGCTCCCATCACCAAGCCAGACTCCAGCGTGTTTGCGACCCTGAATGGTAAGGGGCTTGAATGGAGGACCTCACCTCATTACCACGCTTCCTCATAACCAGGCTGCTAGTTGCTGCTGCGCGGCACACTTCTCCGTGGTATGTCCCCAAGCCCCTCCCGGCTTATTGCTTTTGGAAAGCTGTGTCTCCGCACGTTCGCAGACCTTGAGGTGCTCATGCGGGCCACGTTGGGCGCCCTCGCCAACTTCAATGAGGACGAACGCATGCTGCTCACAAAGTAAGCCCTGCGCGACCTCCCGCCCGTTTGGGCCCACTTGCGTACGGGCTGCAGCATCCCACATGTTCTCCTTTTGGGGCCTGTAACTTGCCTTAACTGGAACGGGCAGCTTCTTCAGCGTTGCAGCCTCTAGTTTGCCTCCACTCCGTGCGTCCGGCTCGGGGTCCTCCTCGAACAGCTGTCCCCAACAGAATCTGCACGGAGGCTAGTGGGCGTGCACGCAGCTCAAGGGTTACCTGTCCTTAGCGGGTTCAAACACCATGTGACTGTCCCCAACACGTTCGCGTGCGGGTGTTTGCAGGCAGTTCCGCAGGGAGGAGCACAAGGCGCGTCTGCGGGGGGAGTATGCGCCGCCGGGACTCATCAACACCGCTCAGTTTCGGCACGCATGGAAGAAGTTCAGCATTCGGGTATCGGAGGAGCAGGCGAACGCGCTGTTCGTCAAGTACGGCTGTGACTCCCAGGGCTTGCTGCCGTACGACTTGTTCGCCACCAAGCTGCTTTCCAGCCCCATGCGCTTGCTGGCCTTGGAGCCGGAGCAGAAGGTAGGAAGGAGTGGCGCAGCCAAGGGTTTACCCTCCCCGTGCCCATTTAGTGGGTTATCTCCTAGGACCAACCCATGACATTGGTGGGCGTAGCTAACATGGCCGGTCATGCATGGCCTGGGGCATTGAGAACTGAGCCTAAGCCTTGGTTTGTGCTTCGCGCAGGGCCCCTACAAAGCAGGCCGCGACGCTTCCTTCCGCGGCAAGATCACGTACCGCTACTGCCGCAAGCCGGTCTTCCCGCCCTCAGACTGGGACGGTGCACCCGCCCTGCGCTCGGCAAAGAAGCCCAAGGTGGGTAACAAGGCGGGCAGAGGCGGGCCTTGCAGCACTCTGTAACCAACAGCGCATGTTGGCTTGCGGACCAAACGTAGCTACCGGCACTCGATCCCCTATCGTCTTGCCCTCACATGTGTTTGGTTTCCCTCTAACACCCCCCTTGCAGCCCGGCCTCAAGCTGGAGTTCGTGTACGGCTACGGCGGCGTGGACAACACCGCGTCCAACATCTTCTTCACGGGGGACAACCGGCTGGTGTACTACACGGCGGCGGTGGGCATCGTATACGACCCAGCCACCCACACGCAGCAGTTCTTCCAGGTAGGGAGGGCGTCCGTAATCAACGCATACATTATCGTTTTTACCTACCAATTGTGTAGTGTGGGATGGCGTCGTGAGGTCATAGCAGCGCTACGGTGGGATCACTGCGCTATGGTGCAAAGCCTATTGAACAGTGAGCACACGGCAATTATCAATTCCTCCCTAACCATGGCGGCCGTCAGGGGCACGACGACGACATCAAGTGCCTGGCCATCCACCCCGACCGCTTCACGGTAGCAACCGGTCAGGTGGCGTCTTCCCTGGACGGCACGTACGACAACCCCTTTGTGTGCGTGTGGGACGTGCGGGACCCGCTGGGCCTCATCTGCCGCATCCCCTTCCCCTCCGACGGTGCACCCACCAGGTAAGTCCATGCGTGGGCTCTTGGCAGACACAAGCGAGCACGTTGTTTTCAGACGGTACCTCACCTAGACGACACCCCCCCGTAGTTGCTGGGTGGTGCCATGACCCCTCATGAGCGGGCTGCTGCGGGCGGTGCAGGTACATCGTGGCACTGGCCTTCTCCGGGAATGGGCAGCGGTTGGTTGCGGTTACCGCTGATAACCGCCACACCGTCAACGTCTTCCACTGGAAGACCAAGGCGCTCATCCACTCGGATGTGGGCCACAACGGGCAGCCGCCCCAGGTGCGTTCTGTTGCCCTTGCCTAACTTGGCACTTGCCTGCGCGAGCGTCTGCAACAGCGCTCACACGATTGGAAATCGATGCTGTTGGCGCCGATAAATGTGTAATGTTTTGTCCAACAACGCTGTGGCGCAGGTGTTTGGCGTGGTGTGGAACAACTTCGTGAAGGACCGCGACGCGCAGGGGCAGGGAGTCATCCCGCCCACAATGTTCGTGACGTACGGAGTCAAACACGTCAAGTTCTGGATCCAAGAGTACGACGAGGTACGACAAGGGAAGCTGCAGCGCTTCACCTCAACACCGTTTCGCCATGCCTGTGCATATGCTGGCTTCACATGCTGGTTAACTGGTGTACCCGTTTTAACTAAACAGGGCTACCAGTCCAGTAGTCCAACCACTAACCACCACCTTTCATCCCATGTGCGTGCAGAGGTCCAAGAAGGAGCGTTACAAGGGCAGCATGGGCAAGTTCGGGCGGGCTCAGGTGCAGGACGTGCTGAGCGCCGCCTTCGTGTCGGCCGACACCCTGGTCACCGGCTCGCAATCGGGCGAGCTGCTCATGTGGGACGTCAGCGGCACCCGCTCCAGGACCGGGCAGTTCGGCTGCTGCATCAAGGTACGACACGGTACCGGTAATCAGCTTGTTGTTAAAAACACTGGCATGCAGCAATTGCAGCAAGCGAAGGAAGTCCAGTCCAGAGCATGCATGCCTGTCACGCCCCGTATGGGAATGTACCGGTACTGATGCGGACGAGCCGCACTCCGCTGCTGCTCCGTGCATGCCCCCAGGTCATCCAAGCGCACGGCCCGGGTGTGCCCGCGCCCAGCATCCACGACGGCACACCCGTGCTGCAGGGCGTGCGCTGCATGGCCCTGCGCGCCAGCCGCACGGAGCTGGTCACCGGGGGGGCGGACGGGCAGATCATCTGCTGGGACATCACGTCGGGCGAAGTGGGCCGCGTGGTCAAGACTATCCAGGTATGCGCAGATTCCCGCCCTGTCCTCACACACATAGTCAGATGGGTTGCGCGTCCTTAATGGTGCACTTAGGTTTTCCTCTTTGATAAGATACCTGCATGGTTGCCTAATACGGAGCCGCGCGCTGGAATACCTTCTTCCCTGCACAGCTGCACGAGCCTGGCGAGAAGGACCCGGCGGTGTTCCGCTCCCTGGACGCGCTGGAGGGCGGGTACGACATGGTGGCAGGCACCCAGAGGTGGGCGGGGGGGGAGCGGGGCGGGGGGTGGCATGGGTGTGGGGGGGCCTGGCTGCCGGGGACTTGCGGCTGGCATGGCTCCGGAGTTTTCCGAGGACTGCAGCTGACTGCGGCCGCCAAGCCTTGACGCAGAAATATATCGGTGTGTGCTTGCACGCTGCCCCCATTGGTGCCAGGTGCGAGATCTGGGAGCTGAGCCGGGATGTGCCCGAGCCGCTGACTCAGGGCCACTCCGCGGACGTGTACGGCCTGGCCTGGCACCCCAGGAAGCCGCACAAGTTCGCCACCGCGTGTGACAGCATGAACGTGTTCCTCTGGAATGCACGGCGCCGCCAGCTGCTGGTGCGTGATGGTGTGCGTGTGTTAAGAAAACTGGCCGCGAGGCGGAACGTACTGTGATTGCCGGAAGAGGAAGTCCCCACAGAGGATGTGCGTGTGTGTGCTAAGAACAGCAGGGTGGCGTGCTGTGCAGGGTCCTGCCCTTGCACTTGACGGAGGAAAGGACGGCTGTCCAAGCCGACCCTAAAGCTAAGCGGAGCCCCATGCCAAGCCGCTGCTGGCCTGCTGCCGCCCCTGCTGCTGCTCCTGCAGGCCAAAGTGAACATCGGCGTGGAGGCTCGGTCGCTGGCGTTCAGCCCCAACGGCGCGCATCTGGCAGTGGGCACCATCACCGGGACGGTCAAGGTGGGAGGAGCCGGCAGAGCGCTTGCCTTAGCCATACGGCGAGACGGGTCCAGCCCAGCATTCCTGCTAAGGCACTCTGATACGCACACCTTGTACGATGTATAGCCCATGCTGGCTCTAAGAACCAGTGCTTCTAAAGTGCCTGATTCATACCCACCTTGCATTGCACCAGGGGGCCAGGCCTCCTCCCATGTCCCACCTGCTCCCCGTCCCGACACCCCCACCCCCACCCACGCACAGGTGCTGCTTGTGGAGAACCTGACACAAAAGGTTGCGGAGTTGAGCACACTGAAGGAGATGGTGCACGAGCTCAAGTACTCGCCCGACGGCACCAAGCTGGCGGCGGGCAGCCACGACAACTTCATTGACATCTACGACGTCACCCGGCAGTAAGACCGGGATGGGGCCTTTTGTGAGGGTGGGAACAGCAGCCCTTCCGGTTGAGCCTACACGCCTGGTACCGTAAACTGTACGCTTAGTAAAGCAGGGCTAAGCAGGGCTCTCGAAACGCCCCTTTCCCTTATCTCCTTACCTCACCTGCCCTCTCCCGCACCTCGCAGCTACGCCCGCCTGGCTCGCTGCTCGGGCCACAGCTCCTACATCACGCACCTGGACTGGTCCGCGGACGGCCGCATCCTGCAGTCCACCTGCGGCGCCTACGAGCTGCTGTACTTCGAGGCCGGCACCGGCAAGCAGGTGCGCCAGAACCAGCGGGACACGCGGTGGGCCTCCTGGACGTGCGCGCTGGGCTTCCCCGTGATGGGCATCTGGCGGGACGGCACGGACGGCACTGACATCAACGCCGTGAGCAGGTCGGGGGGTCGGGTCAGGGGGTCGGGTCAGGGCGAGCGGTGTCCGGTGTGGGGTACCGACCCCACTTGTGGCTGCACTCGGAAAGGCATGCGCAGATGTCCCCTTCACACTCGAGGCGGGGCATTGAAGACCCTTGAAGGATGATGATGAAGTGGGCATGTCTGAGCGGTTGCATGTGCAAAGCTTCCGCGCGCAAAGGGATGAGACGCCATACAATAATGTCATCCTTGCCCTGACTACACGGCAACTAGATGCTGCTGTAACGTTGATACCTGCTCGCCCGAGTAATATGACGGCAGCGACTCCTGGTTACGTACGATTCCTGCTGTCGCAATGCGCCCCCCAGGTCGCACTCCGGGCTCTTCCCCGACACCGACCCCCTGATGGGGGAGGGCGAGCTGGTGGTGACTGCGGGGGACGACGGCCGTGTGCGGCTCTTCAACTACCCGTGCGTGGTGGAGGACGCGCCCTGCAGGTAAACATGCGTGGCGGGAAACAGCTTCCAACTCCACCTCCGAGCCTCTTTGCGCACATAGCTGGCTCTGCCATTGTAGGGCCCCCATGTCTGCTACACTCTTTCTCGAACAAGCGGTTCAGTCGGGGTCTCACCTTACTTACCCTTCCCCTCTGATGTCCATGCACGCAGGACCTACCTGGGCCACTGCTCGCACGTCATGAACGTGCGCTTCAGCCCCGACAACCGCTACGTGCTCTCCGTGGGCGGCAAGGACCGAGCGGGCATGCAGTGGCGGGTGCTGCGGGAGGCGCAGGACGAGGTGGGAGCCGCCACTGCCCGAGGGTCCCTGACCGCAGTAGCGCTATAGCCTGCGTTGGGTGGAGTCGTGATTGTTTGGATTGTGCATGGCATCAGTACAAACCGGTGGCATGCCTTCCAGGCAGTCGCACAGGCCATGCTGCCGCGTCCTTTATTCCTGCGAGTAGCTGTGTCCCTTCCTTCCTGCCAATGTGCACATGATTCCGTACAATGCTTTGCTGGCCTCACAGGTGGTCCTGCTGAAGCCGCCGCTGCCCGAGGTGTACGTGTACGAGGCGCCCAAGCGGGCCCTGGTGGATGTGGAGCCGCTGCCGCCGGCGCCTGCACCAGCCCCCAAGGACACCCGCGCGGAGGAGGAGGCCAAGAAGAAGGAGGCGGCTGAGGAGCGGGACCGCAAGCGGCGCGAGAGCCTCCACTCGTACGAGATCACCACCGTCACCTCGGACATCAAGTGAGCTGGGGTTTAATTTCTCCCCGTGCTGCCGCTAAATCCTAGAAATGCACAATGTCTTACGTGGCACTGAGTGTCGGCAGGCTCTATTACACTCCAATATATGCAAAAAAAACCGTGTTCGCACGCGCCCCACGTCCCCAGGGGTGCCGGAACCGATTCCAACGTCTTCCTGGTGGTGTATGGCAACAAGAACACCAGCGGCGAGGTGAAGCTGGAGAACGGCCCGGACAACTTCTCCCGCGGCCGCACGGACACCTTCCTGGTGGACCTGCTGCCGCTGGGGGACGTGCACCAGCTGCGCATTGGACACGACGCCAAGGGCAACAACCCGCGCTGGTAGGCTGTCATGGTGTTGGGTTGCATGTGGGGGGGGGGTGCGGTGGGTCGCGGTGCGCTGCCCTGCGCCACTCAATGGGCCATGGTTGGGTAAACCGGTTGTATAACAGCCCGCCACCCTCGCATGGATGGGCGCCGTCAGGTGGAGCAACCTAGGTGCTGTACAACAGTTGGTTTAGCAGTGGCTCAGCTGCAAGCCGTTGATTCAATTAATGGGCTATGCATGCTTCTAAATCTATGCTTCTGCCCTCCGTTTACGTGCTCAGGCACCTGGACCGAGTCGTTGTGAAGAACAAGACCGCCAACACGCCGCCGCTGGTGTTCCCCTGCGGTATGTACGGCTGGGAGGGCCAGTAGTAGACAGTGGTAGAACTGTCACAGGTGACGGGCAACACCGCGTGAATTTCGTCCATGCAGGCCAGTGGTTTGCCACCGACATTGGCGACAAGAAGATCGTCCGCCTGTTGAAGCTGTCGGGCGCGATGCAGGAGGCGGGCGAGCCCAAGATGCTCCGGTACAAGGTGGTGGTGAAGACGAGCGACGTCAAGGGCGCAGGTGGGTGGAAGCACATGACAGGCTCTGTCTATCATACACGCAGCGCATGCCGCCGCATCTTGCGCATTCCATCCGTACATGTAGCTCTTTACTGGTATGGTGTTCGTTTGTCGCCAGACAATTGCAAGCTGATCTGCGACACGACATGTCCATGTTCAGCACCTCCACCGCCTCTGCTACCATCCGCTTGCCCCCCCCCGCGCACGCAGGCACCGACGCCAACGTGGCGCTGCAGTTGTTCGGGGAGCACAACGCCAAGAAGTACCAGAGTCCAGCGCTCAAGCTGGAAAACAGCGCCAACAACTTCGAGCGCGGCATGACGGACACCTTTGAGGTGGAGGCGGCGGTGGGCGAGGTCAAGTACATCCGCATTGGTCACGACAACAGCGGTTTCGGAGCCAGCTGGCACCTGCAGGAGGTGCTGCTGTCCACCCCGAGTGCTCCGGACATGCAGTTTGTAGCCAACAGGTGGGCAATGGGGGGGGTCATATGTTAAGAATTAGCACCGGTAAGTACTGGTGGCGCCTATCTGGCAGATTTTTTTGTGTCCTCATGCCTCAAGGCCTGGTGTATTTTGGGGTGTTGTAAGCTTGTAACTAACCCGTGCGTCGTCGCATGCGTGCAGGTGGTTGTCGGACTCGGATGGGGACTGCCAAACGTACGTCACGTTGTACCCGGTGGGGAGCAAGGACGTGCCGCTGCCGCACAAGTACCAGATCACGGTAAGCGTCGCGGAGGGCAGGACGTCTGGCATGTCTGACAAACCCCGCTACCTTGTTTGAGGTTTTGTGACGTATGCTGTCCTGCCTGATGGACATCCCTGTAGGTGTTTACATCGGACCTGCGAGGAGCTGGCACGGACGCCAACGTCGACATCTCGCTGTTCGGCACCAACTCCACCATCACCAATGTAAGCCGGTTGAACGCACAAGGAAACGCATTTGCTTGATCCTGTGCAGCCCCTTCCGGCTGTGATACGACACCTGCAATTGCACAGGAGCCGCAGCACCAACCCCTGCCATGGTGTCTAGTAGCGTTCTTTGCGTCTCGTGCCCAATGCCTGACCACCTTGCAGGTCAAGCTGGAAAACTCGAAGAACAATTTCGAACGGAACGCGGAGGACGTCTTCTTCTTCGAGTTCCCGGACTTGGGATCCATCCCTGAGATCGAGATCGGACACGACAACTCGGGCCTCATGCCCGGCTGGCACTGCGCCAAGGTGGTCATTGAGGATCAAACCGCCAAGACGCGCTACGTCTACCCCTGCGACCGGTGAGTGCGTTACTGCCCTCAGGCGCGTATGGTGCACATGCCAGCAGGTGGTGGACTGGCCCATGGGTCATGCTACGGGATTTGGCACATTAAGCTGAACGATAACGGCTAGCGGTGTGATACCGAGTTGTTGGGATGATTGCCCTGCTCCCTTAAATGGATGCCATGCCCCCCATGGCGCTGTCAGGTGGTTCGACAAGAGTGAGGAGGACGGGCTCATCCGGCGGCGCCTCAAGATGGCGGAGGTGGGCGGTGAGAACACGGACTACACGGTCACAGTCGTTACCTCGGACCTGCGCGGTGCGGGCACGGACGCCAATGTCTACCTGGAGATTACGGGCGAGCGCGACGGCAAAGAGGTAGGAACCGGTGCTGTGCTTTCGGCTGGTGGAAGGATCATGCTATACGACAACGTAGATTCTACCAACAATGTAGACAGAAGGGGCTCTGGTCTTAACCCAACGTTTGGGTTTGGGAACGCTTACATGGTGTGGCAACTGATTGCTATCCAGCGCTCTGGAAGCCTACCCGTACAACTCCCGTTTGCAGATTACTGGCAAGCGGGTCACTCTTGACAACAGCACCAACAACTTTGAGCGCGCCGCAGTCGACAAGTTCATGCTGAAGAAGTACCGCAACTGCGGCAACCTAACCAAGATCCGCATCGGCCACGACAACGCGGGCATGGCACCGGGTGAGCCTTGCGGACGTACCGATGGTGGATACCGTGATGCACCCTCCCACCTCGCCGTACTTGGCTCATGCTCTTGGCTCTTGGCTACAAGAAGGCTACTAGCATTAACCCGTAGGTCATAGCGAACCACATGCACCTCCTTTATCCACTCCAAACGCCCTCTCCGCACCAGGTTGGCACTGTGACTACGTGGAGGTCATGGACGACGCCACGGGTGTGAGCTACTTCTTCCCCTGCAACAAGTGGTTTGACCGCGGCGAGGACGACCGCGTCATCGAGCGGGTGCTGCTGGTGGCGCCGCGGGACCCCAAGTCCGGCAAGGCGCAGTACAAGGTGACGGTCTACACCTCGGACATCAAGTTCGCGGGCACGGACGCCAATGTGTTCATCGAGGTGCATGGAGAGATGTGAGTGGGGGGGGGCGGCGACATGTGGGTGGGTGGGGGCTCTGGGCCGGGTTTGGCGTGGGGCTGGATAAGGGTTTGGGTTGTGCGCTTTGCTGAATGCATGCACGCGGCGCTTGATGGTCGCAGACCTCTTTAGGGAGAGTCGTGGATTAGCCCTTACAAGTGTTGCTGGTTGCCCCATAGGGATGGTCAGCCGACCACTACCGGCCGTGCCACGCTCAACAACTCGAAGAACAACTTCGAGCGTGCGGCCGTGGACGTGTTCAGCCTCGCCAACCTGCCCAATGTGGGCGTCATCAAGCGCATCGTCATCGGCCACGACAACTCGGGCCCCGGCGCAGCCTGGCACCTCAACAAGGTACGCGAGGGTGGCTTCAGCACCGTGCTTCTCGTCTGACACCCCAGCTGCCTCGATAGGTGACCCTTAACCTCCAATCCTGCGCCGTGTGTTGCTCTGCTGCCCCGCTGCGCCCAGGTGGATGTGCTGCTGGTCAACACGGGGCAGCAGTGCTCCTTCTACTACAACAACTGGCTCTCACGCGACGACCCGCCCTACAAGACGGAGGTGGAGCTCTTCCCTTCGGACGGAGAGGCGCAGCAGCTCTGCAGGTACCGTTACGCCGCATGGCCATGCATCCCGTACGCAATGCTGTTCAGCGAAGGCCTCCCCGTACATTACACTACACGATACCAAACCTGAGCATCCTACACACCCCGGGGCTCTCTTCTGTCTCCCTCACCTGCAGGTACACCATCATCACCCAGACCTCGGACATCCGCGGAGCCGGCACCGACGCCAACGTGAGCTGCATGCTGCTGGGGGACAAGGCCAACACGCCCACCTTTGTGCTGGAGAACTCCAAGAACAACTTCGAGAAGGGGCAGCGCGACGAGTTCGTGTACGAGAGTGTGGACGTGGGCGCCATCAAGAAGCTGCAGATCGGGCACGACAACAAGGGCCTGGGGCCCGCCTGGCACCTGGACTATGTGGAGGTGCTGCATCAGGTATACCGTGTACGGCAGCTGCTGTTGGGCGAGGCAATTGGGGTGAAGCTCCTAGGTTGCGGAGCGCTGCATGTTGGAAGCGAAGCGCATCCTTGTGGTCTGCGCTGCTGACGCTCGAGAAATGCTAGAATGCTTCATGCCATGCCATGCTGACTGACCCACGGGTCGCTCATGCCGATTACGCTTCGTGCAGGCCCGGCAGGAGACGTACTACTTCCTTGCCGACCAGTGGCTGGATGCCAAACTCAACACGCTCACCATCACGCTAGAGCCGGCGAATGGTGAGGGACCGCCGTTTGTGCCATAGCACTGCAGTGCTTGCCTGGAGGCGGCAGCTGGAAGCGTACTACACGTTTTGCGTAACTTAGGGGGCCTCTTGAGCCACTGCAGTCAGAGCTCCGGAATGCAGATGCACGAGAGACACATTCCGAGCTTCTTCTCCCCACCCCACCCCAACCCCTCCGACCCGCAACCCTTGTGCAGCTGCTGGCGCCAAGCAGGTGTACAAGGTGTCTGTGCGCACAAGCGACAAGCGCGGAGCGGGCACGGACGCCGACATCTCCATCATCCTCATGGGCGCCACCGCCAACAGCGCCGAGCTGAAGCTGGAGTCCTCCGCCAACAACTTCGAGCGCAACCAGGTGTGGTCATGCTTACCTGAAGGGTGCGGGCTGCCGGTAACCAAGTTACGATGGTTTAGCTGCTTACGCCCTGTGAATACCGTAAGCCCACATCTATATGCCATTTGTCCTAGTCATCCTTACTCTCACCTCTCAGCGCAACCCGCAATGGAGGCATTGTAACAGACCTCTGAGCTTCCCCGCCTGTATCCATCCCTGCATGCATGCAGACTGACGACTTCTCGCTCAATCTGGGCCACGTGGACATCGGCGAGATCCAGAAGATCGACATCGGCTTTGCGACGCAGCAGAGCGCTGCTGGCAAGCTGGGCGGGCTGTTTGGGCAGCAGTGGGGGCTGGAGAGCGTGGAGGTGACGCACATGAACAGCAAGGCGCGGCAGTTCTTCTACTACGATGACTGGATCAACGGCAACAAACGCCGTGTGCAGCTGGTGCCGGGCAAGGCGGGAGGCAGCAACACCTACAAGGCACGTGCTGTCCCGTCCTGCTAGCATACCCTGGGATGAGCGCACGCCCTCCTGGCGCACACTCCTACTGTGCTGCTAACCTGAACCCTGCATCTGCATTGAGATCCCAGTCTCGATGTGCCAGGGAAATCCTCAACACGCCTTCCTTCGTGCCAGCTCATAGCACCATGATGGGGTGTGCTGCATGCAGGTGCGTGTCAAGACGTCGGACATTCGCGGCGCCGGCACCGACTCCCTCGTCACACTGGCCATGTTTGGGAAGCTGGAGGAGCAGCCCACCAGCAGCGGCACCAACAAGCTGGATAACAGCGGTGAGTACCGGCGGTGTGGGCATGGCCTCCTTGTTGCATGCAACCTCAGGGCGGCTGACTGAACGCCTGGGTGTTGTTGGCGATACGTTGACGGTGTGTGCTTGCGCAGTCGTAACCCGATCGTAAATGTGCATGGCCCTTTCATTCCAACCCCTGCACCCAGCTAACAACTTCGAGAGGGGTCAGATCGACACGTTCATCATCAAGTGCAAGGACCTGGGTGACCTGACACACATCGTGGTAAGTGCAATGTTACATACCGCCTTGAGTGACTGGCAGAGAGGCATGCTTGTACACGCTTATGGCTCCATTATGGGCGGTTGGTGCTGTCGTACTTGAGGTTGCCTGTTGGAGCGGCGCCCCTGCAACTCCTGTCTCGTTACCGTTGTGCTTGCGCCGCGTGCGGTGTGGGATCTTACCTCGCTAAGCCAATCCCGGCCCCTCTCCCGTTGCCACTCCAGCTCACCAGCGACGGCAGCGGGCTGGGAGCCGCCTGGCACTGCGCCGAGGTGGAGGTGCTGGACACCGTCCGCAACCGCACCACCGTGTTCCCCTGCGCCAAGTGGCTGGACCCCTCCGACAAGGCCTCGCTACAGCAGACGCTGCTGCCCATGGGCGTGGACGGGGCGCTGGGCAGCCTGCTGCAGTACGAGGTGCGTAACCGTAACCGCAACCGTATGCGAAGTGCTGGGGACATATGACATGTGCTGTGCTCTTGAACGGGGCTGATTGAGGGGCGAATGAAGGGCAACTGCTGCCGTGGTTCAGTGGTGTTGGCAGGCTAGAGCGCTCGTGTGCATGGTGAGCATGGGTTGTGCTTCTTAGCCGGCCTTAGTTGACTCACACCCTGCGTGCTGCAGGTCACGATCTACACCTCCGACCTGCGAGGAGCGGGTACGGATGACAACATAAGCATCGAGCTGCACGGGTCGCAGGTGGGTGCTGGCCGAACTGGAACAGATGTGTGTTGGCAGCTGACGCGGGCCCCGCCTGCGTTCTCAATGCCGCGTTCGCTATGCAGCCCTCCTCCTACTGCATGCGGATCTTCAACTCGTGCGTCTGGCCTTCCCCGTTTAGCATACGAACTGCCATCCAGCACACTGTGGATTGGAGCTGCAGCCCCTTGCAACCCTGATCTCCTAAGCGCCAGTTGCATACCGGTATCCCATGGGTCAGCCCGCATGCATGCAAGCACTTAGGACATCCGCTCCATGGCCCCTCCCCCAGGCCTCCACCAGCGCCCTGACCCTTGACACCAGCGCCAACAACTTCGAGCGGGGCAGCAAGGACATCTTCAAGCTCTCCTTCATCGATATCGGCGAGCTGCAACACGTCATTGTGAAGAAGGACAACCGCACCATGGGCATGGGAGGAGACTGGCACCTGGGGGTGAGGCACGGCACGGCAGCTTGCTTGGCCTGTGACGGCTGGCGCGTGTAGCATGCACTGCTGCTGCCGGGTGTCATGTGCTGACAGCCGTGTCAGCAAAGCACCCCCTGTTGACCTGTTTGGGATGCTGCAATCGTCTGTTTGGCCAACCACGCCCCACCCCCATCACCATTGTGGTGGTCGGTACAAGATCCCCTCTACACCGCATAATCCTGATACCCCTTATGCCTCTCCCTGTACCCCTGTTGCCCTGCTTCGGTAATGTGGCGTCATCATGCAGTCCTTGGAGGTGTTCCATCCAGGTAAGCAGCATGGGGACGGTTTCAACAGGTACAGGCGGGATGAGAAGCTAAGTTAGTGTAAAGCCTTGTAATAGAATAGCTACCTGCGTTCCTACCCAAGTGACCTCATACCTACCAGTCCACGACTACCAAGCATGGCCTGACCTACTACCCCTCATTTCTCCGCACACGCCAACGCACACGCACGCGCCTCCCCAGGCTTGCAGAAGCGCTACTTCATGATGTGCAACGACTGGCTGAAGGGCGCCTGCGAGCGCCGGCTGGAGCCCGGCAAGGTCCCCGCCAACGGCATCTGCACCTACCGTGTGGTGGTCACCACCTCGGATCTGCGGGGAGCGGGCACGGATGCGGACGTGAGCATGCAGCTGTTCGGCGACAAGGGCGACACGGGCGAACGCAAGCTGGACAACAGCACCAACAACTTTGAGCGCAACCAGGTGCGGTAGGGTACGATATACCGGTTGCAGGGGCATGGTTGGAAGATTTGTACGGAGTGAGTGTGTAGCAGTGTAGGGGTGTTGCCTTTTGGTGGCATGGCAAGTCTGGCAACCAACAAACAATCGTGGAGGCTACGCCGGCAGCTTGGTCTTCCACTGCCAGGTGTAGCCATCTGCACAACGGTGCATTCAAAGCTCGGTGGCATTGCACCCCCTGACGCAGGTCGATACGTTCTTCCTCCAAGCGCCGGACGTGGGTATCTTCCAGTCCCTCCGCATCGGCCACAACAACTCCGGCTTCGGTTCCGCATGGTATGTAGGTGGACGGGGGGTTGTGTGGCCGGGTGCAGGGCGGCACAGCCCAGCAATCCATGTGGGTCAAAACGGTCCCGATTCCGAAGCACAGATACTCAAGCTGTCAGGCATCCAGCAGCGTCGATACTTCTTCACGTGTGCCCTTTCGCCCTCCGCCCTCCGCCCGCCAGGCACCTAGCCAAGGTGGAGGTGGTCAACACCAACACCGGCGAGCAGGCGGTGTTCCCCTTCCACAATTGGATAGACAAGGAGCACGGCCTCTCGCAGCTGCTCACGCCCGATCGGGACGGCGACGGCAAGGGCGACGCGCTGGCGGGTGGGCCAATCGTGGAGTATACCATCACCACCATTACCTCCGACATGCGGTGGGTGAGAAGCTTGATGACTGATTAGGGGCAGGCAGGCAGTGAGGATAGCGCAGTGGCAGGGCGTGGCTGGGTGTTTCACTATGATGGGGCTCGCATACACAATGCAGTTGCTAGCCTTTAGCATTGCGTTATGTTGTCAACCTTGTCATGCGTGCTCGCTGTGTATGCCAGGGGTGCGGGCACGGACGCCAACGTGTTCATCGAGATGCATGGCGACAAGGGCGCCATGGGCGAGACACGGCTCGACAACAACGGTACGTCGGGGCCGGGCACCCGCGTGCTAGCACTCCCATGCTGCGGACCTCTTGCGATTGGGCACCTGCGTACAGCGTCAAGCTGCGTGGGCATGCCCCCTGGGCATATGCCTAAATGCTACCACGCAGACTACACGCGCAATGTCACGGCACCCAAACATGTTGCTAACTTGCCATTACGAGTTGCCACCGGGTATGTGAACGCCCGTTCATGCAGCCAACAACTTTGAGCGGGGCCGCACCGACACATTCAAGATCAAGGGCTCTGATGTGGGCAACGTGCAAAAGGTGGTCATCCGGCACGACAACACCGGCATGGGCTCTGATTGGTACGTCTGGGCTATCACCGGAGTACCGGTATCAGTGCGATGTGTCCTTCATCCTTTAGCTTGCAGCGATCTAGTTAAACCACCTAGCCCATGCTATAAGGAGATCAGCCATTGCGGGGGGATGAGGAAATCCTGGTTACACGTTGGATCCTCAGTGCGCCATCACCCGATGCCCCCTTTCATCTTCCCTCTTCCTTTCTCCCATGCCTCTCGTCTCCCCAGGCACCTGGAGCAGGTGGAGGTGACCAACCCCAGCACCAGCAAGACCTACTTCTTCCCCTGCAACGACTGGCTGCGCAAGATAGGCCAGGACGAGAGCGGCCTGCGCAAGGAGCTGCAGGCGGGCAGCCCCGAGCAGAAGGGACCCACGAACTACAAGGTACGTTCGCCACATCGCCACATGCAGGCCGCGGAGGGCCGCATGGCCCCGCACCAGGAGTCCGCATGCTGGCATGCATGATGCATGGCGGAGCGCCGGGCTGTTGGCGGAGCACTGCAAGACAAGGCCTGGTTACCTGCTGCACGTGTTGAGGGTTTGGGCGTTTGCTGCCGCAGGTTACGGTGCACACCTCCGACATCCGGGGAGCGGGCACGGACTCGGACGTCTTCCTCACCATCTACGGACCCAATGGCGACACGGGCGAGCGCCTGCTGGACAATAGCACCAACAACTTTGAACGGAACAAGGTGGGGTACCGCAGGCTGGCGTACCTAGTACGTGAATGCGCGGTCTGCTTCTAACCACCAGACCCCAATGCCCCTAATGTGCATGTGCCTTCTAACCCTTCATGCATGCACCCCGTCCTTTCCTGCGGCTGCACGCAACACTTGCAGGTGGACAACTTCATCATCTCCAGTGGCAACATTGGCGCCATCCAGAAGATCAAGATTCGCAGCAGCGGCACGGGCTTGGGTGCAGCATGGTAAGCAGATCCCCTCGTGACATGCCCTCGTGGTACGGCATGCCGGCCAGCCGCATCGGAGGCAGGCAGGGTGTGTACCTGGGCCAACTCCCTGCGCCCGCATGCCGCTGCAGGCACCTGAACAAGGTCGAGGTGCAGTCCACCGCCACGGGTGAGAAGCTGGTGTTCCCCTTCGCCAAGTGGGTCGACGAGAAGAACGGACTGGAGCATGTGTTGTGGCCCGACCGTGACGGCGACGGCATTCCGGACCCCACCGCCGACGCGGACCTGCTCAAGTATACGGTTTCGGTGTACACCTCGGACATCAGGTGAGGGGAGCACCGGGGTGGGGATGTCGTTTCGCATGCCGCCGGGAAGTATGGGAACGGGACCCCGGGTGCTTCCAAATGTAGCCTCAGTGCACGCAAATACAGGGCGGGGCTGACCCAAAACGCATCGCGCAACCTGCATGCTGTTAGCCCGGCAGCGGTGTTGCCTCCCCTGACCGTCAGCCCCTAAAATGCATTCCGAACAGAGGTGCTGGCACCGATGCCAACGTCTTTGTTGAGCTGCACGGCGACAAGGCCTTCGTGGGGAAGACCAACCTGGACACGAACGCCAACAGTGAGTGGCCAGCGGGGCATGGTGTGCGTTGACGTTTTGGGGGCACTCGACGCGCATTATTGGAGAAGTAAAACCGCATGAAGACTCAGCTACACTGGTTAATGTGATATGGTGTATGGGTACGGCCCTTCTGTGCCACTCCTCCCTGACACAGCTAAATGAATCGGCTACGGTTGCAGATTTCGAGCGGGGACGCAAGGACGTCTTCGTAGTTTCGGGGACGGATGTGGGCGAGCTGCAGAGCATCGTCATCGGCCATGACAACAGCGGTAAGCCTGGGTGGGCGGTGTCCCAGGCGGGTTAATAAGTACGGCTGCATGAGTTCTCACCCTGTTCACGGCTCCCTGTTCACGACGACGGCATACAAGAAGTACATACGGTGCTCAACGTGTGTTAATGTATGGACGCTAACTCCCGCCAACGCTCTCCCGGACGCAGGTGTGGGCTCTGCCTGGCACCTGAACCAGGTACGAAGAGCACCCGGTTGCCTTGCCCAGGAGTTGCAGACCCTGCATGAACTCGCTCCTGCAGGAAGGGGTGTCAGGGGGCCCTTGTAATGGGATCGGTTACGGGCTTGACAGCAGCAACCAACCTGCGCCCCCTCTCTCCTCGCTGCTCGCCTTTCCGACCCCGCAGGTGGAGGTGTGGCACCCCGTGCTGCAGAAGATGTTTGTCTTCCCCTGCAACGAGTGGCTGGAGCCCAGCAAGGACAAGGGACTGGAGGGCTGCCGCCGCACGCTGCTGACGGGCGCGGCGGCGGCGGGCGCGGGCCTGGTCAGCTATCGAGTGCTGGTCAAGACGTCCGACCTGCGCGGAGCGGGCACGGACTCGGACGTCTTCCTCACCATCTACGGACCCAAGGGGGACACGGGCGAGCGGCCTCTGGACAACAGTGCGAACAACTTTGAGCGGGGCAAGGTAAGGAGGTGCCAGGGCAACTGTAGGAAGCCATGGGGTGCTTTATGCGAGAATGGGGTGCTTGGCAGCCAATTTCACGACATCCGTGGCACGCAATTAAAAGCCAAGTCGACTTCTGTTGCTTTCCAGAGCAAGGGGGCGACATGTGGATCGTGCGGATCTTTATAGCGAGCCAACTTGCCGGGGCCTGTTACCCCGCTTTAGTACCGTAGTCTCTTTGTCCTCATAACGCTGCTCCGGCTGTCCCTCCCTGCAGACGGACACCTTCATCCTCACGGGTCCGGACGTGGGGGAGCTGGAGCGCATCCGGGTCCGCAGCAGCGGCAGCGGACTGGGAGCCGCATGGTGGGTGCCCGCCAGGGCCATGCACGCGCATGTTCGTGTCTGGTGCCGCTGTGGCAGCAGTGCGCTCCGCACGGTCGGATCACCGCCTCTGCCGCTCTCATGTCAGAACCCCTCTCATGTCAGTACCGGCGCATGTGGCATCTCGTCTCCTCCTACCTACCCCCCACACCGCCCCCCCCGCAGGCACCTGGAGCAGGTGGACGTGGTGAGCTCCGCCACCAACACGCAGTACTCCTTCCCCTTCCGCGGCTGGCTGGACGACAAGAACGGGCTGGACCACGTGATCAACCGCGACGGCGGCGCGGGGCCCACCACCGACCTGGTGGAGTACCGCGTGACCACCTTCACGTCCGACATCAGGTGGGCGGGCGGGGGGGGGGGCAGGGCTTGGTGATAGGCGATTACCCCGGCATGTAGCTTTGGTGGCGGGCAGTGCACGTGCGTATGTGGCAGCTGGCAGCTTGTTCATGGGAGAGACACGGGTTCCAGGGCTTGTAACTGTTTGTATATATTGACGTTTCAGCTGTGTTCATTTCAGCTGCAAGGTGTGCACGTGTCCCGGCCTCCTGCAGCCAACAACTTTTGTTGGCGGGGCAAGCCACAAGCCATATTCTGTCCCTTGCACTGCTCCCTGGCCTCAGGGGTGCGGGCACGGACGCCAACGTGTTCATCGAGCTGCACGGGGAGCTGGGGCCCGTGGGGCAGACGCGGCTGGAGAACGCGGCCAACAACTTCGAGCGCGGCATGGTGGACAACTTCGTGGTCAAGGGCACCAACATCGGCGACGTGCAGCGCCTCGTCATCTGGCATGACAACAGCGGCTTGGGGCCCGACCTGCACCTGCAGCAGGCGAGGCCTTGGGGAGGAGGGGGGTGAACGCGGGGGCCATCAATCACCAGGTTGGGCGGCTAAGCCTTATACGGCCCACACACATGGGCGTAAATGTAAGGCCATGCGCCGTTTAAACGCGTACGTACACCTACGGTGCCGCGCAGGTTGAGGTGTTCAACACAGCAACCCAGAAGTCGTACTTCTTCCCGTGCAATGACTGGCTTCGGAAAACCAAGGAGGAGGGAGTGAAGGGGTGCCGGAAGGAGCTGCTGGCAGGTACGGTAATCAGGCGGGCACTCGCCCCCGCAGGACTGCCATAATGCCGGTTGGCGACCTCCATCCCTCCCTTTCTTTGCTCTGGTACATGGGTCAATCACGGCGGCCTGTAGGAGACCCTGACTCAGGCTAACTTCGTTTTTCATAGAGTCCTTGGCTCCCCTGGCTCGTACAGACTGTAACTGTAACTGCCATCTAACGCGGGTCCCTGCTGACTGTTACATGGCGCAGGGGTGGCTGGTCAGTCGCTCAACAGCTACAAGGTGGAGGTGCAAACCAGCGACGTGCGCGGTGCGGGAACCGACAGCGACGTCACAGTCACGGTGTTTGGCAGCAAGGGCGACACCGGTGCACGGGCGCTGGAGTCGTCCGCAAACGACTTTGAGCGCGGCCATCTTGACACTTTCTTCTTCACGGTGCGGCTGGGGGGTTGGGGCCATGTTTGCGTGGGCTGTCGGGCGGATTGGAATTTGGAAGTGGTGGAGGTAGTCGAGGCGGGAAAAGCATATCCTCATCTGGTTTCGGATGATCAAGGGAAGTTGTAGCGTCTTGTATTCCCTATATTGCTGTAGCCTAGCCATTTGGCATTACGCGCCGGTAGCTCCTCGAACGTTAAACAGTTTCTTATGCGGCTGACACTGTGACACTCCGCCTGCGCCATCCGCGCGTGCAACCTGCTCCATCCAGGCTCCGGACATTGGCACGATCCAGAGCTGCCAGGTGGTGTGCAGCGGCACCGGCCTGGGCGCAGCATGGTGGGTGGCGGGGTGGGCGGTCTGGGCAGGGTTGGCAGAGGGAGGGAACCAGCGGTTCTCACCATGTGGCATGGCACCTTGGGACGCATCGGATAAGGGAGAGTGATTCCCGAAGCAGTGTTTACACTGCTAACCAGTGATCCTTCAACAGATCACACATATACCGGTACGCACCCTTCCCACAGGCACTTGGACCACATCACAGTCACCAACACCACCACCAGCGAGACCGCGCGCTTCAAGTACGGCGACTGGCTGGACGACAAGAAGGGCTGGACGCACACGCTGCACGCCGACGGTGTGGATGCGGCCCAGGTGAGGTACAGCGGGCTGGCGGCGGACTTGCGGGGTTGCCCGGTAGGCCATGCACTGGTGGGCACTTGGATCCTTTGGGACCCGTCACGCCCACCTTTTGCTGATATCCCGAGGTCCTAGCGCAATTCATAATCGGCATCCATCTTGCCTATCCAGCTTCCATGACCGTGGGGTTGTAAGCAGGGTTGCATTGGCCCCCATCCTGCTAACGTCATGTTGTGTGCACGTGCCCAGGCGGCCAGCAACCAGGTGGAGTACGAGGTGCATGTCTTCACAGCGGATGTGCGCGGAGCGGGCACGGACGGCGACGTCTTCCTGCAAATCAAGGGCGAGAAGGGCGCCATGGGCGAAACCAAGCTTGAGAACTCAGGTGAGGGGCTGCTGCTAGCCAGCTGCTGCTTCCTGGACCGGAGCAGGGGCACCATGTCGTGATGCCGCTTGACCTGTGCTGCTCTCCTCTCGCGTGCAGCCAACAACTTCGAGCGCAACCGCGAAGACGTGTTCAAGGTCATGGGCTCGGACATCGGGAAGCTCACTGAGGTCACCGTGCGGCTGGTGCGTGCGTGGGGCGGCATTGCAGCACGCGGATGCGGCATTGGGGCCTGTTAAGTCTGTTAGCCGTGGGGCGGTCGCAGCTGGGCTTGTTGGCAGCCATGGAAACCGCGGAAAGACGAAAGCCTGAGCAGAACCTCCCTGTTGCCTCCCCGGCTATCCCCTTCCTGCCCGCATGATGCTAGGTTGAGCGTGGCTTTGGTGCTGCCTGGTGCCTGGAGCAAGTGGAGATCCTGAACAAGAAGACCGGCGAGCGCGCGCTGTTTCGCTACAAGGACTGGCTGCAGGGCGCCAAAACCACCGTCACAATCCCTGAGGCCAGTACGGAGGCAGCCAAGCAGCAGGCGCCGGGCAAGGTAGGCACTATGCAGGCATCCATGCGTATCGTGGGCTGGGATGCACAGATAATCACTCTCCAGGCGTGCGATGAAGCATATTATACGAGGTCTCACATGTAAATAGTATTACCGGTATTGCGATGCCCGTGCAGATTCGGTGGAAGGTCACCACGCAGACCAGCGACGTGTTCGGCGCCGGCACCGACGCCAACGTGTGGGTGCAAGTGTACGGGCCGAACGGCATGCTCAACGGTGCGGAAATCGCGCTGGACAATTCCAGCAACAATTTTGAGCGGAATGCGCTGGACCAGTTCTTCTTTGAGTTCCCGGAGGACAAGGACTGCGGGACGCCCATCACAAAGGTATGGAGAACACATGTTGGCCAGTCTGACCCATGGGTCATTCGTGCAGTGCGAGTGTACTGTTACATGCTAAGAGTCTCACACCGGCCTTGTAAGGCTGCAGTGTAACTAACCCAGGTGCCATGGAACTCAATGTGATGTGCAGTTCATCGTGGAGCGAGGCGGCAGCGCACTGCCGGGCGCCGACTGGTGAGACTGGGCCCGCACACCAACATGGCGGTTGCTCCTCGGGTTCGCATGGCATGTACCGCCACCTTTTGGGAACATAACATAGCAAACTGCACGGTTTTACCAAACAGTGCATGCAAACTCTCCAAGAACCGTTCGAAATGCGCATGGCTGAGCTATCCCGGCGTCCGCCTGTGCCTCCGACCTGTCAGGTCGCTGGACTGGGTTGAGGTGACCGACATGACACGAGGCCACACGTACCGCTGGAAGTGCGGCGCGTGGTTCAGCAGCAAGGACGGCCTCAAGAAGGAGTGGACGGCGGAGAAGGCGGCGGCGGGGGAGCGGCAGCCGCTGGAGCTCATCGAGTCACCTGCAGGTAACCTCCATGACGGAAGACGTGAAGAGCCTTTCCACGCTTCTCTTTCATGCCTTTTGGAGCTGCATGTACTCTGTTGGAACCCGCCTCTACCTGGACCTCCTCGTTAGGCATGTGTAGGAAGCCGGTCTTGGGCATTATCCTGAACTTGGCATGCGGGCTGCTAGCTTGGTGCGCATGTTGAGCTGCCTGGCCCGCTCCGTGTCCCCCTGCAGGCGTTGCCGGCGCACCCTCCAGCACCGGCGACCGCTACCGCATCGTAACAGTGACGGGCGATGTCATGGGCGCGGGAACGGACGCCAAGGTGGGGCTGCAGTTCGCCGACACTTCCAACGCCACCTGGGCGCCCGCCCTCTCCCAGAACAAGGCCATGTTCGAGCGCGGCAAGCGAGACGAATTCTTCGCCACCGCTTCCACCAAGCTGGGCGAGATGGCCGGTTGCCGCGTGTGGATTGAGAACCCCGGTCTGGGCGACAACTGGCACCTGGATCACGTGCTGCTCACGCACCTGCCGTCGCAGCGCGAGTGGCGCTTCGACTGCCGCGACTGGGTGCCCAAGGGTCAGGGGCCGGCGCAGGGCAAGCTGCTGCCGGCAGTGCTGGTGCGAGACGTGCCGCTGGAGGCTCCACCCGCTGCCGCCGCCGATGCAGCAGCAACCGCTGCGGGTGCGGAGGAGGATGGAAAGGCGGGTGAAGCCGTCCCGGAGCAACCGCCTCCACCGCCTCCCAGGCCGCTGGTGCAGTACGAGTGCACCATCGCTACGGGCGACAAGTTCGGTGCAGGGACGGACGCCCTGGTGGGGATCGAGCTGCTGGGTAGTCTGGGGTCGGCCAAGTACACCTTTGAGCACAGCAAGACGCTGTTTGAGCGCGGCAGCCGGGACCGCTTCCGGCTGACGTTACCGGACGTGGGCGACGTGCAGAGCGTGCGTGCCTGGCATGATGGCTCGGGCTTCGGCGCTGACTGGTTCCTGGACCGGGTGACGATTGAGCACCCGGTGGCAAGCTGCAAGTGGGAGGTTGTGTTCAACGAGTGGATCAAAGGCGGCGAGAACAATGGCCGCAGCAAACCGGCGCGCCTGGTGGCAGGTACTGCAGGGGACGCTGAACGGGCGTACGACCAGTTGAAGGCGGCCGCGGCGGCTAAGGAGGAGGCGCGGCGCAAGGCGATAGACAAGCAGCAGGCTGCGGCGGCAAAGCCGCCTGCAGCCGTGTCGTCGGAGCCTGCTCCGGCTGGTGGGGCGGCCCCTGGCGGCAGCAGTGACACGGCCGCACCACCTGACCGGCCGGCTAAGCGACCTGGGGACGAGGGCATATCGAAGCAGGTGAGCCGGGGCCATGGCCCATGGGTTACGAGCCTCTTACGACTATCGGTATGTTCAACCGCTTCTCCTTTCCTTGCTACATCTTCTACGTTCTACCCGTATCCGAGTACCGGTATTGCTGAGGAGTCCCACATACACCGGGGCAACGCCTCCTTTTTTCTTTCACCTGAGTATGGGCCTCTATCCCTTAGCTGCTGCTAATAACAGACCTGCTCGGTGCCGCTCCCGCAGGTGCTCAAGCCCGATGAGTTCGCGCGGCTGCCGCAGATGCAGCCCGGGGACAGCAAGTACCGATTCAGCAACGAAGTACGCAACAACCCCGAGCCCACACCGCCTGCCTGGCAGAAGTACGTCGCTCCGTACGCGCAGGACCCGTCGTACATGGTCACCTACTACTACAACCCCGTCACCAAGGAAAGCACCTTCGAGAAGCCGCCGGAGTATGCCGAGTGGGAGCGCAAGCACGATGCGTGGCTTGCGTCCGTCCTCAAGTAGCGTGGAGGCATTACTGCTATTTAAATCCTCCAGCGGAACGTGTGGCAACGTACTGACGGATATCCGTCCTGGCAGCCTGTACAGCAACATTACGTTTCTTTTTATTTCATGGGGATGGGGTACGTCCGAATTGTTTGCATGTGACCGTACGGACATGTGGAAGTGCCGTACATACCGTGGGATTGCGTGCTTGCCGGGTACTGATATGGGTCGGAACCCTCGGAAGCGTTCACTGGAACTCTCTTCTCATGTGAAGCACTGTACATAGCTTGGACCTAGTAGCAGAACTCCGCTCAATTGCGCATGCTTGTGCCGCTTTGTGTCCATTGGCACGTGACAGCGGCTTGTAGCTTTGGGAGTAGCAAGCAAGTAGGTTTATGTACCGCAGTTGCTGACGATGGTAGTGAGCTGTGACTGTTTATGCGTCTTACGCACCGTGTTCGTGCAGGGCCAGCCCAGCCAAGCCTGGAAGCCCACACGTATGACGTATCAGGGTGATCACACTACCTGGCAAGAAGCCGGGAGGACGAGTGGCAGAAGGCTAACCGTGACCGGCAGGCCCAAGTAAAGAAACGCATTTATGACCTTCCCATGCGTGCTGCCTTCAACCGCTACCGCTCTAAGCCGTACGCTACCGTACCGTGCATGGGTTGGCTGGCTAACCGCGTACTCTTCAATAGTTGGACCAGTACTTTTGCACTGCTTTGCTCTGGACGTCAGCTTGGGTTGGTACCCGTCGGTTGCTGCCCTGCGCTGGGCGTGTGATGCTCTGGTGTAAGTGATGGTCGTGGCATCTGGGATTGCCGGGGCTTATCAATAGGCCTCCGAATGACCAAAGGAGCCTGGGCCGCCACTTATGGCTTCCGTGACTAGGTTGGGTACGCTGTAATTCGTCGCACAAGCACGGCCCAAACACTGGTCCGGTTAAAGCGAGTGATCCTGCCTTCACTGCTAAGGGACGTTGCGAAATACGAACAGCCATGACCGAACGGCGGTGACGGAGGGGACAGATATGGATGGCACGCACCACACGGATAGTCGGCGGTCCAAAGAAGGATATTGGAGACTGTGGTGGCCTCCCGTTGTAGTGGCCTGTCCGCTTGAACTATCTCGTATAGTCGCTAGTAGGGGTCCGGACCCCCGGCCAATACTAACCTCAGTGCGTCGTCGTTATTCAACAGCAACACCATCCAACGGCTTAAATTAGCCAAGCAACTAGACTACTGGTATAGACATTTAGCTGCTCGATCGCCCCTACATGAGACCTGGCTTGCGGAGTGCAACCAGCTAGCACATCCCATCCGGCTAGGAAAGCAGCAGCAGCCTATGTCTATTTACACAGCTACCCAATACGTGAGTTTTTACGTCCTTACAATCTTTATCACCTTCAAGCCCCTGCCGCTCGGTCGCGTTTAATAGTAAGCGAATGGCGGGACGCGTGGGCAGGTGATCCACACGCTGAGATGGTAGGCACAAGAGTACATGTCCTACACGATCACAATAATAAGCAAGGACACACAAACCAGCTGGACTTCACGTCGGCAATGGAATAACAAAGATGTACGTCAGTGCGCGCGCCCCCTTACTTATAGCTAATCGACATTAACGCGATATCAACTGTTTCCTACAGCTAGGCAACATAAACCTGCTACGTTTGTGCTGAATTTTAAGAGACTCACAGTTTCTTCGTTGAAGCGCCATGGCGTCGCACACCGAGCAGCTTACCGAGGAGCAGATCGCGGAGTTTAAGGAGGCATTCGCTCTCTTCGACAAGGTCAGATACAGGGCCAAACGAAATGACGTAAAGACGCAAGAGTATTCGGGGACTGTTCTTTGGCCTTCTTTCGCGTACTAACTTCTTCTGCGTTCTGTACGTGCCCCCAGGATGGAGATGGCAAGTGGTCATGGGTGTGATCATGTGTTCTTACCGTTCGCGCGGCCTTCGGCGTCTGCTGGCGACGGTTCCAGGCCTTGCCTTTGTCCTTCGCTGGCCGGGATTTTTTCTTCGTGGCAATTGATCTAGCTTGCTTTTGCTATGATTTCTATACACCCGTCTTGTGCGCGGGGCCACCTTTTTAGACGTCGACATGGAAGGGTTCCGGCCCCTGGCGGGGCTTAAGTGCGCTCGCGTGCTGATCAGTTCAACACTAAAGTTTGCGCAATCCACTTTATGATTTTTATGCCTACTATTGTTATGAACTTGGGGTCTGGGAGGTAGGGGAACATAGGCTGAAGATCCGGCATGCCTACATCGGCTAATTTTGCTCTCCACTTGTACCTGGTTGCAATCAGGCACTATTACCACGAAGGAGCTGGGCACGGTGATGCGCTCGCTGGGCCAGAACCCAACTGAGGCCGAGCTGCAAGACATGATCAGCGAGGTGGACGCCGATGGAAACGGCACGATTGACTTCCCTGAGTTCCTCATGCTCATGGCCAGGAAGATGAAGGTGGGCAATACCGCTTGACGCGCATACTTGGGCTGAAGGTATCCATCCCCTTAGTTGACTGGTTTGCCTTTCCCGCTTCTCCGTTGTAGGAGACCGACCACGAGGATGAGCTTCGGGAAGCTTTCAAGGTGTTCGACAAGGACGGTAAGTTCCCATGATCAACCGTGCAACCTAGTACAACTCTTTTGTCACACGCCAAACTTCGTTTCCGCCGCCCCCTTTACAGGCAACGGCTTCATTTCCGCTGCGGAGGTAAGTGGCTGGCTGGGGGTCACAGGGGGCAGGGGAAGCTTCGACGGGAAGGGGTCCTTGTTAATGTGGATTACCTTAACAAGGGAGATGTAGTCTGGTACGGGCTTGGTATAGGACGGTAATGGCACCTCTTATGTCTGTCGAATGCTTCGGCAGAACATCGAGGGTCAGGCATTGAAATAGACAAGTTTGCACTCGGCCAGCACACCTGTCAGTAGCATGGCCCAAGTCGTACAGGAGACCTTACCCCTGTGGATCATGCTGGCTTCGTTCCGTAACACTTTTTACTATGACCCATTTCACTGTTCTCCCCCCTGCTCGCCTTCCTTGTGTGCAGCTGAGGCACGTTATGACCAACCTGGGTGAGAAGCTCTCCGAGGAGGAGGTCGATGAGATGATCCGGGAGGCTGATACCGATGGCGATGGCCAGGTGAGCGCATTCTCGCTCTCCCAGATGGCATTAGCTGCTGCTGACGTTGAGTTTTTCATGGCTTACGGCTGACCCTCGGATCCGCTGCCCTTGTTCGCAGGTCAACTACGAGGTGCGTGCTTGGGCGCTCGGCGCCAGGGCAGCTCGGCCGGGTGGAGGGGTAGCAAATTCGACTGAACTCACGCAGGGGGTTTGTGCAACGCTGCGTGGGACTGGAGACGGCATGGGCGTGTCTTTGGCTTGTGACGCTGTGCCGGGTCAGCCAAATTGTGCTAACGACGTACTCCCACTTCCCTTCCCACAGGAGTTTGTGAAGATGATGACGTCGAGCTGCGAGAAGCACGACCACCACCCCTCGGGCGGCAAGCACAAGTAAAATGTGCTTGCGGGCGGGCTCCAGCATAGCAAAAAGCATAGCTGGTTTCGGATGCCATCCAAGCACAAGCGCATGGATTTGAGGCTGAGGAGTCGAACGCTGTTGAGCGTGACGTGGTAATAAACTTGTTCATTGTGTGTTGCGGATAAGGCGTGGCTCTTTGGCGTGTTCTGTTCTTTTCTGAATGGAGTCCGCTTGCTGTACACTTAACATATGCCATGGCATGCTAATGGGGACCTGTGGGCTTCGTGTAAGGAATCATTGTTCTGCATTATGCCTGGCAGTAGTGAGGTGTGAGCTTCCCTGACTCACACTCTTTTATAGCCTTTTCTAGACCTTACAAGCTCTGGCATGACAGCTTAGCGAGCTGTATAGCCACATAGACCGCTCGTTGGAGGGCTGCTGCTTTGCACGGGTATGAGTCGAAGATGATCTTGTGGCTGTTGCAAACGGCGAGATGTAAACTCCCTTGTACCAGTCTATCTGACTCTTGTGGCGTGGATGCACGAGCAATGTCCCGAAGTGCCTGTGCCGTTGCCTTGATAAGTGTCACCTGCAGGACACGACGTTTGTCTGTTAACAGGACATATAGCGTCAGTAGATTGCATGACGGAACCTACCTGTCGGCCCGTGTGTCCTGGAATCTTGGTCGACCATTCTTCAAGGTCCTTGGCAAGTGACTGCTCAGTGAAGCCGCACCCAGGCACGGCAGCAGGCGCCTGCATGGGGCCACCAGGATCAGTCATGAGTGGCGACACAGGGCAAAACACGTGGCTTGTGCAACCTCAAAAGCGCACCTGCCCCATGGTAACGCGGAGCAGCTTTAGTGCGCTCTCCGTCGCGTGCTTGATATGTTCGATGACCGCATCCGACGGACAGCCCAGAACTAGTGTTGCCGCTGCACACGAGGTGTGCCTGCTAGCAGCCGCGGACTGCACCTTCACCAGCTGTACTCCATTGATAGCCTGCGGGTATGACGAGTGAAGGTGGATACGGTAACGACCAACAAACCGCAGGAGGGGAAGGAGGAAGGGCACTGCCGTACCTCTACGTCAACAGTGACATGGCAGAAGCCACGCCCTGGGGCAACGCTCGTCACGTCTAGGAGGCCCTCCAGCGGGACGCAGCCGCTAGCCAGCGACAGGGAGGAGACGCAGGCGGTCCCCAGCCGCTGTACGGGGACGACGCCCCTGGAGAGAAGCCATGCCTGGATTGCCGGGTGAATGCCCTGAGGGGATTAAAAGATGCAGTGCGGGTTTTGACTGGTCAAAGGAGGTTCACAAGCATGGCGGCACAGACGAGGCCCTTCCCATACATACGGTTATCTTAGCCCTGGCCCTAGCAGGAACCAACGCGCGCCAACCTTGGGTTTTCCTGACCACCACAACCCCAACGCACTCCCGGAAAGCCCACCGGTAGCTCCCTGGAGAACCGCACCTTTTGACACATCAGAAGCCGCACATCCCGCATGCAGCTCAGCAGCTGGCTGAGCGCCTCCACCAGCCGCTCCAGCTCCTCATCCTCGACGTCATCTGGGGACGCGAGGACACCGCAAAACACTCTTAGGTGCAACGACGGCGCCGCACTTGGTTCCGTTATCCCTGACCACACCCCGCCTTTAGTTGCACATGAGACCCAGCAATCCGCCAGCCGACGAAGTAGAATCCGCAGCCCCGGAGCCCCCTGGCCTCACCTTGCGCCGCCGTGCTCTGCTCCTGCACCACCACCACAGCACCGGCGGCAGCCGCTGGCGCGGTACTGTCATGCTGGCTCGCGCGCGTGTCCAGCGCCCCGCTGAACAGCAGCAAGCCCACCTCCCCAACCGCGAACCCGCCGGCACCCGCGGCGTCTGCAGCACCCGCACCCGCCGGCTCAGCGGGCCGCAGCAGACGCAGGGCGCCCGGCGGCAGGTCGTCAGCCGGCAGCACCACGCCCCTCACCACGCGGCTGTCGCCCAAGGGTGCCCCCCGGAGCGTGTGCAGCGCCACACGCATGGCAGGCGGCACTGCGGTCGGGTCGCCGGCAGGGTGCGCGTCTGGCAGGGTGAGCACGAAGGCCTCCACCAGTAGCGCCACTAGCTGCTCCAGCTCGCCGTCGTCAAGCAGGCAACCCTGCAGCACAGGGGTTGCAGGCGGTTTGTACGGCAGGTGTACCGGTACGACATGTGATGTACGAATGTGAGCAAGGCTTAAGTAGATGGCATAAAAGCACAATGGTATTAATGGGCAAGCCCATCGCAAGGCGCCTGTTGCCAGAAGAGTAGGCGCTAAACGGGCATGCGTGTTCATAGTGGCAGGCGTTGAGTGTGGCTGGATTGGAGGCTGGAAGTACCGCCTTCGTACCAGTTTGGGCCGCACGACGCCTCGGCACAGGCCCAGGAGTTGCTTTAGCGAACAGTCCTGAGGCACGGAGCTTGCAATACCAGCTAAGGACTCTTGTAGCCTGCACGTAACATGAAGGGCGGGTACGGGAGCAAGTTACGGAAGCACACGTTTTGCTTGCAAACACTGGCAAATATGAACCGGCACAGTCCAGCACCCAGCCGACGGCCCACCTGTCCCCGACTGCCTGCAGGGTACAGCAAGCCTCGTGGATATCCCGGCGTGTGGACGCCCCCTGCAGTGCCGCCTGCACGAGCCTGCAGCGCACGCATGGGTAATGTGAGTGGAAAGTCTGCAACCTACACTCTACGGCACATGAAACAATACATGCTGGGCTGTTAATGGATATATGTGTATACCCCCATTTACCGTCACACATGCGTTCGCCCGTTGACGCATGCATGTGACGTCCATGTGACCGCGTACCTGGCCGCGAGGAAGGTGCATGACAGACCCCCATCACCGAACTGTGCATGCTGTGCCTGCGCTGTCCCAGACGCCAGCAGCTGCTCAAACGGGTGCGTTGGGCGCACGCCTGCGCGACACGAAGGGAGGGGACGTGCATTACAGCGAGAAGCTTTGGGGTGCTTGGGTAATGCACCCTTGAGGGCAACGCGCGCCGTACCCTGGAACAAGGGGCCACTCGTGGAGGTAAACACGCTGGCGGGGGTATTAGGAGCGGCCTTGAGTGCTTTGAGCCTGTTGCGTCAATGCCATTCGTCAGGTTCAGTTCGCGTTAGCCCTAAAGCAAGAACACGTGTACAGATTTACCTGCCAAGTGGTCCATAACACGACAGCGCAAGGTCAGCACAAAATTTGCAGGAACGAACTAATGCAGCCATTTGAGTACAACGCATGAACAGGTGCAGTGAACTTCTTTATCAAGGTACTGCCTGAACTGCAGGCGTACGACGGAAACGGATCATATACATTTCCAGCAGCAAATACTGACGTTTAGGGTGTTTTATTGTGGCTAGGCCCTCGGTCTGGAGGGTAGCTTTACGTGTTACTTCCAACCTCACAATTTAGGGTCCGCCTGCCGCAGAAATGGCACTTCAAGGAGCTTCTCAGTTTGCCCGTCAGCTTGTAGGCAGGGTTGCCGGTGGAGCTTTTGCAACTAAGGCTCCCGCCGTGACTAGCGTGGACTGGTCGAAGGTCTCGGTGCCCTCAACGATTAAGGACATTCCGGAGACCATTGGAGGCTGCACGCCTAAGGGCGACCTACGTGCAACCAGCGGCTTGGGCTTGGGAGACGGCATCCAGAACCACACCGATAAGTGGCTCCAGGTAAGTTGTGATGCATTGCAGCGTCCCTGGCGGTGCTCTTTCCGCGATATCTTTTTACATGGGATGAATTGGCATCGTATAAATAGTAGAAGCTGGCTGTATGGTTTCAGACTATATGGCTCCCCAAAGTTGGGTGGCAGTTGTTTTGCGCCCGGCAGCCAGCCGGGAGGGGCAGGAGATGGCAAGCTCTAGTAATGGGAAGCAGTGGGGTGTCGCGCTTGTCAGTGGCGTGAAGCTGGGGTCGTAGTCGGTGCCGCACGGCTTCCTCGGGATGCTGTACTCGGGGCTGTGTTTCGCCGGGTAGAAACATGGCATACACTTACCCATGGCTTTGTGGCTTTCCTACTTCTGCGATTGCAGGGTGGCAAGTCCCCCATGCAGTACATCGACGAGGTGGAGCCCATTAAGGTCAAGGGCCTGGTGGTCGCTTCGCACGGCAGTAAGTCTCCCACACTGCCCCGCCTTGTAACGTCAAACATATGGCTGCTTTGCCCCCCCTGCACTGTATGCTCCCCGCGTTCTTATAGCGCTCTCTGATAACCCCTGTGTGCCCGTGACCCCTATGATGCAGGTGACGATCCCGCCCTGGGCTGCCCGGTGAGTTGCTCCGTGTTTCTAAACTAGATGTCACTAGCAATGCAACTAGGGCGCCGTCATCCTCGCTGCATGCATCATCACTGGCTCGGCACCAGCACGATTCGGCATGGCCAAAACAAAACGCCCTGATGCGTTACTGGTTGCGGTACATGTGAGCTTTAGGACCCGCAGTTGGGCACTTCCCGCGCCTCCCTTAGGCAAGCATGCTCGACCATACCGTCCTTCTCCACGCACTTTGCTTGCCTTGCTGTTTTCTCGTCAGTAACTGAACCCATCTTCCTTCCCCTAAACCCCTGCCACCAGGTGGAGTACATCAACCTCAAGGGCACCAGCTACGAGAACCCCGCCGTTTGCAAGTATACAGGGAACCGCTACTACAGCGATGACTGGAAGTACGGTGCTCACCACCACTAAGTGCACCCTAGGGGGCCTGCTGAGCTGGGCATGCTAGCATGCAGGACGATTCAGTGAGCTTCGGTGGCAGAGGACGCGGCGTGCTGGAGAGTTTGCGCGACGCCACATGTTGGAGCCGGGTACACGTGCTGGCTGCGGAATGATGGGTGCACGACGATTTGATACGTTGTGTTTAGGTATGATGGGCGAGTGATTTTCGAGCAGATTTGCTCTAAAGGGGCTGGTGCAATTGTCCATGTATGTAAGTTAGCAAATGGTTTCCTTGTAACCAACGCAATGGCACACAACTGTTACAACCGTGTGCCCCTGGCGCCTTCAACATGCTTCGTCTGATCCGCCGCGCCCCCAGTCCGAGGTTGCACCCCACTATCAGCGAGCGCCAGCTCCTCTTGCGCCACACGTGCAGCTTCTCCTACGCTGGTTGCCGTGCGGTTAGATGCCGTCGCACCCCGGCAGGTTCGCAACAACCCCCGCAGCACCAGTAGCTGTTGGTTCATCCGTCGGTTTTCCTTCTGCGTTTGGCACCCGAGGCGGGACCAAGGGCAGCTTTTAACCGCAGTTCACGGGACAGGACGGTGGGTAAGCTAGCGGTGTACGGCATTCGCGAGCAATGCCAACGACAGACAGTGCCCAACAGTGTAGGGTTTGTCCAGCAGCTCTTATATAAGCATGCCTACAAGGTTTGAACGTGCCACTGGCAACAACGATAAGCCCTCAATGTGAACATAAGGCCATTCTCACCTCCAGCCGTTCGTTCGACAAAGTCAGTTCGTACAGAAGCTGAATCGGCACGCGAAAGCAGGAAAGAAGCCAGGGCTAGTAAGAGGATGGTAGAGGAAGAATGGGGCTTCTCGGCTTTTGGCGAGGCAACGTGTGCAGCTAACACGCCCCGGCTTCCCAAGTCCATCTCACGCCATGTGGTCCTCCAAGGTTGCAATATCGTACATGCCCATGCCGACCCACAGCGCTTTTTCCCTGTCAGGAAAAAACTCCCCACGGGCTCAGGCCTCTGCCCTACCTTCTCACGCACTTCTTGTGCGTGCAGCTGCGTCAAGCGTACATGTTGAGATGTTTGGGGGTTACTGGAGTTCCAGGAGGACAGATCTGTTGTCATGATGAACAGCAGAACTACCTACAATCGTGGAAGTGGCCACGTCAGGTGAGTGTCTAGGTCAAGACAACCTCCCAGGGCCCTTACGCTGAACCGCGAGCCCTGGCGTGGGAACCCCCACCCCCCAGGTCTTCCAGCGGGTACTTGCCAAGCATACTATGAATAATGGACTGAGGCCACGCGATGGCTGGTCTTGGCTGGTCCACATCGTGCCGGGCCCAGTTGTAAAAGCGCAGGTTACAGTGTCCCTATAATCATGAAATCGCTAAGGTGCTATGCGTGATAAGCTATGGTCTGTGAGGGAGCTCCCCTAACGCCTGTATGGCCTCATGGCAGGTTTCCGAGAGCGCATAACCCTAACTGTATATAGCTCATGTTATACACTGCAGCGTTAGAGCAAAAGTGTCTGGTGAACGCTCATCCTTGTTCTGCTGTATGAATATGTGTGAGTTGAATGCCGTATACGTAATGATCATTAACGACCAGGAGGCTTTGCAACAACGGCCAATTATACATATACCTACACTGTGGCAATTGCTGCGCAACGAAATCATTATCTGAACAGTCTCAGTCACCAACTCACAGATTCTAGGTTTGACACTGGAAGGTTCCTGGCCTACAGGCTCTACGCCCTCTAGTTTATTGTAGCGGTGACATAATAACAACGTGCCACTTGCCAGTAAGGCGCCCCTGTTTGTCCCGAATACTCTAGCTTCATAGGGGCGGCTGGGCAAGAAAGAGAAAGCCCAGGAGCCCCAGGCTCTATTAACATTATCCAGCGTTTGATCTCACTCAAGAATATGGAAATATACGGGTCGTCAACAACTTTCAACCTTGAAAATGTCCTTCGCCAGAACATTTTGGGCTCGGACTATTACCGGCAGACCTGCACGACGTTGAACAATTGGTCAGATATTGTCGATGAGATATACGAAAACGTAGATCATGTGGAGCCTTGGATGAGCGGGAACGCACGGGGTGCATCCTCTGCGTTTTGCCTCCTGCACCGGCTGTTCACGCTGAAGCTCAGTGTCAAGGAAATCAAGGACATGCTCGACCACCGGGACTCCCCTTATATCCGGGCGGTAAGCTATCGGGGTGCTCTGATTTGGGCTTTGGAGGGCTGGGGACTTCCTGGGGGGTTGATGGCTTGGGTGAACGTTAGAGCCCTCGTGGTATGGCCTCTGGTCTTCACAGCTGAACGAGTCAGGTCCTGCTACATACATGTTACGGTTTGAGCCGTCATAAGGGTTTCCGTAGGCCCCGTCCTCCTGCTTAGGTTCTATCCCGGTCCCCTATAGGTTGGCTTCCTGTACGTGCGCTACGTTGCGGACCCCAAGACGCTGTGGAACTGGTGCGGCCCGTACGTCAAGGACCAGGAGGTGAGCTCGCAGCAGTCCTGCATGGATGCAGCTAGCATTGAGCCACTGCTTGGTATCACGCCTTGCGCAGCCGTTGGCGACCGGTTTTGGTTATGCCGTACGTGTAACGTGCTCGCCCTATCGCAATGCTTACTAAGCTGCGCCTGGTATGCATCATTGCAGATGTTCGCTCCCAGCGGACCGGGCCAGAAGGAGGTGACGATGGGAGACTTCGTCCGAGACTTGCTGCTTTCCCAGGTACGCGACAAATTGCATGGGGAACGACGACCCCGGCACTGAGCCCCTGCCTTGCGCCCTTTAGTGTGGTGCCGTGCACAGGGAAGGCGGCAGGTGCAGCCTCCGCCCTGGATAACTGGCTCCGCTTCGCACAGCAGCAGAGGTCCAACATGATGGCGGAAGGATTCGCGTGCGCCCTCGGCTGTTGTTGAACACCCCTGCCGTCGGTAGGGTGCGGATCAAGGCGTTACATAGGGCACGAATCCCCATGACCCCTGTGACCATGCTGCAATCAACACCCATACCCGCATAAACGTGCATCCTTCAGATGTTTGGGGCTGCTTGGCCCGCTGGTCAGTGGCCATATGTGGCCGCGCTGTACAATCAAATCGGCACGACGTTACTACGGCTAGCCTACTGGCATGGTTCATCACTTTCGTTGGCCCCCAGTCTGAATATGCCCTTACGTCCGCCTGCCCTCCGCAGTACTACTTCGAGACCATCTTCCCGCGTATCCCGAAGCCGGTCCAGGACTTCGTCAACGATGAGCTAAAATCTCGCAACCTGCCCACCACTGCTAAGGGTAATGGAGGTGCTGGCGGTGCAGACCGCCGCGGGGTCGATGACACCGGTAACCGCCGCCCGGCCTCGGTAAAGGCGTCCCTGTCCGTGGCCTTTGGCCAGCGCGCCCCAAACCGCTCTGGTGCGCGAGAGGAGGGGCGTGGGCGAGATCCGTCCGCAACAATGCGTGACGGGGCAGGTGGCAGCGGCAGGGCCCGAGGATCAGCTTCTCCCGACCCGCCGCGGGATCGCGCCGGTCGCGAGCCGTCGTCACGGCGGGACTACGACCGTGATACGCGGGGTGGCGATCGGCGGGACCGGGATTATGATCGTGACCGCGACAGGCGAGATGGGCGGGACCGCGATTACGACCGGGACCGAAGCCGGGAGTACGACCGTGACAAGGATTCCCGCCGGGACTATGGGCGCTCCCGTGGGTACGATGACCGCCCGGACAGCCGACGGGGGAGCCGCAGCAGAAGCCGGAGCCGAAGCAGAGACCGGCGCGATGGTGGCCGGGATGCGCGCGACGTGTTCAAAGAGTCCGTGCGTGATCGCCGTGGGAATGAGGACGACCTGCGGTCACGCTATGGTAACGGCGGTGGTGGGCGGCGTTGAGAGGAGGCACTGGCACGCAGGGGCTAAGGGTTTGGGGCCCGTTCAAGGACATATTGCAAGGCTTCTGATGTGTGCCGGTTGAGCCGTTGCTTGTGCACATATTGCTTTAACGCACATGCTTTAACGCCTGCACACCCATTGGCGGCTGCTCGTGTCAGGGTTGAAGGGCTTATGTTTAAGGGTTAGCTGGGCTGTCGACGTCTGTTTCGAGCGACGAGGTGTGTGTTGACGAAGGGGCTCCCGGACGAGACTAATTGTCGTGCTAAACGCATTGAACGGATTTTGTTGGGCAACTCACCCTTGCAACATTTTCAACTTGTGCTTTGCCAAACGGATCCGTTCCAACGGCAACAGTGCCACGGCTGTGAACTGTGCCGTCATTAGCGCATGTAAGCGCCAAGGATTGAGACGTCCCATGGAGATGCGTGCCTCTCAATCAACTTGAAAGAACAGCCATGATCGATGTTACACTACTTGGTACCTTGAGGGCTTGCGTAAGGAGTGCTCAAAGCCATGCAGAACCGTTTATTATGGAAGAATTCCCTTATGGAGATCGCCTTCATTGCACGCGTTAGTCACTGCTTGGTGCAGGGCTACTCAAGATCCACCCGAAGTAACCACATACGAGCGTCGTGATGACAACGGATACGAACAGTCCGCTGAAAGAGGGACATCGACAGTTCTGTACACACGCGACATAGTTCTGTACGACAAGCACGCTACGGGCCAGCATGAACCACTTCCAACGTTGTTCGTCGCGGTAGCGGGGCAACTGCATGCCAAACTTCCCGTCGCCTCAACTTTACTTGGACGACATCATGCGGACGAACTCCTGCATAAAGAACGCAACGTGTTATACTCTTACCGGTGGTTGAGAGGGGTGCACCGTTCATCGGCGTCAAATGAATGTCAAGCTGGGAAGGGACTACACCTAAAACCTCCGCACCTCGTAGTTGACCTGCAAGCAATGGAGGACAAGCAGCATGGTTAGCCTCCCATTCCCTCCCTCATGGGAAAGCGCCACGGACAACAAGTCAACTGGTTGCGCTGAGCGAATGGTCAGTAACCGCCTACCATGCCGTCGTTGTCCACATCCGCCTCCTTAATCATGTCGTCAACCTGTTCACATAAAACATCCGAGCAACATTAGCAGTTGCCATGTAACCACTGCCCCAACTGGACACGGCGCAAGAGAGGAGGGGCTGTCGTGCGCTAACCACGCACCTCCTCGTCCGTCAGGGCCTCGCCAAGGTTCGTCATGACGTGCTTGAGCTGCAGGACCGTATGAGCGACACACAGGGACAGATGTCAGGGTCGGAGAAGGGACACAGGCAGCCGTAGCAAAGAATTCAATTACCGGTACTCACCTCCTGCGCGCTGATCTTGCCGTTCCCATCCCGGTCAAACCTGGGTGGCATGGGCGAGCAGGGTTACATGGCGGACGTGCTAAGGTACGTGCATTTATGCGCCACATGCACTGGCCTGATAGTTTGACCGGCCCTGCCTACATTCCCCGCATTGAAAACAAAGCTCTACTGCATGAGGAGCTGCTGCAATGCACCTCGGATAACTTGCAGGACTTACATCTTAAAGGCTTCACGCAGGGACTCTTCCTGGTCAGGCACAGCTTGCTGCCTTTGCATGAGGAGGACAAACTCCTGGAACTCCACCGTCCCGCTCCCTGGAGGAAAGGCAGGTGGGAACATGTAGGGATGTAGGCTCTAGTACGGGTCTCGGATGGAATGCCCCCTTAACCTAGTTGTGCGCCAACATGTATTAGTCACGTACCGGAAGTCAACCCGAAAGTTCGTGTGATGACCTATGACGATGTGCATGGGCACAACCGCTAATCCCGTCATGCGTGTACTCACCATCCTTGTCGACTTCACGGATCATCTGTTCCAGGTCAGCCTGCGTAGGGTTCTGACCGAGTGATCGCATCACAGTGCCAAGCTCATTTGTCGTAATCCGCCTGCAAGATATGCATGCCGGTTAAGAGCCCGCACTAGCAGCGCATGCCAGTTGACGAGCACCGCAAAGAGTGTCCAGTCCCGCTCCCCCACTGACCCGTTGCCATCTTTATCGAATAGGCTGTAGTACACAAAGATGCGCAAAGAAGAAGGGAAAGAAAAGGGAAGCCCAGTGGTCTTAGTCCGAACTCAGCCGAAGGGACGCAGCTTGCAGCATGCCAAACCTGAAAGCCTCCTTGTACTCCTGCAGCTTCTCCTGTAACCAGGGACAAAGGATACAATTGTGTCTTATGGTCCCTTTCCATCATGTATCACAGCACCACTGCTTGCCAAACAGTTATCCGATAAGTCCCCACCTCAGGGACGTCTTCCATTTCTGAAGTGCTCTAAGTAGCTAGCAAAAAATGATAAGCCGAGCAGCTTGCCCGCGAACACCAAACTACGGTACTTGATACAGCCTCGCTTGCTGCTAGGTTTGTACACAAAAGGTATATGTTTGAAGCACAGAAATAATTCGACTGCCAAAACGGAGCAGCGGCTAACCTCTATGAACCCGCAATGACTGCCGTACGCATGGTTTCATCGGGATCCCCACAGGAAGAGCTTATGTCCAGGCAGCCTAGCTTATACACAACCACGTTACTCCTGGAGAAATATGAATGCTCGTGTCAGGGAATGACTGGCTCTTACTGGAAGGACCTGGACAGTCGAGCTGTTGGCATAGCTGTCCTACTCCTCGAGTTGCTATCCTTCTTGGATATCCAACACGCAACGCAGTAAGGATACAAGACTTGTTCGTACCATTAACAAAACCCTCGCAAACTTACGTCGGGGACCAGTGTCAGGCAAAGTCAGCGCGTTAGGGAGCCAGGACATCCCAGATAGGCCATTGAATGGGGTGGGAAGTGTTAGCTACGTGCATGGACGGCCCGCAGGTTTCGCAACCAGCGCTGAATAGAAGATATGCACGAACAGAACGCTGTTCCCAGGACGCTCTGCCCTCTGCAGCTCCCAGGAGCATTGCCTATGTAAGCACAGGGACGCCAACCCGCCGGGATCGGGCCTTAGATAGAGCCGCTTCATTACGCTAGCGTTACAGCGCAGTGGATGCCTAGGAATATGCCAAGCTCCTGGCAATCTGGTCCTCTTGTGCCCACATGACAGCCTCCCATCCCGGGGCCATCCCCCGCATTTAAGGCGGCCGTCGACACTCCACGTTGGGCAGCTGGGCAGTGACGACAAGGACTCATCCAAACCCTCCCTTCCGGTAGCCGCACTAGCCGGCAACACTGTAAGGCATCCTAAACGCGTCTCATGGCATCGTACACCGGTTGGGACAACCTACTTGCTGCATCACATACCGCGACAGCATTTCGCCAGGGCCGCATGGCAAGGTGGTCTACCAGCGCAACCCTATCCATCTCAGCCACCATAGCCATGCTCAACCACCGCGCCGCAATCACCTATAAGCGGCTACCTGCAGCACCCTGCACCATGCGCTACCGCGGCATCTCCCAGCAGCAACCAGCGCGCCCAATGTCTCTCTCCCAAACCGAGTATCCTCTCAACGCCTGCGAACCAGTTTTGACAGGGGCCCCACCACCGCATCATACAACGCACGAGCCACCCGCTTAGCCGACCCCTTCCCCGGCCCCTTCCCGCCCTTCTTCCGCCGTCCACCTGCCTGCCCTTTGCCCCCCTTCCTCTGCTTCTCCCGCACCCACCGCCGCTCCTTCTTCCCCACATGCTGATACACCACCAGCCAGGCGTTCTTGCGGTACAGGTCGTTGGCGAGGGTGCCGCTCTGGATGGCCTTGAGCGAGGTGTAGGGGTTGCGAGCCAGCTGGGTGGCCGGCTGCCAGCCGCACTCCCCCAGCATCTCCGCCTCCATAAGGCCCTCCATCTGAGTGTTGGTGGCTACAATCAGACGGGGCGGAGGGGCCCCGCCCCGGGAGCTCGCCGCCCTGCATGGAGGGTGCAGGTGTAAGGGAGGGGGCCGGCTGCATGTTACCAGGACACAAGCATGGTACGGGATGCATGGCTGGCCGTGGAATGTTGTGCTGGTGCACTAGTATGGTACTGCCGAGGTACACGTTACTCGGCCAGAGAGCTCGTCGGCTTTTACTGTCCGACTTGTGGCGCCGGCAGAGGACTACCGTCACGAGCAGTAAGGGCTGTAACAGCGCTTGCCTGTCAGGCCCACTTTCGAGTTACGGCCCATTTCGAAGGGAAAGCATGTCGCAAACCTTCCTACCAGGCCAGATGACCCCTACCCCTCTCCTACTCTCCATGCCCGCCCGGGCAGCCCCCTCGACCCACATCACCCAGCCCACCTGCCCAGGGCTGCCAACGTCGCGTCCCACTCATAGTCCGGGCAGGTGAAGCCGGGGTTGAATGCCAAGAAGGCGTCAGGGGCCCGCGCAGCTAGGCCAGCAGCCGCCCCGCCTCCGGCTGCTGGTGCTCCCCCAGCTGGCCCGTTGCCCGCCAGCAGCAACGCATCGTACGTGGACTGTACGGCAGACATGTGGTTCAGAGGTTAGCGGTTGCAATGTCGGACAGCGGGTTATTGGAATTGGTAATCATTTACCGCCATGCAATGGACATGAACGGTGTTGTCGCGTCCAGGAGTTCTTGGCACACTAGAAAGTCGTTTTTCACTTGTCACTACCGGTACCCGCATGCTGCCTACAAACGGAACAGTTCCACTCCTCCACGTGTCCGTGTACGTCCTATCCGCCCTGCCGCCCCTGCTCCCTACCTGCACAAAGCGCATGGCCACGCGGCCCTGCTGCGCCCCACTGCCTGCCAGCTCGTCCGGCACCTCGGGGCCCACGAACAAGATGCGCACGTCCCGGCCCAGCGCCGTGGCTACCACCTGGGATTGCACCCACACGAGCATACGCGCTCAAGACCGAAGTTCAAGCATCACAACACTGGTTAGCCAAGCCCCAACTCCATGCTTTCAGCAGAGCCACAAAAGGTGCCCCATGCACGGCATGCAGGAGGCGGCCCCCATGTTCCCTATCGTACGGCACCCACCTGCCACGATGCCAGGTCCGCCAGCTCAGCATCCGCCGCAGCGCCCAGAACCACCAGCTCCACCGGCCGCCCCGCACCAGGCACCGGTACGGCAGCAGCGGTTTCGGAGCCACCTGCCAGGGTGCTCCGCAGCGCCCATGCCGCAGTGTAGGCGTAGCTCAGGACGGCGGTGCGCTCCGCGAGCTCCGAAGCCAGCTGCAACAGTCGGGCCTCATCTGGCAGGGCTGCGGCTGGGTTGGCTGCGGACTGCGGCTGGGAAGCCTCAGCAGCGCCACTGACACCGTTTGACGGGTTGCCTCCAGGACCAGTGCCAGCCCTCCGCGCCCTGTGGAAATAATGGCCCCAGGCGCCGGTGATCCATGACGAAACCCTATGGTAACATGTGGTGGCCTTTAAGCAGTGCCAGCAGTGAAGCGTGTGTGGAGTAACAATGCGCAAGGGAAGCCCAAAGCGACGTGCACCACGGCTTGCGTTGAGGCCCGCCTGAGGCGAACCGAGCTTAGCTTCTGCTTAGTAGAAGGTTGCAGGTCTGCTCACCTCTTCCTCGGCGGCTCCTGCGCCCCGGCTGCTTCCTCCCCCTCTTCACCAGCCTCACGGGGGTACACGGCCAAGAACCTGTCTGGCATCACGAGTCCCCAGCTGCCCTCCTCACCAGGCGGGGACCAGGCGGCCTCCTCCTCGCCTGCAAGGGTTGGGGACGCTGCCGTACCGTCGCGTGAGGCACCTTCTGGCTCCGATGTGGCATTATCAGCCGCCGGCGCCTCCTCCTGCTGACGCTCCAAAGCATCGTCCGCTTGGCGCATGCAGCTCAGCGTGGGGCACACCGCCACATGGCGTGGCGCGTCATCGGTCAGGTGCTGAGCGCAGCAGTAGCGCACTGCTTGCCAGGGTATCGGGGGCGGCGTGAAAGGGGAATGGAGCAGTTGGAATGGAGCAGATGCCATGGGTGTGCTTGGGAAAGGGTACCCAATCTCTTCCCCGAGGGAGTTCCATTGCGCCACTACCCGTACTCTCTGGGCGAATTCAGCAAGCAACAGGCAGTGTTCAGTGCAGCCCTTCATGCCTCTCTCCGCAACTTACCGCCCTTGCACATGGTACACTGTAGACCAGGCTCGCAGGGGCCAGCGCACACAGCGCAGCAGTCATGGCCGGGAGCTAAATCTGGATCCTCTTCTACCCGTGCAGCGCCTTCATCTGATAGTTCGTGAGCTCCTTCCTCCGGCGGCAATAGCAAATGGTGCATCGTCGCAACCGGACGCAATGACGCTCGACGGCTTTTGTAAACGTGGATAAAGCAAATGTCAGCGCCAAAACAGGGCTAGCCAATTCTCGTTTGCTTATCTCAAACTCGACATCGAGGCTGAGTATTACAGTACAGGATGCAAAGATGTTCGAGGTGTTAGGACTCCGCTGCACCACAGTGGTTTCGCTACCAATGCCAATTGTACTTCAGACCTTTACCCGAAAGCATGGTGTGTCAGGCTGCACCACTGTGAGACTGATGATCACTTTTTCGTACGACGCGCAGGTTAGCCCAAGCTAGCGTTCTAGTATACAACACCATTGCTGTACCAAAGGGTTTCAGGCATTCCATTGCATACAACCTAACGTCCCCAGAATGCTGCCGTTGCTAGACACAAGGATTGACTGTGTGCTGGTCCATGGGTCTGCTAACGTGCTAAGGCCAGTGGAAACCTGATACGAGATTTGGGAGGTTGGATTAATGCAAAGCATGTGTACATCAGCTATATTCCTCCAGCACACATTGTCAGGACGGGCAGCCAGCATTGCAAACGCTGCAAAAAAATATCAACTGCACCGGCCCACGAAACATTGTCCGCTTGCCATACCGGTATGGCCAAGCTCTACAACCACAATCCTCGTATGTTGAATTGCAGGTTATAGCTTATACGATGAAATGGTCCGAGTCTCCTTAACCAGCGGCATCTACCCCAGGCAAGGACACCAGCTAACAGCCACGATGAGGATGAAACTGTGCCTAAGTGGAAGATTCATCCTTTCATACACGGCTACCCGTTACTTAAGTCCACCTGGCCGGGGAAAAGCTTCCATGCATGTGCCCAACAACCCACCCACAAGCTTTCCTGCAAAGGCGTGTAACCTTCCCCCATGCCTGCGTTGAAGCTGGGTACACCTCTCATTGCCACTCTGCCAGTGCCCGGAAGCACCCCGAAACGGCCCCAGAAGCTGACAGGCCACAGAGAGAAGCATCCATAGCCTATTACGCCGCCACGCCGCAAGCTTAGTCCTTAAGGATGCCAAGCAGCTCCTCGTCACGGTAGAGGTATAGCCTGCATAATACCGTATAATGGTAAGTATACGATCACTATCGTTTATAAGCGTTCGCGCGAACTTACTCCTTGTCGCCGAGCTTTATTTGGCTGCCACCATACTCCGGCAGCAGAACCTTGTCGCCCTCCTTGACGCTCACTGGATGCAGGTCTCCATCCTTGCTGCGGCGGCCTGGCCCAACAGCAACGACGACGCCCTCGTTCACCTGTGCGAGGCACGGAACCGTGAGGAACCTTCCGTTTGATGTGATGCGGCGCCCGCAAGAAAAGGCGACTAACACTACTGACCTTCTGCATAGCGCTCTCAGGAAGGAGGACACCACCAGCGGTCCTAGTAGCTGCCTGCACCTTGTCCACCAGCACACGATCCAACAGGGGAATGAGACGCCGGGCCGCCATGGCTGCAAGGTGCTTTATGAAATGTTGTAGTGAGTTGGGCAAAACTGAACAGTGAAACCAGCGACCACTGCACTCTTTAACGAGGCGGTTACAGAGAAGTCTTCGCGAAGATCCGTACATGTCGCGATTTTTTCGAGACTTTTCTCGATGCCATTTGCGGCGCCGATTGCAGTGACTAGTAAAACACGCTATATGGTGCTATCCTATGTACATTGTGATGCCTGCGCTGTCCTGAGGATGTTGTAGGTACTAAGCTTCCGTCATGACCTCATGAGCAGGGAACCCGTGCTCGCCTAAAGCTGCCTGCGTGTCTAACAAGTAGGTAACTAGAACCCACACAGCCTAAACATACAAAACACTATCTAAGCATGACCTCCACACCGCTCCCCCGAACACATCATCGGTGGGAGGTGCCAAACTGCGTAAAGAACTCCGGCGCTATCGCATTGCGGTAGAGCGTGGACAAGTGCTTGTCGCGATCTTGCTTCTCCGCTGCCTGCTTCTTCAGGATGTCCGTCGCACGGTCCAGCTGCGCCTTTCGGAACTCCTCGACGCGTTGCGCCTGTGCAGAAGTAAAAGACGATGCACGGGTTTTCAGGTATATTTTGCACTCCTGCAGCAGACACTGCATTCCCCGCCTTTCTTCCTCCTAATCCCCATGCGCTACCTCTGATCTGTGATACCGCATAAAGTGCACATACCTGCTCCTGCAGCGCTCGCTGAATGTCGTGCTGCGTCCGCGCATACATCATGTTCTCCAGCTGCTCCTGCGCGCGGCGCGCCTTCTTCTCCTCCATCTGGGCCAGCTGCGCATCAAGGATGGCCTTCCTCTCCGTCTCCGTCATGCCCTTGTAGTGGTCTTTCCGCACACGGAACGGAGACAGGGCGGAGGCGGCCATGTTCGGGTCCTGCAAGTCCAGACCCACATAAGCGTTTAGGAAAAACGCTCCCACGAGCTTGAAGTCCACGAACTATGATGCATACACCTTCCCAAACTCGCATCCACGCGCATGATTTTCATCCGAGCAGTGCTTAGAACGGTGCCAAACTCTGGCATCCACGAGTTAGTACCGCAACCCATCCAACCCACCTCCGTCATAAAGCTGGAGGTGATGGTCGCCTCCATCTCCGCCATGTTGGCCGCCAGCTCCGCCTGGCGGGCGGCGATCTCGCGCAGCTTCTTCTCCTCCGCCTGCCGCTTGTTGTAATCCGCCGTAGCGCGGTTGAGCTCACGGCGAACTGCGTCCTCCTCGCTCTTGGCCGCCTGCTGCAGCATGTCCTGGTACTTGACCAGCTCGGCGTGCGCCAGCTCCGCCTCCCTCTCAGCAGCTGTGACGGCCTCCTTGATGGCTGTCTGCTCAGCCCACCAGTCCACGCACTGCTGTATCTGCGCATCTTTGCGGTCACCCGCCTGCGAGCCATACACGGGGCATGTTGGTTGTTATTCCGGTACCTGCCAGGTGCTGGCGCTCGTACCCATAAGGGAAGCAGGCCGTCCACTGCCGGCCCCCTTGGCACCCAAATAACATTGCTCTAGATGATCACAGCACCGTAAGGTAACGTGCAGGACACTGTGAGACAAGACAGTAGTAGGTGTTGCACCGCTATGTATGTGCCTTAGGGTTATACCGGTACACACCCCTTCACCCAGCGTACAAGCTAGGCGTACGACCTCTGTGCCATTTGGGTTGTGGCGTTAAGGTTATTGGTATAAGGCTGTGACACGGAGGTTGGTGTACGTACCGTCAAGTCCTCGCCGTCAAACTTTTGGAGGGACGAGGGCCCCAGTCGAGGGTCGTCGTCACCCACGCGTGCAGGCAGGTCCAGCTGCTTAGCGTCTGGCCGGTTAATGTCCCACTCCCGCCGGGTGTGCTTAAGCTGCTGCTGTTGGCGGAATGCTTCTGTGTCACGGTTGTAGGCCTGACGTATCTGGTCCGCCTCGTTCTGCATGAGCGTGAGCTGGTCATTGAAGTACTGGGTAAGGCGAGCGAAGGCCCTGCAAATAGGAAGGGTTGGCATGTAAGAAGCCGTGTCCGTGTGGACGTTCATGCTGCGGACTGAAGTCAGGGCGTAAAAGACCCCAAATTCGCCTGCTCATTTTGGCGTCCCGTATCAGCCGGACAAACAGCAAAAAGCAACAGCCAAACATCGTCTAGATCCTACTAACTGATAACACCTTGGATAGCAAGGCCAGGCAGTTGAAGGACGCGTTCGCATGTAAATGCTAGGAATGGCACCATACTTACTCATCGCGGTCCTTGTCTGCCTGCTCCCTGTCCTGTTTCTCTTTCACTTGACGGTCCAGCGCATCCTTGTCCACCTGTGGTAAAGCGGGTTGTTAGATTTCCAGAAGCAATACAGCCCGCGGCTTTCAGGAATAATTGCATACATCCTTCACGTACCCCAATAGTGCGCCATTTAGCATCAAGAACACGCTTGAGGCGTTCCGGGTCCTCGTTGGGAACTTGCGCAACTAGGCGACCCATTATGCCTTCTTAATGGGAACGTAATCAACTGGCGTTTATGACTGGTAACGTTGGCTTAATTCAGGTACATATCCTTCGTGGCTTCCGCGAGGAGGACGAAACCTTCGAACGCCGTATATGTACGACGACAGCTAATGCGACTGTTGCAAATTTAGCATGTTTGCCATGCATGGTAATAGCTGACAGGTTTTAAATGTTATGCAGAAAGGCCCTACCTGTGAAACTACGTGATCCTTGTTGCCTCTGCACGGCCTGCGCGCGGCTGACGCGTGAACTTCCAAGTTCCCAAATTATACCTGCTGTTTGATGCTTTGCCTTTACCCGAAGGGGGGGTGACTTTGTTTGCTTTCTGTACTGCTCCTTACATGCCGTTGCTGGCCAAGCCCCCACCTGCCCCACTGTATGTTTGGATCCCTGCTCATGCGGGGCCGCTGCAAGCTGCAGCTATGCGGTTGCCGACAATTTCCGTACGATATAAGCGACATGGGTTTCATCCCATGCAGCCCATGCATTCTGATGCCCTTAGTTGCCATCTATAACGTGCAGCACTTCTATAAAGGCGTTGGGCAGGCGACAGGCGCCGAACTGCGGCTTGCTCACCATGCCATGATCCCATGAGTCCATGAGACATACAGTTCAGGCGGCTTGGCCCTATGGTACCCGCCCTCACATCCATCATTCGTACTTTGGGCATCCCCCAAAGCGACCGTGAAGCTCCCCGTGGAGGCACGGTAAACTGGGTTGGAGGCGTGGCTTCAAATGCCAATGGCATGACTTACCCTGCTCAGCGACCCTGGTCCATACACGCTGCTGGAAGCTGCACGCACTGCCATCACAGTGGCAGTGATATATACGGTGCCATTATTCAGGTTTACAAACGTGGCTGTATGGCACATGGTACGGTCCAGATGGCCAAATGCGCATGTCTGCCTGATGCCAAGTGATCCTCAACCTAGGATGCTACTCCATGACTTAGGGAAGACAGATCACCTAGGATGCTACGGCATGGCTTAGGGAAGACGAATCTACGAAATGCAACACGTACATAGTCGTCATGGCCAGCTCTGTTCAACCTGGCACGTTGCTCCTACCAACCGTTGCCAGGATCCTACCCATTGCCAGATAGGTTTTTGGGTTCCAAAAACGCTACGAGTCCCCACCACAAGCACCTTGCTGCTGCAGCTGCTTCGTTCACAGAGCGTCAGCACCGCTGCTACCAATGCTTTCCTTGTTTCGTTAATATGCCGCAATCGTTCGAGCCATGTCGGCCTCAGGAACATGCACCTGACATCGGATGCCAAACACCAAACAAAGAAACGCACCAATATTGTCTCTCTCGCACACCACACGATGAGAACCCCAAAACGTTAGGCACCAACCTCACACACAGCCAACTTTGTACTTAGCTTTGGTACACACCGCAAGCCGAGCATTCCTTGTAGACAGCTTCACACACCAATACTCTGCTTAGCCTTCCAGTACAATTGAGTCATGCGTCAACAGCCCGGAGGCAACCTACAGCCCCAAGGTCCATGCATGGAAGCTAAGGAGTCCCCGGGGGTCCTGCCTGCCCACTCCAGGTTGCTAGGAAAGCCCACTTCAACCCAGCACGAGGGAAAGCGAGGATGTGACCCACCACAAAGCCAGTGAACCTAACAGTGGTCAACAGCAGGATGCCACCAAGGAAGCCAAAAGGCCTTAAGGGTCTAAGCAGGCCTATGCATGGTTGGGCCTACTACGCGTGCAATGCATTCCCGCAAAGCATTTCACCCAACTAGCGCCGTACGAACGAAAACCTAGGACATATCGTACGTTTTGGAATCGTCGTACCTCCCTACCCAACGGGGCCTGGAAACCAGCCGACCTACTTCGGTTCCCACCTGCAACGCAGCTAATATTACCCGTTCGTCTCAACAACATCTCGTTTACTTTCACGTGTATTATGCCGATGCAAGCCCGATGCACAAGCGACACCAGGGTCTTGCGGCCTAGGTTTCCTCATGCGTGAGCGCCCCGCGTACGACCCACCTAACACTCTCAGCCCGTGTCGTCGCACAAGCGAGAACAAATCAATAAAAGTACAACACAGCTTTAATTCTACACACACCTCGTCGCCACCTCCTCTCACCATATGCCTATCGTCCCATCGTACGACCCCGAGAACACGCGCCCCTCCGCCGCCGCCAACACCCGTACCGCGTCATCATGCCCATCGCACTTCCGTACGCAGCGGTAGTTGTTGTTGATGTCCCAAAACCGAACCGTTGTGTCGTACGACCCGGACACCAGCACGTTGTTGCCCACCGCCAGCGCCAGCACCGCCTCCGTGTGCCCCTCCAGCACCTTGACGCACTCCAGAGTGCTCAGCGACCACACGCGGATGGTCTTGTCCCAGGAGCCGCTGTACATGTGCCGGTCGCCCACCGCCAGCACACGCACGTTGTCGTCGTGGCCCTCCAGCGTTTTGAGGCACTGCAGCGTCTCCGCGTCCCATACCTGGTGGGGGGCGCAGAGTCAGGCAAGGGGGGTGGGTTTGACAGGAGCGGGTCGGATGCTCGCTGCGGCTGGTCATCTGTAATGGTCCTGCGGCAGAAAGAAGTATATTACTCGTGAAACTGGTTACGGATGCCACTGGCGTCCTGGTCCATTAGGACTGACCCATCTGCTACTGTCGTACTGTGGTAGTGGTCCAGTCTCCAGTGACCCTCTGCACGGTGCACCGTGCCAACACGGATGCACCCGCACCCTGCCCTCCTCCCCGCAGCCCTGCTCCCCACCTTGATAGTGGTGTCGTCCGAGCCCGAGAACACCTTGTCCGGGGAGGCCACCAGCGCGCGCACAGCACCCGAGTGCCCCGTCAGCGTCGCCTTGCATTTGAGCGTCTCGCAGTCCCACACCTGGGCACGGGGGGGAGCAGCGGCGGGAACCACATGCGATACCGTATGAGCCCAACGAACTAGGCTGCTGCTAGCACCACCGGCGCTCTCCCAACTGCATCCTAATGACGGCGGTGGGAAATCCCTGCAAGCCGACCGCAGTGGCGTCTCCGCTCCCCGCTCCCCAACCCTTCTTCTCTCTGTCCTCCGAGAGAACAGCCAAAGCCCTACCTTTACGGTGCGGTCGTACGAGCCGGAGAACATGTTGTTGCAGCAGTGCACCAGCGTGCGCACCGGGCCGTTGTGCCCCTTGAGCACCTCCAGGCACTGCAGCGTGTTCTCGTCCCACACGCGCACCGTGCTGTCGTACGACCCGGAGAAGAGCTTCCCCTCCGCCACCGCCAGCGCGCGCACCGCGTCCGTGTGCCCGGTCAGCGTCTTAATCCGCTGTAACGTTTGTAGGTCCCAGACCTACGGGAATGGCGGTAGTCGGTAGTAAGGCATGTGAAGGCAGTGGCGAGGGGCAAAACAAACATGCAGACTGGCAGCCGCCAGTCTACCGCCTCTTGCAGCGTGCAAGGGGAATGTATCGTGTCTGTGGGCTGCATGCTCGGCCTGTGCATACCCATACACCAGAAACCTGCGTTACAGGCACTTGACCCGACCAGTCAACAAGGCATGCCGCATTAAGCAGCCGGTCGCAGTCGCACCACACCCACCTTGATGGTGTAGTCGTAGGACCCGGAGAACAGCTTGCCGTTCGCCACCGACAGCGACAGCACGGGCCGGGTGTGGTCCTCCATCACCTGCTCACACCGCCGGGATTCGATGTCCCACACGCGGATCGTCTTGTCCGCAGACGCGGAGAACAGTCGCCGGCCGCATACCTCCACTGCCCACACAATCTCCTCGTGGCCCTGCCAGGTCATACCATGGTGGGAGGAGCGTCCTTAGGACCCGCGACCATTGGCCCAGAGCTTGGGCCCGGCTAATCGCTTGGGTCATGGCTGACATGCTGAGGGGCCAAACCCGACCCTTACGTACACTAGAAGCAGACCAGCAATTGTGAGGGCCGTTACGCGTGCCTCTATGGCATGCGCACACCCTTTCCACGGAGCTCAGCGTGCAGCAAAAGTCCCACAAGATCAGGCCACAGGTAGTAGTACACCCCTCACAGCAGCAGGCTTCCCCCGGTCATGCAGTCGGGTTATGTACGGCGGCGAGCCGAAACACACCTGGAGGATGTTCTGCGGCTCGTCCTCGTACCGATAGGGCATGTTAAGCTTGCTTCCACCGGTGTTAAGGGTAATACCGTGCGCCGTTGCCCACTCCTGCGTTGCAAAACCGTTTGCCAACGGCGGTGACCCTTGGCGCACCATGTAGCAGTATAAACTGCCATGCGCACCTGGATCGCCGTCCGTAGAGCGTAATTGGGAGTGAGCTCCAAGTGCCTAAGGCGCATGCCTGTCACCGGGCAGCTTCGATTTCCCTGTGCAAGCCACTTTTCTATACATTGCCGGTCATATGTGTGCCCGGTTGCAACCATCACTGGATCCACCATCAGCTCCATGGAAATAGGGCAATAAAAGCTTGAAGGAGCCTGGGGCTTTTGCTCAGGCTCTTGTCCCTGCTGCGATACGGTGCTCGCAGCCGCACGACTGCAGTGCAAGGTATAACAAACTTTTTGGCTCTGAAATAAAGGGGCAGCGTCTTAAGCAAGGACGCACTTCTGTTCGGTTGGTTCGGTCGACGCCGCATCCTCTCCGCCGCCGCTCTCTGGAGACCGTGTTTCAGCTCCGCCCCTTAGTCCTCTGAAAAACTGCTTCATTGCTGGCGCTCCCGGATTTTACTCCAGGACCCCGCCTCACCCGCTCCGCCCGGCAAGCCGCGGGCTTAACACGTGTTCAACCAATAAGAAAGCCGTCTATGGTGTAATATGTTACAAGGAGCGTGGGCAAGGAAGGGTGCCACCGAGCAACCGCCAGAAAGCGTAGTTCGCTAAATGGTTGCTGTGTCAAGGGATGTTTGCGGTCATCGTATGTATCTCTTCTATCCTTAAGAAGTATACCTTCTTTCGGTTCAGGACACCACTTACAGCGAAGCCCAGTAATGCAAGGTGCCGTACCGGTATAGCCAACAAGAGCGCTCAAGAGCTCGTGCGGATAACTGACACCAAAATCCAGAGCCCAAACAAAGTATCCTCTCAAGCACGAATAGTCCAGCACGCGAAAGTACTCCCCACACCAAGTAACAACCATCGGCCAGCCCTCGCTCGTCGTCCGCACTGATCACGCTGTCACCACCTCAACAACACCCGTCCACACCACCCACAAAACCACAACCCGTTACAACTCGCCGCTGCTTCCCAGCAGCACACCAAACACCGTGCCACCCCTCAGAACCGGAAGGTCGGCTCAACGTCCATCGCCCAGTTGAACTTCCCCAGCAAGCTCTTGTTGAAGATCTTCTCGATGGGCACGTCGTTGCGCTTGCACCAGGCAACCGTGATGCGCGGGTCCATGTAGTTGATCTTCGACGTGCCCAGGGCAACCGTCTTGAGGTCCTCCTTCGAGCGCGCCTGCAGCTCCACCTTGAAGATCGCCTGCTTCTTCTTGGCGATCTTGGACTGCAGCCTGCATGCACCAAACGTCCCCATTCGTCGTAAGTGCATGAATGTGTACACCCATGACAGGTGGGCAGGTACGGCTTTGGCTGCTGGTACGGCTTTGGCTGCTGGTACGGCTTTGGCTGCTGGTACGGCTTTGGCTGCTAACCAAGTTGCTGGCGATCACCATTGTCAAGACCAGCAGAGGGCTGCATCCCCCCTCCTGCCTCGCAGCCCCACTCACGATTCCACGCTGCTCTTCTTGTCGCTCTTGCCCTTCTGCGCGGCCGCAAGCTCCTCCTCCAGCTCCTTCAGCTCGGTGTTGAGCAGCTGCAGCTTCTCCTGGATCTTCTCCATCTGGTTGGTGTGCGTCTTGGGCACGGAGCGCTGGTGGTTACACAGGATGGCCACCTGTGCGGGCGCAGAGCAGGGCGGGAAGGGCGCATTTGCCATGCAACGTATCCAGCGTTCCAGCCGGATAATAACAACACAACACATAAAACAGGGCCTGAGCCAAGCTTTTAGCACCACAGACGACCTCCGTGCAGCGCCGCATGGGTGCAAGGCCGGTACTACCCGCCAGCTCGGCCTCGCAGGTCGCAGCGCCCTGCCGCCCCGCAGCTCACCTCCTTGTTGGCAATGTCATAGTCCGCCTTTTTCTCGTCCACCGTCTGCGCCGCCTTCCCCTTCTTGGATGCCTCCAGCTCCGCAAGCAGCCGGTCCAGCGTGATGGAGGCGTTGTAGGTACGGAAGACCTTGACGCTCAGCCCGTCCATGATGTTCTTCAGCTCCTTGTTCAGGTCCTGCGCGTCAAACGTCTCGAACAGCTGGTCGCTGCCCTGCTTCTCTGCGGGAGGGAGGAGGGGGAAACCGGGAGGGGCCAGGAAAAGCGCGGGGTGGGGATACGAGACGCTGGCGAACACGACAGCATCAGGGACACGGTATCTCCATGCACGCATGCAGGCTCAGGACGGTGAGGCGGGCAGCAGCACCCAAACACAGCCGGGCCCCAACGGACTTACTCTTGCCGGTTGAGTCGATCCGCCGGAACTTCTCCAGGTTCTTGTAGACCTTGGGGTGCACCTCCACCACGTTCTCGTAGCGGATCGAGTCCTTACCCAGAAAGTCAAACTTGACCTTGTTGTCCGCCTCGATCTCAATGTTCTCCACCTGTGAGCAGCGGTATTGTGGTATCAACGTCGAGTCATGAAAAGCACCTCATTTCTGCCATGCGAGGTGACTATAGCATGGAATGCTACCACGCACAGCTGCGTACACCACCACCACGCACCCCTTTTCCTCTTCCCTCCTTCCCACTTTCGTACCACCTCACCTTGAGCGTGCAGCAGCCCACCGTGTCCGCCTCGTCCTCATCCTTCTCGTGGCCCGCACGAAGCGCCAGCTTGTCGATGAAGTACAGCGCCACCGCCATCTGCCGCTTGCGGTGGTCGGAGCTGTCCCAGTCGCGCTCGTAGTTGCGCCGCACGTCCACGATGATCTCCTTCAGCTTGCGCGCCTTCTCGTACTTGGCCAGGTCGCTGTCCGCTTTGAAGGTGGAGGTGGCGCCCAGGAAGACGTACCTGGGGGGGGGGCGGGACAGTGAGAGGGAGGATAAGGGTTGGGTGAGAGAGCTGGGGTGGGGAGGGAAGGGCATGGTGACGTACAGCCTGCTTGGTTGAAGAGTGAAGCCGCTTCTAGGGAGCATTGTGAGGGTTCCGGAGTCCTAGCATGCCGTACTGGGGCTTTTCATAACCCTAGGACTCACAACCCCCAGGACAACCCCTCAGGAAACCCACGCACTTGTAGTCCTTGGAGGAGATGGTGTCCTTCCAGTAGGCCAGCCAGGTGACGGTGTGGTCGTGCTTGATCTCCTTCCACGTCTGCCCCGGGTAGGGGTGCTCCGGGACGGCCTCGTTCTCGCCAATGTTGATGGTGATGTCGCGCGGGTACACGCGCCGCTTGATCTTCCCCATCTTGGGGTGCTCTCCGCGACCTCGGAACAGGCCGGGCGGCTCGACTCGGAAGTTGCCCACCTAAGGTAGGCACCGGGGAGGACGCCAGGGAGGACGCCAGCGAGCAGAGAGGACATCGGACTTTTGTGTTTGTAGCGGATAGGAGTAAGGGCAGTCCTGTGCTGGTCCGTGAAACCTGCTTTAGTGATGGCGTGACTTTGTAGTGCGCGTCGAGTTGCACTCGCTTTTCCATGCAGTGGAAGACGTCACACGGCTCATGGATTGTTCAGGGAAGCTAAGAACTACACCCACGACTGGCTTCCAGCCCTTTGCACGTGGAGACATGCATTTGCCAGATGCCTCACACATGCACCGTCGTGACGCGCAGCGTTTCCTTATGCAGCGCCCACGGCTGCTCCCACAGGGAGCACTGAGCGCTGCAAACATGTCTTTACAGCCCCCCCGGGAGCGCTCTCACCGGCTCGCAGCGCCCGTCCACGTACGCCACCTTGTACTTGGCCTCCTTCTCCTCCCGCTCCTTCTTTAACCGGTCCTTCTCCTGTGGGGCACCGGCGTAGTGGGGTTGAAGCCGGGGCGGCACCCAGAGGCGAGGAGGCAAGGCGTGAACAACACGTTCCTCCCGCCCACCCTGCGGGGTAGCTTCTAACCCTTCAACGTGCCTTAACGTGTGCCCACTTCACCAGCACCTCCCACACACCCGCACACACCCCTTACCTCCTTGCTCATGTTCTTCTTGGCCTCCCGCTGCGCTATGTGCCAGTCGTAGATGGGGGTGAAGTCGCACTTGTCGAGCGACTTGATCACGTGGTTCCGCCCCAGGATCTCCTTGAAGCCATCCCAGAAGTTCTTTAGGAAGATGGGCTTATTCATGTAGTCCGTGTCCTTCATAACCGCAAACATGGTGGCCACCTCCTCCTGATCCGGCGTCAGATCCACAGGCCGGCCGTCGTACAGCATTTTGACGCCATGTGGCTAACAGGCGCAACCGCAAGTAGGGGATGAGGGCATACGAGGAGAGGGCTTCAGGCGTGACAGTTGGTGGTTGCTAAGCGGTGGAGCTCAGGGAGAGGTAAAGAGGAAACGACTAACGACCCGTGGGATAATGCGAGGGAGGGGGTGCTAACTGAGGGTAACGCCTCAACCTGCAATCATGCGGAGCCCGAGGTGGGAGCCAACTATTGTGCGGGGTAAAACCAGATAGCCGATCATAGCTGCCGAGCGAGGACAGGCATGCAGCATACACCCATCGCTTTCCACGCTCCGATTGACACCGCTATACAAAGCAACACCCCCACTGCCAGCTGAGCGCCAGAATGGCTTTTCAATTGAGTCCAGCGTGATACAGAAAGGTGCCCATATGAATGCTTTCTCGCTGGACACACCGCTATTCAGTCGCCATCATGCGCACCTCGTACTCCGGTGGGAACAGCACGCCACAGTGCCGGAGCGTTTTCCACATCACTTGCCCAGTTTTGCTGCTGCCCGGCTCCCGCTTTGAGCGCTTAGCAGACGCGCTCTCCCTTTTTGGAGTCGCTCTTTTGCGTTTTGCACCACCGCTGGGCGACTTGCTCTTGCGCCGGGAAGCAAGCGGTACATCGCTATCGCTATCACTCTCCTCCTCGCTTTCTGAGCTGCTGGCGGGCTGCGTGGGCAGGCCCGGCGGGTCAGTTCTGTCAGGCTTCTCCATCGGCTAAGTCCACTCAAAGGGACACGGCCCCACCTCCTCGCTTTCCACATCATCCTCGTCTTCTGTTTCTGGCTTTTTACTTGCAGCTTTACGTCCATTGCTTTGAGGCCGTGCAGCCGCCGGCTTGGCAGCTGCTTTTGGAGCAGTCTTGGGCGTGGACTTTGCCGATGGGGCCGCCGCGCGCTGCATCAGCGGGACATCATCCTCCGAATCGCTCATGGTTTGTATAGCGTGCAAAAGCGTGCTACAATTTAAGTGATCTACACGAGATATGAAAAAGAACGTTACCAGTCGCGATTATAGAAGTCAAGCCTGGCAATTGGGCAGTATTCGGTTTAACTGTGTGTAAACGTCTCTCTAGTCTTCAAACAGAAGGCATGGAAATGGGATAATGTCCGGCGGATGGACGGGTGCTTGAATTTTGTCGTGCAAAAGCTGCTGCGGAACTTCATTGAAGTCATCAACCATTCGGTGTAAATGTGATGCTCTATATATGAATAACCCATGCCCTGTTAATCACGCAGCGGGTGGTTGGTAAAGTTCCCAACACACATGTCGCTGCCCATGGCATAATCCCCCACAACCACTCAGCGGCTCAGGCCATCGCTCGTGTATGCAGTGGCATAATGTTTTACCCCAGGTAACGGTGGGCGTCTTCCAAGAATGCTTGTGGATTCTCCTGCCTAACCTGGCCTAACTTGGGTGGCCGGGGCTGGGACAAATGGAGGGCAGAAGGGGGTCTGCCGGGGTTTGCTGCAGCCAACCACTTCGGCGTTGGCATGCTTGGGCAGCGTGTGTGGCATAACCGTACAATACTTGGATGGTGGTTACTCTGGTTAGGTGGAACAATTCCTTGGTCTGTCAGTAGAAGTGCTCCCTCCAATGCTCGTGTCGTTGACGTTCTCCTTACCATAAAGCCCCCGTGCGAGAACTCCACAAACCCTCGAGCAGCCGATAATCTGCCTTCACGGTGTGTGGTCCCGCATACCAACACTGAGTGTGTTTCCGCATACACCCAACTTGCGCCGAACCCAGATTGTGACATGTGCCTGCAGTTCCATGCTACAGGAAAACCGTGACGTCTTGGCCCTGTGCACTTCGCTCGTACCACACATGGCACAGCAAGATGCTGTTGGGGTGTTGTTAACACACTGCTGCGCCACAGTGTCTGCCCCATGCAATTGGCGAAAGCGTGCACCCTGAAACCCATCACTTCGCGGTAATGTCGCTGGTATATGATGCTCTTCGTCGCTCGGAATGGCTTTGGAGTGACGTGGTTAGGTATGCCACTAGCTTTCGATGAAATCTGCAGCCATATGTGATTTGTTACATAAGGCGTTGCCCGTGTCCATGCGCAGCGGGCGCCGAACCAAGCTGCATGTATGGTCGCATACAATCCAATACATACCAATGGCTAACGTAAGTGCCTACAGTCAAATGCTGCAGAGGCCGTGGTTGCGGCGGGGACATACTGTTATATGCCACTCTCTAAATATCTGTGGGCGAAGCCCTGGGGCTGCCTACTGCCCCTCTGATCAGCTACTTTGCACCCGCAGCCGAGCGCCAAAGCGTTACGTTCGATGAGGGACATGGCCCGCCAGCACCGACCTGCGCACACAACCTAACTGCAGGAGAACTACAGAAGCCTACCTATGATGAGAATGGAGAAGACACCTGGTAACGCAGATCTACCGAGCAGATCTAGCGAGCTCCTAATCCCGTGTGTAATACGGTACGACACAGCCTCTAGGAGAGTGGGTACATTTGGCACCTACCCTGTAACGAGCCTACCCTAACAGAAGCACTCCATTACTGCAATCACGCCTCATCCACCGTGCCCCCCAACCCCGCACGTGTTCATAAAGCACACAAAGACGCTATCGCCCACTGGCACCAACCGCAACAGCCGTTCAACACCATAATAAGCACTCTCCGTCGTAATCACCACCCTCTTCAACCGCTTCACTCGTCATCGGGCGCGTAGTTGTCATGCAGCTGCAGCACCCGCTCCGTTTGCATGCGCTGCAGGTAGGCCGAGTCCTCCTCGCCGGTCTTGCGTGAGGGCCGGCTGAGGACCGCCAGCGTGTCGCCCTTGCGGATGAGGTGGTTGATGATCTTGGACACCACCTCCACCTCCAACAGCGCGGCATCCTGGTTGGCAATCTTGCCCCTGCGACCCATGGGTCATGATACGGGTTAGTTCATAACAGAAGGAGCCACGACAAGAGGCGACGCAAAACCAGCAGGACTGACGTCCATTTACAGGGCTGCATGACCAAAGCACACGGTGCCCCACCAAGAGAGCCATTGCCTTGGAGTCCTCGTCAACCCGTTTCATCCAATCCTGGTCAACTCCCAACCACCCAACTACCCACTTCATTGCCTCCGCGTCCAGGTACCACTGCAGCAGCTCCTCCTGGCGGATGCCGCCCTCCGGCAGGGCAGCGCCGCCGTCGCCCTGCTGGGAGCCGTCCGCTTCGGGACGCACGGTGGGCAGCTGCCGGAGGTACTGGTCGCGAACCTCCAGCATCTTCTTCGCCAGCATGGTCTGCAGGGAAACGGAAATGAAAACGGAAAAGAAACTCGTAAAAAAGGTGCAACGATGCGTTCACATGGGACAACGGCGGCAAAGCATAGAAGGTACTATTAATCTTAACCCCCATGAAGTCCAATTAGTGTTTTACGCACCTTGACGTAATTGAACTTCTGAGCCGACACGCGGACGGGCTCCTTCGCGGGCGGTGCGCCTGCGGCCGCACCCCCATCGGGCGCCCCACCGTTGGCCGCCCCGTCCGCTGGCGCCGCCGTAGCCGGGTCGGCGCGCATGCGCTTCGCCTGGCGGTCCTCGGCCAGTGTGTCAGCCCTACAGGACAAATCGCAACAACAGTTAGTTGGAAACAAAAGAGGTGAGGTGAGGGTTGGGTAATGTCGTGTAGTAGCCACGGTATTTGCAATGAGGTCCACATCAAGCAGCTATGTGTGAGTGGTCCACATGAAAGAGGCAAGATATGTCCTACCCGCGTTTCGCGCCAACAGCTGCCCCCGGCGGCGCGTTCTCATCATTCTCCACCCCGTTGATGTCCTCGCCACGCTCAATGCGCGCCTCGGGCGCATCCTCCGGCTGCCGCTGCAGCCCGGGCAGGGGCAGGTCGTCGTCCAGGAGCGTGTCGGACTGCTCGATCTTGAGGATGGACGCGCGGAGCAGCCGCTTGGCCTGCAAATGGGTGGCAGGCAGCACAGGTGAAGATGATGCCAAGAATGCCCATGCCACAGCCTTGCAAAGTCGTGCCGGGCTAAAGCAGAGCATGGGGCACAATAGAGCTGGTTCCAGCAACCTTGCTCAAAGATGACTAACCGTCTCTCCTGATCAGCAGCCTCACCTCACGGACGTACTGCGGCTTGATCTCCTTGTCGCAGTACACACGCGCCATGGCCTCCGAAAGGCGGATCAGCGCCTCCAGCTGACGCACCGTGATGCGGTACGACGACTGGGTGCCGGGCGCCGCGTCGTCAGCACGCAGCTCCTTGTACGAACGTACGAGCTCCGCGCGGGCCTGCGGACATGTATGGATAGGGGTGCCCAGGATTGGGGTGAGTACCATACCGAATTTTGACAGGGGTGTTCTCCATCGTCGGATGACACAGCAGGGGCAATGCAGTGGCAGTAGGGAAGGGCATAATGCAGTCCTTCAAAAAAAGAGCGTTGTCATGTGGATTAGCTGCTGCCCGGCACAGCTGATGCCCCTGCAGGGACCATCCTCACCTCCGTCGTGACCTCGGGCTTGATGGAGCGGGCGTAGCGGATGTAGTGCTGCAGGCTCTCCGTGTCGTACGGCACATCAAATGCGTTTTGCTGGTAGCGGTGCACGTTGACGATGTGGGTCGCAATGCGTGCGTCGGTGGCCTCCGTGGTGTCGTCAACCATCACGTGGAGCAGGTCAAACCTGGGGGGTGAGGGTTGGGGACAGGAAGGGACGGAAGCCTTGTTGGAGGAAATGGACCATGTTGGTCACCCTGGAGACGTCTTTGTGAGAGGCACTAGCCGACATGCATATGCCCTGGCGCACGTGTGCTGTTACCGGTACCTAGTGCGGTTCACAGTCACATGGTAAGATAACAATGCCGGGTGCTTGGGTGCACAAAGGCGAGGCTGCGATACCAGCACGCGGGCTCAGCACAGCTACCAGCGCTCATGCGTCATGCCGCAGCTCACCTAGACAAGATGGCGGGCGGCAGGGCCACGTTGTACTTGAGCGGCTTGGCCTTGTCGTACCGCCCGCCCATGGGGTTGGCGGCGGCCAGGATGGAGGCACGGGCGTTCAGGGTGGCCTGCGGGAGGCAAGACGGGACGGGTAACAGTGTCGCATACCGCTTCTTTCAAACAGCGTACGTCAAAAGACCTTTGTCAAGACCGGGCACCTAAGTGAAGACTTAACGTCGCCGTTGTTTGCTCTGTCGTAACCATTCACGCCGGGGACCATGGTCCCCCCTTCACCCACCTGAATGCCGGCCTTGGCAATGGAGATGGTCTGCTGCTCCATGGCCTCGTGGATGGCCACCTGGTCCTTCACATCCATCTTGTCAAACTCGTCGATGCAGCAGATGCCGTTATCGGCGAGCATGAGCGCACCCGCCTCGATTGCAAACTCGTTGTTCTCCGGCTCCTGGGGTCACAAGCAGCACAGTCGGTCACGAATGAAGGGCATGGGCATGGTGGTACAGGTTGGGTGTGCGCCTTGGGAGGCTTCCCGGATGATCGCAAGCATGCGTAGCAGCAGGGAACTACTTGGCAGTCAGACGTACAGGCTCCAAGCCTGCAACTCTCGTGTCAGACAGCACCCACCCTGACGACCGAGGCGGTGAGACCGGCGGCCGAAGAGGCCTTGCCCGAGGTGTACACGGCGCGAGGCAGGAAGCTCGCAACGTACTTGAGGATTTGCGACTTGGCGCACGAGGGGTCGCCCACGATGGCCACGTTGATGTCTCCACGCAGGTTGATGCCCTGAGGGTTTCAGCATCCGGGAACACCCTTAGGGCGATGCAAACACAGTGTACACGCAGTACAGAATGCATGAGACATACACTCCTTCATAGCGCCACACACCAGCTCACCACCAACCCACCTCCGACGTCTTCTTGTGCACTCCGCCAAACAGCATGAGCAGCACCGCCTGCTTGATGTTCTCGTGGCCAAACACCGAGGGGCAGATGCTGCGGGTGAGCTGCTGGTAGATGTGCGGGTCACGTGCCATGGCCAGGATGGACTCGCCGCCGTCGTGGTACTCCGCAATGATGGCCTCGCTGCTCTCCTCCACGTCGGGGCGGATGTTCACCATGCCCTTGGTCATGTCCGCGGGCTGGTTGGGAGGGGGGGGGTAAGGTAGTAGCGCAAGCGGGGGAAGGTGTGTTGGATGAGAAGAGAGCGGGAAGGCATGCGTGGGATGCCAGTATCCTGGGCTGCATGGAGAGGGTAGGCAAAGAGAGTGTACAGGGCTAGGCCTCTTGGGTACTACCCCTGCTTTACCTGTCCAGCGCACGCCAGGAACATGACGCGGTACGTCAGGTCGCGGCCACCCGCCGACTTGCCCATGCCGGCCACACCGTCACCGCCCTCCCGCCGGCCGCCTCCTGCAAAAATGACACACATGACGTCTTAACGTCTCGCTATCTGTCTTCATGGCTTAATCCTCGCTGCACGCTCATCACACGCGCACATAACCCGCATGCAGGGTCTCAGCCACAGCCCTGAACCGCAGGCATCCCGCCCTCATCATCCTCCGCACGCCAAGCACCACCCCAGCACCCACCCTCCTTGAGCTGGACCTTCTCCCCCGGTGCTGCCAGCGCCGCCACATCCGGCACCACCACCAGCTGCCCCGTGAACACCATCTTGTCACCCGCCTTGGCCGTCTCGACCGCCTCGTGACGCATGATCACGTCCATGGTGCGGGGCAGGCTGCCGGCGGGCACCTGGAGGGGGGAGGGGGAGAAGGAAGGAAGGAGGGGTGGGGAGGCTAGGACATGGACGTGTATGGTAACAAGGTCAGACGTACTGTAGTGCGACCGGAGGGATGGAAACGTCTGGACGTGGCGAGGCAGTGGCTTAATTTGGAAGCGGTGTACGTAAGGAGCCCGCGTATGGCTTCCGGCGGGTCAGCTCACCTCCTCCACGGCCTCCTGCACCTTCAGCCGCTGCCAGTCGCAGAAGACAGACTGCTCGCGGACCAGCGACCAGCTCTTCCTGCATGGTTGGGAAGGTTAGGGCACGGTTAGGCCCTTGCCACGAGCATACAAGTGGTTATGATTGTCAACTACAAGCCGTGCAGAATGGATGAAGCCCCCAGAGCGCCTTCGGCTATGGGTTTACCCGCTTCCCCCTTGCTTGCAAAGTGCAAGCCCCCAACCTGTTACACAAATTCTTCACCTGTTGTTGCAGGAGGTGTTAGTGCACATGATGGGGGGCGAGTACTTGAACTGCTGGGGGACGCCACGGTGGATGGTATTGCACTCCATGCACTTGAAGGCACCGTAGAGCAGCTCAGGCCGCACTTCGCTTGACCGCGTGACGGTGCCGGAGAAAGCTGTGAGCTGTCCCAGCTTGCTGGTCCGCAAGTCACGCATGCGCTGAGGCCATGCGCTGACGAAGGCAACGTAGTACTCGCGAGAGTCCGGGCCATCGACAAGGCCGGGCTCATGTGTCCGAATGAAAGAGTGAAGCGACTTGCGTAGCGTCGGCTCAACGCGATTATATTGAGCAATAACATAGGAACAAAGGCCCTGATCGTAAGCGTTTAGGTGGCCGATATGAACGTAGAGCGTGCCCTTGTCCTGGGCTTTGACGTCGCGCAAAACAGTAACATAGTGAGCTTCCTCCTCTTCGTCTGACTCTTTGTACGTATCAAGGAAGGTTAGGAAATGTGCTTCCACAAGCTCAGGAGTCCAGTCCACTGAGTCCGCAAAGGGAACATCCTGCCGGCTCATGGCTGTTTGGCGGGGGGTCTAGCGTTGAAACGTCTACAAGAGTCACAAGGAGTGAAGCCTATACAAATTCAAGTCCTGGGCACTATAGTGACTAGTGCACAGGGTCTATGCGAAGGTTGGGTGGATGCAGGAGTCTTCCCGCCAACCTATCCACCTGTCGTGGTACGGGACAAACCGAAAATATGACAACGATCGAAGCGCAAGGCAGGCCTAGCGAGCATACGACACGGCAAGAACATCGAGAAAACTGCCCCCAATACTTCTGAATCCCGTCGACGCCTTTACAGGGCATTCCGAATCCACAACTACCGTTTACATATTAACTGGAGCAACACCCAATTCCCTACTCGAGCGGCCTCTATACAGTTTAGTTCATGATTTAAGTTTGGCATACGTATTATGGCTCTTGGAAGGACTAGGGGCGGGAGCGTGAACAACATGGCCCCGCGCGGGGTGCTTACCCCATCGAACTCCAGTAAAATCTTGAAGAAAGACAGAATACTTCAGGCATGTAGATTTGGAAGCTATGCTTCACAGAATGCATCAGGGACTTACTGACAGTGCTCGTGTGCCTCACTGGACAGGCGCTGACGAAGATGAATGATAGGGATACGCAAAAAGCAGCTGCGGAGGATCTTCTTTCCTTAGTTTACGTGAGTGCCAGTTAGCTAAACCTGCAGTTCTGTGCGCCCCTAACCACCACTAACTCCAAACACCGTGGCTCCCTTTGCCACCCCGATCGTCCATAACTTAGAACATGGACCAGGAAGGCCTCCCCATCATCCTAAGCTGCTTGTGTGCAACGGGTTCCGAGCACAAGGTATATGCGCGCAAGGTAAGCACAAACCCCACCTTTTCAATCCTCATCACGCCCTGCTGTTCACCTGCCCCTGCCCCTTAACGGCCCCTGCCCTGCACCATATGCTCCCAACTCCCCACAAACAACCAAAGATACGGGTAGCCTAATGCTCGCTGCACTGCCTGCTCCCTGACACCTGCCCAACAGGAGTGTGCTCGAGCCATCGGCATCATTGCGAGCGAGGCATGCCCCCTGCGCGAGCAAGCCCTGCAGCAGCCCCACCTGGGCAAGATGCTGGGGCAGCTGCGCAAGTCGCTGCAGGTGCGAACCGGTGCCGCCGCAGGGTGGCAGCAGAGTGACAGACCAGAGCCTGATTCCGGTCACAGAGAGCCGCAATCCCGGTAAACGGCATTGCCGTGCCCCGAGCCCGAATGCATGATGACCACCAGAGTCAGCTGCAACCCCAATAGCATCCCATTCTGGCCATGCCAGCCAAGCCATGAGGAGGCTAACAGCCTATCGTGTATGCATTTAAGCCACCTGCATCCCACCCCACACCGCCCCTCTCTCGCCCCTTCCATCTACCAACCCTTTTCTTCCCCCATGTAGCAACCCATGGTGAAGCCTCTTCATACAGCTCATCAGTTACCTCTTCCTCCCCCCCTCCCTCCCCAGGATGCTGACAGCAGCGTGCGCGAGGCCAGCTCGGAGGCCGTGGCGCTGGTGGCGCAGGGGCTGTCGCAGGTGGCCCCAGGCGGGGTGCACGGCAGCCTCACCAACCCCGCACTCAAGCTGGTGTTCGACTGCCTGGGCGAGCAGCGGAAGGAGCTCAACGCGGCGGCATGCGTGGCGCTGGGCATGGTGGGGACTGGGGTGGGGAGCAAGCAGGGAAGGGGGGGGGAAGGAAGGGGCTGCGTGGCGTTGGGTATGGTGCACGCTGGGACGCAGAAGAAGCGGGGCCGGAGGCGCAGGAATGTGACCCAGGGGAGAAGGTTAGGGCGATGCGAGGTTCGCATCGCCACCCTGCCATCCATCCTCCCAGCCCACTGCCCCCCACGCCCTCCTCCGCACCCTCTTCCCCAGGCCGCCCCCTACCTGGGCACGCTGGACGCCTCCCTAGCTCGCGAGCTGGTTCGCAAGCTGAACTCCGCCTCCTTCCAGGCGCCCGGGGCGCTGCTGGGCGCACTGGCGCGCACGGATGCCGCCACCGGGGAGCCCAGCGGCCTCGTCAAGGCAGGACCGGGGCGGGGTGAAGGGGGAGGGCAAGCCATGTGACAAGGCTTCTCCAAGGCGGGTGGGGTGCAGCTGAAAGAGGGGAGTGGAGTCGGAGAGGGATGCCGCGGGTTCTGTTGAAGCTTGTACGTCATGGGCACAATGGTGGATGCCCTGGTAGTACCCTGAGTCCCTGACACCTCCCCACCCCTCCCGCTGCTCCCCCCCCCCCGCAGTCCGGCCCGGCGGCCTTCCTGCCCATCCTGACCTCCCTGGTCGGTCAGCCGGCAGCTCCCTCCCTGGGCGCTGCCAGCAGCGGCGGCGGCGGCGCACCCAGCGGCAGCGGCGCAGTGGGTGCGCTGTCGCGTCCCGACTGGCAGGTGCGGCTGGCGGCTGCGGACATGCTGCGCGCCACTGCGCTGCTGCTGGGGCCGCTGCTGGAGATGGACGGCAGCTGGGCGGCGGGGGACCCGCGCAGCGTGACGGGGCGGGCCATACGGGGGCTGGAGTCGTGTAGGTTTGACAAGGTAGGCTGTGGGGGCTGGCGAGGGTGCGGCTGGGAGGGCGCGGCGGGCGGGGACTGAAAGGCCTTGCATTGGGCAGGCTGTGCCGGCCGGGCAAAGGTGATCTACATGAGTAGTTTCAAAACACACCAAGTAATACGGAGCCTACGCTCGACGGACTCTGCTGTGCACCAGCCTCCTCGCCGTACACCACCCTCCTCTCCCGGTTCTCACTCCGTGTCTCCGCCCCTCAGGTTCGCGAGGTGCGCGAGGTGGCTCGCGCGGCTCTGGCGGTGATGGAGGACCTGCACGAGTATGGCAGTGCGGGCGGCAGCGCGGCGGGCTGGCCGGAGTACATTGCGGAGCGCCTGGGCATCCGGGGTGGGTGGGTGGGTGGGTCGGAGGAGCAGGAGGAGGAGAGGGGGGGGGGTGCTGCTGGCATGCATGTGTCATGCAATACACGGGTTTGTGAGCTGCGGGGGCAGCGGTCCTGGTGGAGTGCCAAGGCCATGATGGGTGCCCCAGAGCAACCTGATGATGAGCTGCGCCCTGCGAGTCTTGCACGAAGCAAGGTTCACTGCACCAGCCCGCACACTTACCGCCCGCCCCTGCTGCACCCTCTCCTTCCTCCTCAGGCCTGCCCGCCGGTCTACCCGGCAGCCCCAAGGCCGCCTACGCTGCTGCCCCCGCGCCCGCCCCCGCACACCCCAGCGGGCCCGGGGCCGGAGCCGGGCCGCGCAGGTCCCCCTCGCGGCGCTCCCAGATCAGCCCGGCGCGGCGCCCGCGCTCCGCCCAGCCGCATCCCTCCCCCGGCCGGCAGCGCTCCCCCACACCCCCCGAGCGCCGCTCCTCACCCGCCCTGGTGCGGGGAGGCTCCGTGGCGGAGCGCTTCCGGGCGGCGCACCGGGATGAAGGCATTGCCGTACATGACCCGCTGGGTCGGCTGGAGTTTGAGGCTGGGCGCGGGGGGGAGGAGGAGGAGGAGGCGTGGGGCGAGGAGCAGCAGCAGCCGCCGGAGGAGGAGCCAAGTGGTGTGGCGTGGTGAGGGGGAGGGGACAGGGGAGGAAGACATCGGTCATAGGTTGGTGATGTCATAGCTTGCCGTATACAAATCCTGTGGCTACAGGTCATTAACCTGGCTGCAATGTTCCAAGCCCCACTCCCCCCCATGTGTCCGCCTGCAGGTCTAACGCGCGGTCACGGCACGCCCCCCCAGATGACACGCTGCCAGACGCGCAGCCCGCCAGCCGCGCCCTCGCCCACCAGCCCTCAGCGGCCGGCAGCGACAGGAGCCGCGCGGCGCTGAACGGCCAGGTGCGGTTGGTGGGCAAGGTTTTTCTCGGAGGGCGCGCGCATGCTTGCATGCGAGCATGCAGCGGACGTACGACCGAGGGACTGGACTGCATGCTGTCATTGCGCCCTGCATGGCAGGTTGTTGTTACCAACAGTGTCCCGCATGGTACCAGTAAAGTGAAGAAGCTTGACATAGACGCTCGCCCTTCATGCGCCGCAGCTGTCCGCTCGCGCGCCCAGCGGCCCGCTGCACCCCGCCGGTCGCGCTGAGCCCGGCCCTGCTGCGGGGGACCCTGGCGCGCTGCTGCGGCAGCTGGGGCTGGAGGACGATGGGCTGGACCTGCTGGGGCCGGATGGGCCGCCCACGTTTTCGCGGCAGGTCTCAGGTGCGTGTCATGATGCCGCCTTGGAGCATGGAAGTTACGCGGGTTCATGGAGAGATGTCCTGTTTCTAAACCCGGGGCACTGCCCGCACTTGCACAGCAAACCGTTAGCAAGCATGGGCACATGCCCCTGGGTAGCAGAAGCCCCCGAAACAACCATGCACTCGGAGGGCTAACCTGCAGTGCATGAACCCTTTTCCCTACCTTCACCAAAGTTCACACACCGCCTGTACGCACCTCCCACCCTCCCATCCAGGCTCCTCAGCTCCCACATCTGCACTGCCCTGCGCCGGCCCCAGCTCAGTCGCCGACCCCGCCGCGCAGCCCCCCTCTTGCTCCGGGCCGCTGCCGCTGCCTGCGGGCCCCACCGTGACGCTGCCCACGGAGCAGTGGCTGGCGGCCCAGCAGCGGCTGCGGGCGCTGGAGGCGCAGCAGCGGGAGATGCTGGACGCCTTCAACAACCTGTCGGAACAGAGCGGCAGAGCCATTGCAACGCTGCAGGTGCGTGTGCGGTCGCGTGGGTGTGTGGGTGTGACCTTATTCCATCTCGAATAAGGCTGAGGGCACCGCCTTGCCCGGTGCTGTGGAAGCTCCTCGGGAGCACGGGATTTGCATCTCTGTGCGGTCCAAGCGTTGTACCCCTCCGCTGTACGACTTGCACCCCCCCCGTCCCGGTGGTGGTGCTGCAAACAGGCCAAGGTACGCAGCCTAGAGGCGGCGCTCGAGGCCGCGCACGCCGCATCCTCCTCCCTGCCCCAGCCCTTGTCCCAGCCCCAGCCCCAGCCACAACCCCAGCCGCAAGCGTATGCTGCTTCCGCATCACAAGCGCCGCCGGGGCCGGCAGCCCCGCTGCCGCAGCAGGAGTCCTCCTCGCTGCTGGCACCGCTGCAGGACTCGGAGGCACCCATGCTGCTGCGCACCGCGCGACCCGGCTCCAGGCTGCTGGCGGCCGCCTGTGCGGGGGGCGGTGCCGCGGGGCGGCTGGAGGCGCTAGCGGCGGCGGAGGGGTGCGGGGTGGCGAGCCCGAGTGGGCTGCCCCCGCAGCTGCCGTCGGCGTGGGCCTCGCCCCGGACTAGCCAAGTGGGAGGCTGGGAGGGCATTGTGTTAGCGGGCGTGTAGTAGCGCGGGTTAGGGTATCAGGGGAGGGATGAGGGGTTCCGGGGTCCAAGGGTGTTTGCTGGGCTACCAAGGATACCGCGCGAGAATACCACGCGATACTCCTGCAACCCTTCCTTCGTCCCTCCTCCCTCCCCAGGACATGCCCTCCGCCTCGGCGCTGTCCGCCGCCTCGGATGTACGGCAGGCCTACCGTGAGGCGCTCAGCGGCGGGCGGCTGAGCGACATGCACCTGCTGCGCCTCATGCAGCGCACCGGGCCCGTGTGGCACCAGCTGGGGCACCACCTGGCCTCGCAGCTGCTGGGGGCCTTCACGGCCAGCCTGCAGCAGGCGCGAGCGGTGAGGGGGGGTGCCTGGGGGATGCAGGGGGACCAGTGGGTGCGGGTTTGCGTATGCAGTAGAACATACAACGTGGAAGGTGTGATCTGGCGCAGGCGCGGGCGTGAGGTAGTTGGAGAGGTGGCCTTGCGCAACACCGCTGCCCGTGTCTGTTTGGGGGGACTCTCTGGGGTACGGTATCATCTACTGACACGCCTTGCATGCTTGGCGCATACGCATACCGTACTTGGTGCAACCTGTCGTGCTACCCTGGCAGGACGGACCCATGCTGTCACGCATGATGCCCTGGCTGTGGCGGCTGGCGGACGACGTGAGCAACCAGTTCGAGGCGCCTTTCGAGATGCGAGCGCCGCTGCTGGCCGCCCTGCGCACCGCCCAGCCGTCAGTCACTGATGCCGCGGTGAGGATACAGCGTGTCCTTCTTCGCCGCTACCGCTCAGTTTAGCTGCTACGCTGGCTCTCGTTTGTTGTGTTACGGGTTGCTTTGCGTTCCGTGTAGGACGTTTACTTCGACGTGTCCTCGCCCTGTGTCGTGTGTGTTGTACCTTGTATGTCAAATGCAGCACCCCCTGTCGCCCTGTGCCCTGTCCGTCCTCTTGACGTGTCGTACCCATGTCCTGCACCGCAGCTGTACGAAAAGATCACGCTCCTGATCACGACGCTACGAACCCACTGGTCGCTACCGGACCCGTGTCCGAGCAACGGCCGGCCGGCGGGCCCCGCCGACCCCTCCCAGCTTCCCCAGCAACCAGCCGGCCCGCTGGCACCCGCTGCCGTACCACCTGCTACGTCCAGGCTAGCAGCGGCGTACGGCGGCGGCGTCATGCCCATGCTTCCGCCACAGACCGCGGCAGCTGTGGCTAGCGCCGCTGCAGCGTACGGCATCGCAAGCCCCTCGTCTCCCGCCACAGCGGGGTGTATCGGGGCTGCTTCCACAGAGGCTGCGTCGCCAGGGCAGGAGGCCGCGGTGTCAACGCTGGCAACACCCGCAGCGCGCATGCCGGCCCAAATGCAGCAGCATGCGGGCAGGTCACCCAGCATCAGCTCACTCATGGGGCAGTGGTCGGACCTACAGCGGGATTTTGCGGCTATGGCTAGTCCGGCGGGCAAGCTCGCGATGCCTCAGCCGCGCTGAGGTTGATGGTTGTGGTGGATGTGTTGGGAAATGTAGGTCGTATAACAATGGAAGCAAGATGCGCCTTTCACTGATCTGAAGTGTGTGTGGACTGCAGCAGTATGGACGAGGATTTATTAGTGTCTGAAGTTCACGATGCACCTGTGGCCATTCGGGACACCCTTGCTGTACATTCGGGGTGAGTCACCCCAATCTGTCCCCGGGCTTTAGTCACAAACCGTTAGTATAGTATCCTTCTTTGGCTTGTGGATACGCACATTGTAAATATCGCAAAGCTGATGCTAAGGAATGCGTTTCTTCTGCCAACCGCCATTAAATGGAACGGGGCACAAGTTCTCACCAAAGCGCCATTTTGAGGTTTCGTTTCGTTGAATGTCTTTAGTTGTGTAAAGCCTCTTACATGAGCCATGTCGCTGGGATTCGACGAGGAATCGCTGGAAGACGGTCTCCTTAATGAGCTGTTCTCATACTTAGGGCAAAGCGAAGAAAACACACGAACAATAGCCACTGCATTACAGGCCCCTTACAATAGTGGGGCTTTTACACCGAGTCCATCGTATCCAGTTAACATGGCGCCTGCGCTCTTCACAAATCAAAAACAACTGTCCTTGGCAGAACGTGCCACTGACCCGGCGGAAGGAAGCGCTGGAAGCGGGCGCGGCATGAAGCGGCAGCGCCAGCGGGACGCAGCTAAGGTAAGGGTCATTGACCTTGTGAACCCCTAAGGCGCTGCAAGGCCCATGTACTTTCTCTTGTAACTCGGGGTTGCAGCGGTCTCCTCCGCAAGCGCCCAAGCCAACGCACAAACTCAACCCACCTAGCTGAAACCCAGCACACAGTATCACAGTAATCACAGTACGTTTCGCCTCGCGGCCAGTTATTTTAACACACAGCCGTACGGCATTCATGTCCCACAGCGTGCACTCTCGTCCCGTGCCACGAACCATACCTTTCAGGACCGCGCCTGGTTCTTTGGGGGGTATTTCACGTTACGTCACTTTTAAGCAGTCGAAGCCTGAACCTCGGCATGGGCGGTTTTGAAACCCACAACAGGTGAAAGAGCTGGAGGCGCTAGCAGCTGCGAAGATGGAGGAGTTTGCGCTACTCGTGCAGCGGAACGCCGACCTGAAATTCAGGAGCAACATACTGACGAACGCCGTACAGCTTCGCGACTACCAGTTGCGCCTCGCCAAGAGTGAGACCTAGCCCCCGCTTCCACTAGACCGCGCTTCCGCTAGCATCCCTTCCTAACGGTGGCTCCCGCGCTGCAGGTGGGCAAGCACCCATCGGTAGCGCGCCGCCACCGTTGCCGGATACCGCTGCGATGACCGTTGCCCAGGTCATTCGAACCCCGGGCAGTGCACGTCTGCTGCTGGCACCCGAGCTGGTGCCGCCTGTCGACCGTGACAGGTGGGCATTAGCGCAGGTCTGCGACAGGTCTGCATTGTTGGATGCTCCTTTGTGCCTGGGTCATGCCTGGGCTACCCATGAGGACTCCTACGAGCCATGAGCAATACAGAGCCCTTAGTACTGCTTCACCTGTTGAGCGCGACAGCCTATTGACCTGCCACGGTGCCCAGCACGCTCGACCTTACTGGATTTTCCGTTTGGCGTACACCTCTCCCCAACACTGCCCGATTCCTGCGCCGTATCCCATCTCCACACTCCCTCCCCTTTCAATGCTACTGCCCAGCGTTCGCTCCATGGGGCGGCTGGAGATGGTGTCGCGCTACAAGGCCCTTCTGGCTGAGGCCTCCGAGGCGCTGCTGGCGGCGGAGGCGGACCCGGAGGACGAGGCGGCGGCGGTGCGTGTGCGCGGGGTGATGGCGCAGTTCGGCAGCCTCATGCGGAATGCGTCGGTGCTGTCGCCCGACACCACGTTGCAGTTCATGCAGGTGTGAAGGAAGGGAGGCGGGCGCTGGGCGGCTTGGGGCTTGGGTTTGGGAGTGGGGGATGCTCGTGGTGAAAAGCTGGCCTTGGCTGTACTACAGTGAGGGTTTGCTTGTCCTTCCATGCAATGCCCTTTCTACTGTGCTCGGAACACCTAATTCGCATTCCTCTCTTCCCCATGCCGTGTCTATCCCGCCAGACGCATCTAGAGACCGGCTCCTTCTCCGCGCCCGAGCCCGGCCTGTGGCTCAACGTGTTCCAGTACCTGCAGCTCACTCCGGAGCAGGTTTCGGAGCTGGCTGCTGTGTACGGACTCTACTCCAGCATCATGAGCGGCATCCTGGCGGACCGCCGCGCCCTCAACGAGCAGCTGGCGCAGGGCCTGCACGTGGACCCATGGGTCGCTGCCGCGCGGCCTGCTGTGCCGCCAGAGCAAGAGCTGCTGCCCTCGTTGCAGCGCAACCTGCGTAAGGAGTACTCGGCGCACCTGCTGGTGCGGGCGTATGTGTTTGGCCGCACCCTCAGCACACTGCAGTTCTGCCGCTCGGTGGTTCAGTCGTATCCGTACGTTCCGAATGCAACGGGACTGGCGGCGGCAGCGGCGGGTGTGGTGATTTGAGCGGGGGCGGTGGCTGATAGCCGAGCCGCAGCCCTAGCATAGAGTTCCGGTTGCATGCAGCGGAAAGCTTAAGTGGCAATTGTGATTCTACTTCTGAAGGGTACAGGAGGGAGGCGGGGCAAGCGAACCCTGCAGCATTGCGTGGATAGGAGCTCGAAGCTACTTGTCGTCTTGACGTTTTTTACGAAGACATTTCTCACCCGCATATAGGAGCGTAGCAATGCAGCGCTTCTCCGTGCATACTGCTTCAACTCCGTGCTGCTGTGCACAGGATTACATGCCAGGGTTTACCGTACTGTGTGGTCTTTGCGCTTGACGAACTTCAAGTTATGGTATGCCGTAATCGCACTCAATCTTGCTATTGTACCGCACCCTTATTGCTGGCAGGACTTTGGGATTCCTGTCGTACTTGTTGCCGGACACGAGGATCTTGTGACTAACGAACTTGTGACTAAGCAGATCTAGCGGCTAGTCAGGTAGGTTATGCGCCTGCCACAATGCATTGCGTACATGCGTTGTCCGCAGGCACACATACGGTAACCTCGAGCCATGCCCGTTGAAAAAGGGCCTTGGGAAAGCGCATGCGGTCTTTGGGACTGGAGGTGGCGGTGAGCAGAACTGTCAGGTGGATGTAATACGGCCCATGGGTCATTCTATGGTTCGTTCAGGGTGTCTGCACACAAGACATAATGATTGGACGAAGGTTAACATGACGAAGGAAGGCGATATGCTGCATCCTCAGTGACAATAGGTTCCTTCGTCCCAGGTGGTTTCAGGGACAATCGTAAGGGGCCAGATGAGGATTGCCAACTCAATTGCGCTGTACGTCTGTAAGACGCAACGACTTCGTGTTCCTATACTAGTTACTGTGCTAATACGCCTTAATACACCATAGGTCATATGGAAGCCACCCTGCCATGCTGTGGCACATACCAGCCCTGCCAACAAAGCAAGTCCCGTCTTATCCAATGCACTTCTGCACATACAGTGTAACGACACCTACCGTACAACCTGTGCGAGCTAGCTGCAACCCCGTAGCATACCATCCTGCGCAAACACATGCAAGCACTTCGTACATTCGTATTCCCGCATCGGCACGACTGCCATCCTTCTAATCATCATCCACTACGACTGGCCGTGCCTCTGACCCAAGCCGCCTCGCCTGCACTGCCGCCGCCTCCTGCTGCGCCATGGCCTGCTGCTGCCGCCGCAACCGCGCGCTGGCCGCCTGCATGGCCTGAGCCCGGGCGCTCACCACTACCGGCTTCCTGCCCGCCCCAGCAGGACCTGCAGCCACACCGCCGGCGCCGCTGCCACCGCCTGATCCACCGGGCGCCGGGATCAGGCCTGCTCGCATGAACGCGGCATTCGCTGCTGCACTCGCCGCACTGTTGATGGGCCGTTGGGGCACTGATGCGTTTCCCGAAGCCGTCCCATACGCACCGTACGCGCCTACCTGACCGCCACCCGCACCGGCACCGCTCACAGCGCGACTGTTGCCTGCAAGCCCGGAAGTCGAGCTCGGGCCCGCGCCGCCGGCGCGTGCGGTTGTGGAGGGTTCCGCCCCTCCGCTGGGCGGGCGCAGGAAGGGGTTGATGCGTCCTGTGGAGCCAGCAGCAGCAGCAGGGGCACCGCTGCCGCTGCCGGGCCCGGTGTCTGAGCCGCGCTGGGCGCCCTGTAGGCTGCTGGGCAGCGCCCGCCTGCCGCCGCTAACCGGGCCGGCACCACTGTCACCGCCGCCGTTGCTCCGCAGGGCCGCTGCGGTCTGGAAGCCTGTCATTGCAGGCGGCGGTTTGCCGGTGGCTTGCCGCTTGGCTGCTCCAGTGGTCTGCTGCATCAAGCTTGCCGCAGTCTGGAAGCCCGTGTTCTCAGCGCCTCCTGGTGCAGCGCGCTTCCGTCCCTTCGGCGCTGCCGCTCCCTTGTCGTCAGCACCGCTTCCACCGCGCTTAGCCCTGCCGCCGGCTCCTTTCCCCCGAGCTTTGCCCCCATCCCGGCCTTCCTCCTCTTCGTCCTCTTCCGCCATCTTGAACCACGGCGGGTACCGCGGCGGGCCCATCTCCATTCCGTTCTCCATGTAGGACCACTCGCGGTTGCTGCGGTTGTTGCAGTTGTCGCAGCGGTTGCCGCAACCGCTAGCCAGCGAGTTGTCGGCAAAGTACTGCAGCAGGTGCGTGTGGCGGCAGCGCCTGTGGCGGGACACGCGGGTATGCAGCGGTGAAAGCTACATGCTGTACAAGAGCACGATTCCATGCTGACTAATTGGGCACCAACCATTCGTTGAAGCCCCATGCACGCACACCTTACGCCAGCATGCACTCACGCGTGCTATGTTGCCATCTGCCCGCCCTGCCCCCACCTGCGCGAGTTGCAGTACTCGACCATCTCCTGCAGCTGCCGCATGGCGGTGTCGCGGTTGGCCTTGGAGCCTGGCAGGGCGGGAGGTGTGGCCGGCATGAATGTCAGTGTAGCGAGTATGGGAAATGGTTCGGTTTCATGCAGCGCTGCGCCACATGTGTGATGGCCAACAGCCTACCAGTGTGCCCTCGTCCAGTCATCACAGGCCCCCCGCCCCCTCCAGGACCCTGCCCCTGCCCCTACCCTGGTGTATCATGAAGCTCAGGCGGTTGCCGTCCTTCTTGGGCGCGCTGTAGATGACGCACTCGGAGGGCAGCCCATCTCGCCCCGCGCGCCCCGCCTCCTGGAAGTAGCCCTCCAGGCTCTTGCTGAGGCTGAAGTGGATCACGTAGCGCACGTTGGACTTGTCGATGCCTGCCGGGAGGGGTGGGTGGAGACACGAAGCCACGACCTCAGCAAGGTGCGCACGATGATGCGGTGGGGCGGAGTGACATGCCCTGCATGCGTGCATATCTCAAAACACAATCCGTTGGACCGTTGGACATCCACCCTACCTAGCCATCCCCTCAGGTAGTGCGCATCGCATTGCAATCCGCGTATTTGCTACAGTTAACGCGGCCAAATTTCCCGTGCTAAGGGGCTCTTTCAGTTTATCCTTAACAGTTGGCATCCATCACCCATGTACTGGGTGGCCGCAAGCCAGTCCCCGTGGTATATGCAGCTCAAGGAGCCCGCCCCTACACACCCCTTTCGTCTCGCTCGTCAGTCGCCACACTCACCCATGCCGAACGCAATGGTGGCCACCACGACCGCCACCTCGCCGTCACGCCACCTGTTCTGCACCTGCGTGCGCTGCTTGGGCGTCATGCCCGCGTGGTAGTGCGCGGCGCGGATGTCGTTGTTGTTCAGGTAGCTGCGAGAGGCGGCAGCAGCAGGGTTGAGGGGGAAAGAGGTTAGTTGCTGGGTACTGTCTCGGGCGATTAACAGTGCTGCAAAGCGTCGTTATCCCTAGAACCGCATGAAACCCTAAAACCCTAAAAAGCCAACCCATGCTGCCATGCATGCCCCTCTGTGTGGCTTTTTTCCGCGCCCTAGTCGTCCGCGCAGCGCAGCCCGCAGCCACCTACCGCGCCACGTCCTCGCAGTCGTCCCGCGACAGGCAGTACACGATGCCCGAGGTGTCCGCCCCCTTCTGCATGATGTGCGCCACCAGCATCTCCATGTCCGCGGGCTTGCCGTCCGCCATACGACCCACCGGCTTGTCGTACACCAGGAAGTCGAGGTTGGGGCGGTGGAAGCTGGTCTGTGGTCATGGTTGGGAAGGAAGGACGAAGAGTTCGACAGAAAACGGTTTGGTAAGGGTTCAGATAGGGGGAAGATTGGTCCTTGCTGACAGACAGTTTAAGTGTTTTCCATTCACGACCCATGGGTCGCTGCTGAACAGTACCTTGAAGACGGTTGCCGTGCGCTCAATGGCTAGTTTGCGCAGGATGTCCTGCTTGACCTGCTCCGTGGCGGTGGCGGTGAGGGCCATAATGGGCACCCGGGGGTAGCGGGTCTGCGGAGGGGAAAGTACCGGGGCAACAACCCTTATTTGGGAAAAGGGGTTGATGCATGTCTAGAGCATGGGAAGCCAAGATCGGCGAAGTGCAACCTAGGGCTACAGGTACTAGGGCGCTATTCTAGGGACACGACTCCCATTCTGAACGGCTCTGGCAGCATGCCCTCCACGCAACACCCGCACTCTGCCCCCATCCCCACCTTGAGCAGCCCCAGTTGCGCGTAGTCGGGTCGGAAGTCGTGACCCCAGCTGGACACGCAGTGCGCCTGCGGGTTTGTGGGGCGCCATGGGGATGATCCGTTCCATACTTGCAGTCTTCATCCATACGCCCAAACTAACAATACAACTCTCCCCAAACCCACTTAGCAACAAGTCAGGTAAACACCGCACCAGCGGCTCTCACTCTACCCCCCTCCGCCTTCCCCGCTCCCTCCCACCACCCCCCCACCTCGTCAATCACAAACCGCGCCAGCCTCCCCCGCTGCAGCAGCCGGTCCAGCAGGTCCTTGATGCGGTTGCCCTTCACCAGCGCCTCGGGCGTCAGGTAGAGCAGCTTGCAGCTGGGCCGCTCCTTGCGCAGCTCCCGCAGCACCGCCAGCACCTCGTCCTGCGTCTGCTGCGAGGACAGGAAGGTGGTGGGCACGCCGCCGCCCGGCAGGCTGCACAGCGCGCGCACCTGGTCCTGCATGAGTGACAGCAGCGGGCACACCACCACCGTGATGCCCATGCTGACCACGGCGGGGAGCTGCGGGTAAGGGGAGGGAGGGTGGAAGAAGGGTGTTGTGGTGAGGGATGGTTAGTAGGGGTTAGGGGTTGGAATGCAGGGGCAAAGTAAAGGGGTAAAGAACGTGCAGCGTGGTGCTGCTTACGGTACCCTGGCGAAGAGATCAACGACGAGGTGTACGGTGTTCATGACCGTGAAGCACGGCCCACTGTGGGGTACGTATGCGGACCCTCTACATGTACCTTATGCCGGCCGGTACTTGTGCCAATGCGTCGCCACCACAACCACATGGGCTGCAGGGCTGTGCCACCCCTGCCATGTCTCTTCCACCCACCTGGTAACAGAGACTCTTGCCGCCGCCGGTGGGCATGAGCACGAACACATCCCGGCCCGCCATGGTGGCTGTCACCACCTCCAGCTGGTTGGGGCGGAAGCCGGGGTTGCCGAACACACGCCTGCGGATCCACCGGTGGCAGCACCAACAGCGGGTAAGCAGCGGGACAGGGCAGCAGCAGCAGCAGCCGTGAGAAGGGCAGGTGGCCCGGTTGCTGCAGACCGTACCCGTGCTGTCAGCGATCCCGAGGGGTCTCACGCGCACCTGTTTGCGAGCTGCAGCAGCGCCGCGACGCGCCCGCACTGCACGCTGAGGCGCTCCTCCGCGGTGGCTGGGGACAGCCAGGGCGGGGGACCGCCGCCGTTGGGGCCGCCCTTGGAAGGGCCGGCGGCGGCAAAGGCGGCGATGCCCAGCTGCTGGTGCGTGCCGGCCTTGCCAGAGGTCTGGGCAGCCTGGCCCTGTTGGATATCAAGCCGGGAGGGCATGGTGCGTGGGTAGATTGTGCTGGGCCGTAGGGCCGGCAGCAGAGTCGGTGGAATTGAGGCGTGTGAAGGGGTTACTATCGTGCATAATCAGACATCACGGAAGGGAAATCAAGACCTTGGCGCTCGTTCGGAGGAAGATTGCGCATCTGTAACCCACCTGTCGGGATTTCCCTGCGCTGCTCGGCTGGGGCGGGCGCCGCTGAGCGGGCTGGACAACCTCAACGAAATCATCCTGCACAGCAGCGCGTACTTCATGTGTATTGTAGCACGCTAGGGCGTAGCAAGACGGTGCAGGTTCAAAAGGCAGGGCAAAAAGTTCTACAACGCTCCCTTACATCGCTATCCTGACCGGCGCTGAACTTCTCGCCTCCGCGCTTGGGCTCTTCCCAGTCCGCGTCCTCAGCGTCGTCATCATCGCTACCATAGTCTTCCTCGCTGCCACCTTGCTCGCTCGAGTTGCCATCTTCACTGCCGCTGCCGCTGTAATCATCTTCATCGGCCTCTCCATCTTCGCTGCAACTTGGTTCTTCTCCTTGCTGCTTTTGCCCTGATCCATTATCTTCTTCTCCTTGACCGCCATAGATTATATCAAGGAGGGCGTTTATACCCTCCTCGTTGTCGCGGACATCTACAGCAAGGCAATCCCGCTGACTTAGGTATGTCTGGAATGCACATTCTACGGTGTCTCGGCAGTATCCCAGGCCTTCTAGCCTTCGCACAAGCGGGTGGCGCTGCATCCGTCTAAGTACGCAGCGATCGCGCGGGGTTAGCCTTTGGCTTTGGCTTTCTGGACGAAGCTGAGTCTCGCTACCATGCTATCAAAATAAGTAGGATAAATAAATCACAGTTTAGCTTGACATTTAAAGTCCGCGGCGTATGCGCAGAAGCGAGGAGTGCTCACCAGCTGTCTGTTTGGAATTGGGGCCTGGTTCCGGAGCTGGCATGCATGCAATGCACAAGCAGCGCGGCATGCTTGGGTTTATAATTCTGCTATAATTGTATTAAAGCTTACAAAACCACCTAACATACGCAACAAGCAATTACTTACGCAAGCTATTGCTATCTGCATGCTATGGGGCTGGTCAATTTTCCGCGCGTTAGACATGGTAGATTTAAGGAGCGCTACATAATAGCAGGCTTGGGCATACGTTCGATGGCTTAGCTACAGCACCTACCCCCTGGCCCGCGTGTCCTGTCCCCCGGTCGGTATCATCCGTAACCGCTCATCAATGCAACGCAACAGCCCCTCATCATCAAGCCCGGAAAGCGACCCAGCCACCAACCAGTGTCGCAGTGCCCCTCCTACACCCACACGCCACCCACCGCCGCCACCACCATACCCAAACTCGCTCTGACGCACCGCACCCATGCCGGAACACTGCACCCAAACACGACTCGCAACCGCCAGCAGCAGCCCCGGCACCGCATACGCCCGGTAGGTAGCCGAGCTGCACTGCGGCAGCGCCGGACTGCAGTAGGCACCCGTCAGCCGCTCCAGCGCCGCGGCCGCCGGCTCAACCTCCTGGCTCGCTTGCAGCAGCCCCTCCAGAATCGCCGCCCCATACTGACTGAAGGGACCGCATCCCCCACCGCTGCCACCGCCATCCCCGCCCCCCTGCTGCTGCTGTGCGCGCCAGACCCGCCCCGCCACGGCGCTGCGCACCCTGCCCAGCAGCGCCGCCTCCAGCAGCCCCAGCCGCAGCAGCCCCGCCACGCAGGCGTTACTCAGCGGCCGCAGCACCTCATGCGGCGGCTGCAGCAGCGCCTGCACCAGCAGGTTGTCGCACACCGCGCTCCGGAACTCAGCCAGCAACCAGCCGACAGGACCGCCCGCCGCTGCTGCTGCTGCTGCTGCTGTGGCCGCGGCCCTTGGCGGCCCCTGGCCTAATCCCTCCTTGACTCCACCGCCACCCGCCGCAGCCCCAGCGCTCAGCAGCGCGCGAATAAAGGCGAGGTCAGGCAGGGCTTGCATGGCGGCTAGCAGCCCGGCATGCGCCTGCGGGCCCATGCCGTCGTCGCCGCCGCCACCGCCGGGCCATTGCATGGCCGCCGCAGCGCTGCCGCTGCTGACCGCACCCAGCGGCGTGCAGGTGCGGGCGACGGCCTGGCGCAGCAGCGTCCGGGCCCAGGACACTGCCCGTGCCAGCGGGGGAGCGCGCACAGTGCCCGGGCCCCTGTCGACAATGATCGGGGAGACGAGGAGGCTCAGGCCGAGCAGCGCGGGTGACCTGCATGCAGGCGGGGAACAGCAATAGGAGACCGGTAAGATGGGCCGTCTTGACCCGCGGGACCCGCACACGAACCGCATCCGCCTGTGCTCCTGGGGGGCTCACCAATGCCGCCCTGCCACCGCATCCCCGCCACCGCCACCTGACCCACCTCACGCACGCCAGGTCATCACACGCAGCGTTGCTCAGCGCGCACGACAGCAGCTCCAGCCGCTCCTGCGGACCCAGCCCCGGCCCCTCTGCCGCCTGACCCTGCGTCCCAACATCATCAGCACCATGCGCAGCCTCGCCTCCGCTACCACCGCCACTACTGCTGCCGCCCCCAAGCGCCCCCAGCGGCTCGCCGCCCCCATGTGCCAGCAGCAGCCGCAACCAGGCGCACTGCAGCGGCAGCACGCGGCTGGCGGGGCCGCCCCCCGTGTACGACAACAGCAGTACATCGTCCAATAGGGATCGCTGAGGGGGCGCCTGATGCTGTGGGTGCTGCTGCGGTTGCGGGTGCTGCTGCATGGGGCCGCCCCATGGGTCAGTCACCGAGGCGGGTGGGAGGGTACCTCGGTGGGTGGGGACTTCGGCCAGTGGGTGGCTGCTGGTGAGGCTGCCCTGCCCGCCGTCCGCTCCGCCCCCGGCGCTCTGGTGCAGCGCGGAGGTGGCCAGCAGCAGCAGCGCGGGAGCCGCCTGCGCGCGCGGGAGCGGAAAGGATGCAAAGAAGAAGAGGACACCCACCCACTCAAGCCGAGGGCCATGGTGCGGTTTCACACGTCACCATGAAAGATTCAAGCCCCGCTGGCCACCACAGTTACACAGAGTTACAAAGACAACGTAGCGGCAATATAAGCCGCATCACGCAAGGCGGGGCACGGCAAGGCGCAAGGGTGCGGAGAGGCCGCATGGCGCACCTGCTCCGCCGCAGCTGCGCCCTCCGCCGCCCTCGCCACCAGCGCTCGAGCGGCCCGCTGAGCCACCTCGCTCTCGGCCAGAGCGCATGCGGCGGGCAGGCGGCTGCACAGCGCCAGGTCCTGTACGGCACGGAGGGGGAAGAGGAGGAGGAGGGGCAGCAGCAGGGTGCGGCTGAGGACGGCAGGAGTCGTCGGCAACTGGAGACGTCACGCATGACAGGCGGGTAGCCTGTAGTGCCATAACGATAGTCATATGACTCATATCCCATTGCCGTACCCACCCACCCGCCCTCACCCACCACTGCAATCGCCATAGCCGCCGTCTCCAGGCACACCGCCCTCAGCTCTTCCACCTCGCCCCCGCCTCCTCCGCCACCACCGCCACCGCTGTTACCGTACGCTGCCCCCTCCGCCTGCCCCCCACCCGCCAGCACCTTTGCCGCCAACCTCCCCAGCTGCTGACACACCTCCGACAACACCTCCAACGTCGCACCCTCCTCCTCCCCATGCCCTCCCTGCAGCCCATGCACCCCTGCCGCTCTCGCTGCCTCTGTCGTACCGCCGGCCCCCTGCGCCGCCGCCCCCGCCGCCGCCAGCCCCGCCAGCAGGTGTCCGTACAGGTGCAGCGTCCAGCGCATGGCCGCCGCCGCCGCCACCTCGCCCCGCCCCGCCGCCGAGGCCAGGTCCAGTACCAGCCTCCGAGTGGCCCCCAGCAGGCCGCCCGCCACCAGCCAGCCAGCCAGCTGCGGCTGCAGGCCCAGGCAGGTACACAGCAGCTGCAGCAGCCGCACCTGGAGGAGAGCTGAGGAGGAGGAGGAGGAGGAGGGAGAGGTGGTGGAGGGGGTTGGACCGGACTCGGCGCAGTGTTGAAGCAGGCGCAGGGCGATGCCGACGGCGACGGTGCTGGCGGCGACGCCGGCCGCTGTGTCGTACACTTCGGGTGGGGGCAGGCTGCTGGAGAGGAGGGTGGTGGCGGCGTCCGGGGCGGCGGCGGTGGCGCCGTAGGAGGCGTCCGTATGGTGGTGATAGCGGTTGTGTGGGTCGGGATGAGGGTGAGGGTGTGATGTGGCGTCACGGGTGACGCCCAGCCAGGAGGGCAGGGCGGCGGCGATGACACTGGTTGGAGGGAGGGAGAGAACGGTGCAGGACGAGTTTGGGCTGGATCTGATGTGTGGTGTTTAGCATCCCAATGACGGATCCAAGGCTGCTAGTCTAGCATGTGCAGGTACAACAGCAATTACTCACAGCTGCATGCAACCCTCGTACACCTGTTACACTGCTACCGTACAACCCCCCCACCCCCGCCCCACCCCCGCACCCTCACCCCGGCAGCTGCTCCCCGTGCCGCATCACCCACCCAGCCAGCGGCAGGCCCACATGCGCCACCGCCGCAGCCACACCCCCTCCTCCTCCTCCTCCCGCCCCCGCCCCCGCCCCGCCCGCCGGCTCCTCCCCCGGGTCGCAGCTCAGCATGTGCTCCAGTGCGGGCAGCAGCTGCGGCGGCAGCGGTGGCGGGGCGCCCGCCTCCCCCCCTGCTGCCCCCGTCAGCAGCAGCCGCTCCTCCATGTCGCGGTAGAGCTGCAGGCACTGCCACCAGGCGCCCGACCAGCAGCTGAGGGGGCAGCGGTAGAGGAGTGGGGCCGGCGCGGCGTGGGAGCGGTTGCGGGAGAGGGAGCACATGGAGCGGTTAGGCTAGTGGCAGGGGTCACCGGGATGCGGGGCGCTGGAACAGGAGAGCATGCCGGGGCGCGCACATGTGTTAGGTCTCATGCAATAAGCCCACGAGGGGAGGAGGCCTGCTACCGTAGACGCCACACCTTCCCTCCCCCCTTCCCTCCCACAACCTCACCGCTGTACCGCCGGCTCCCCCAGCACCGCCGCCAGCGCCCCCAGCAGCCACTCCGGCCCCCCGCCGCCCGCGCCCGCGCCCGCAGCCGCCCAGCCCGCGTCCCCCGCCGCCAGAGCGCACCGCAGCAGCCGCAGCCAGGCCCCCAGCGCCGCCCCCGCGGCAGCCGCCTGGCGCTCGTCCCCGCCCGCCGCCACCTGCTGCGCCCCGCCTGCATGCGGGTGGGTGAGGCGGTTGGAGGTGAGTGGGGTGCATGCGGCATCTCACAGGGGGGTTACCGGTACGTCTTTTGCCCTAGCGCAGCACATGCGGATCACTCGCCCTCTTCCAGTACAGAGCTAAGCTGCCGCACCCCATGCAGCTACGCTCGACTCCTCGTCGGGGGCCCCATCAACGCATCCTACTTGCAGCCACTCCACTCCACTGCCCCCCACACGCACCTACTGCCATGAACTCCAGCACGTGGCCCACACCGCTGAAGCCGCTCATCAGACCCGCGGCGCTCTCGTAATCCGCCGCCGCCACCAGCACCCCGCCGCCGCCGCCACTCGCCATGGCTAGGAACATCAGCAACCGCCACACCTCCTGTCGTACCTCCGTCGCAGCGGCGGTGACAGCCGCCCTAGCCGCTTCCGCAACGCTGCCACCGCTGCCGCCGGCAGCAGCAGCAGCAACAGCCTCCATCCCGCTGCTGGCGGACCCCAGGAACTGCGACCCCGCACTCGACCCACATCCCGAAGCGGCGGCCGCCACCTCCGCCGCCTCCTGCGCCGCCGCCGCCGCTGCCATCACCTCAAAGCTGAACTGCACCCAGCCGGCCGCCAGCAGCCGGCCCGCCAGCCCGGCAGCGGCGGCGGCGGCTGGGTCCACGGTAACAGCAGCGGC